ACCTGTGTTATGCAGGTTGGTTGTGGTGAAGAAGAAGAACACATTTGTTTGGCTTATGAAAACAACAGGTGGGTCAATCTCGGTCGAGAGTCTTTAGCAGGAGAGGTAAGACGAAACAGTTTCCCTTTGTCTTCCTTGAGTTGAACTGTGATTTAGGATAGGCCAGACATGATTGACACATGTGTGGTGATGCTATAGGATGTCGGTAGCTGGAAGAGTGTGGTCTGTTTCTTTGGAGAAATGCAGGTCAATCTCAGACGAGAGTCTTTCGCAGGAGAGGTAAGACGAAACAGTTTCCCTTTGTCCTTCTTGAGTTGAATTGTGAATTTAGGTAAGCCAGACATGATTGACACATGTGTGGTGATGCTATAGGATGTTGGTAACTGGAAGAGTGTGGTCAGTTTCTTTGGAGAAAGGAAGATTCGACCAGAGATTCTGTTTTATGAAGCTGTTTGATCGATGGCCTAACAAGTGTATTAATATAGAGAAACCCTGCATTGATGTATAAAACAGTGACATGTTTTCAATTCAAAAGAAGTTGTGCTCTTTGTTCTATAATATGTTTGCTTGGAAACTACATTTGTTCATATACAGAGAGTCCTTATCATATACATAAATGGTTCAGCTACCAAACGTAACTTTTTTTTATCTGTACTTTATTATTGTTATGAGTTCTCCGAGATCCAAGTGTACCTCGCAATTCACTATCGTTAAGTTGCAAAGATTATCATTGAAATCATGGACTGGTAAAAAAGAAGATATTTCGTGCCTTGTTTGATTATATTGGAATTTAGAATATACATGTTATTACTCATTGGTAAAAAAGGATTAAAGGAAAATAATCAAATTTGATAAGAATCAAAATGTTTTTTTATGGTCTCATACATTTGACTAGAACATCGACAAATCGCTTGTACATATGTTGCTTCATGTACATTTTCTCAACCATTTTGCGTCCTTCACTCCCCAATCGTAGCCTCGCGTCTGGATTCCTAAGTAGATACAAGAGATTATGAGCTAATTCTTTGTTACCTGATCGTCCCATTGAGTGAAGTAGACCAGTCACGTTGTGTTGCACCATCTCTTTGGTTCCTCCTGCGTCTGTTCCCACTACTGCAAGTCCATAAGCCATTGCTTCGATTGTCACTCTACCAAATGTTTCACCAACTCCCTGTAAAAAATAAAGGTTCAAAATAAACAAACCGAACAAAGTCGAAATGTTTAAACCGAAATTAAACTGAAGTTTTGTTAATAAACCAAATTCAAAAACTAAATTTTGAACAAAAACAAAACTGAAATGTTTAATCCAAAACCAAACTGAAATCAGTTACAAATTGGTTTATTTGATTTCAGTAATTCAAGTTCCTATAAAACTCATAAAACTAAAAACCAGAAAAACTAAACCAAAACCAAACTAGATTGTCTATTCCTAACATAAACTACTTTCTGTGGAAAACTGCATATGCATGGAATAATGTTTTTGAAGTGTGAGGAGGATTACCTGGGAGTTTGTAACGTAGACATCTGCTGCAGAGTATAACGAAGCAACACGAGTTGTTGCGGGAGTCCACATTACTGACTTAGATAAGTTTCCGTTGTTTGATAAAAAGCTTAACATCTCTTTAACGTATCCAACTTTGTTGCTCTTTGAACCCACTGATCCTAAAAGAACTTTAAGTTCTTGCTTCTCTCTTCTCACGGCATTGTCAAGTGTGAGAGAAACACTTTTCATCTGTCGAGATGAACCTCTTAACCGGTGTTTGCTGGAGAGACTAACCTTTTCTTTCCTAATGATCCCCTTGTGATTTCTTTGAGATTCTTTTCCTCTCTCAGAAAGAGCCAAGGCGATAGATTCAAGGAGAAGAAGTTGCCCCTTTGTTGGGTTTATGCTGCTAAGAGACATCACAAGCATATCTGCATCTGTTAATCCTAACTCCATTCTCACTGATTCGCGTAATATTTGTCTCTTCTCCCTCATTTTCTCTGGTGAAAGTGTTGGTGTGTTGAGTGAAGAAGGAATCCCAGCTACAAAAGTTAACTCATCATTAACAGATAGTGGAACAATCACTGGTTGTGATCTCAGCTTTATATGCTCCTCCTCGCACCATGTTAACCATTGTCTGCTCTGTGATTCAGATAAGAAAATCGGCATTTTCACTCGGTCAAGAACTGGTTTCGCTCGGTCAAAGTATTCTCGTCGATTCTCCATTATCCACCAAGCTATTTGACTTCCACCAGCTGGATGATGATTCATGTATTGATCTGCGAGAAAAGGAAAAACAGTAATTAAGATATGCTTTCCTTTGATTGTATATTAGTAGTCCAAAAATTGCACAATGTACCTATCCATGAGGTACACACTGCTGATCCTGCGATGACCAAATCTGCTTTCATGGCAGTCTTGAAGCTGAGTTCTCCTTTGTCTTCAACAACTTTGATCCTTCTCCTAGTGAGCTCTTGCATCAATCCACCTCTCCTGCTGAGAACTACTGCAGAGACTGTTGCACCACAGCTCAAAAGCTCTGAAGCCAGCTCCATCATTGAAATTGGAGCACCAGTCATTGATAGCTCGTGGAAAAGCAGAACAAATCTCCTTGACCAAACAAGGCGTTTAAAATCTGATTTCCTGTCGCAAGTCCCAGATCTTCTATGCGGGCTCCATTCAAGAACTTTATCCTCTAGTGATCCAAAGGGACCAAGAAGCTTACCATAAGTAGCATTTGTCAATGGAAGTTGTGGATCTTGCTCATCATCCAAATCCTTAGTCTCAAGTACCTCTTTAATCACCTTCTGCTTAGCCTTAACACCGATCTTACTACGAGAAGTCCGACCAGTTTTTCTCGTCTTCTTCTTGGAACTCAAGCTCCGTCGAGAAGCCCCATCATCTTTCTTGATCAGACTAACATCGGTCCTCTTACTCAGACCAGCATCATCTTTACCGGTAATATTTACCAAAGCCTCAGAATTCTCATTAGCAACAGCATCCATTCCTTTGATCTTCTCCACATATAAAACATCCTTTCTCGGTCTGCCTCCAAACCGTAAAAACTCAACTTTACTTTCATTATCATGTGCCCACCTAGACTGAACATAAAATCCAAGATACGTCCAAAGAGTAATCAAAAGCAGCCAATAAACCAACCGGCTACTACGAAACAACTGGAACGCTCCTCCTCCAACATGACCTCTACGAGGAGTCCTACCAGAATGCACTCTAGGTGTACCCCTAGGAGTAGACCTCCCTGACAGTGAAGACTTAACACTTGTCTGTCTCAGCGGCGATAACCGAATCTCCTCCATGATTTCAAAGACTACAATCTCACTATAAGCATCATATCAAACACAAAAGCAATAGGAACTAGAAAAATTCAATCCACGAACACAAAAATTGAGCAGCTCACATTAACACCAGAACCTAGGAAAGAGAAATCACTCAATCAGTCTACAATACATATCAAAGATGACTATCTATAGTCTCCCTTCAAGTTCAAGTTCATCAAACTCTAATTCCAAAACTCTGATACATATCGAAGAACTATATAGGCAAGTTTAAAGCAGTATATCTGGTTAGATTTCAGATTTAAACTACTCTCATGACCTGCATTTAGGTATTTTATCACAACTATTTCAAACTAAATCTGAAGAAAACTCTACAACTTTCTCAGATTACAAAGGCTTTTCAATTCCAAAGCCATAGATATATCTTCCGGTTACGAAAAATCAAAATCACATCGATCGGTCAGTGAAGACTTACCAGAAGCTGAGTAATTACCGACTTGGATCCGCCGATGCTCCAACGTTGCAGCTTCCGAAGTACGAAAACGCAGCTAAATTGACGCGAATTTGCAGCAATCTATGATTAGAAAACAAAGAATCAACACGAGAACTGAAGTCAATGATTATCACCGGAAACTAGAAACAGAAAGATAGTGAAGACGGATTAGAGAAAGAGACGAGAAAGAGAAGATTACTTTTGTATACAGTAGTCTTCGTCTTCTTCAGAGATCAGAGCTGAGCAAAAGCTGAAGCAGAGAGAGAGAGAGAGAGTGTCTGCTTCTTCTTCTTCAGCTTCAGCTTCTTAATTTGTTTCCTTGTAATTAATCATCCACTTGTTTCCTTAATTATTGTATTTACTTTTTTTTTTTTTCATCATTTTTTTTTTTTTTTTTGTATTGTATTTACTTTGCGCTCCTTAATTATTGAAACTTTTTTTGAAACGGCGTAGTTTAAGCTTTGAAATAAAAAGATGTATTTCCCTCATGGGCTTGGGCCCTGAAGTATATTTGGGTAGCCACCGGATTTTAATTTTCCTGGCAACATGATTTTAACTTTTGATTCCATTGATGAAAGTAATTAATATTCCTAGTCTTTTTATTTTTTTACTATAAAATATGTATAAATTATAATTTTTATTTTTAAAAAGCTAAGTTGAAAGGAATAATTTTTAAAAAATTTTGAAACTAACAAACATATAAAAATGGTGAGTTAGCTAAATAACCAAATGACAAAAGTTTAAACTAGAGAAAATATTTTTTGCATATAAACATGAAATTTTAAAATGTTGTCTGATCTTGGATAGAATAACATGAGAAAATTTCATATTTATTATAATTGTATAAAAAATGATTTTTGCACATTTTAGTTCAAATACACTATATGTCTATATTTATTAAATAAACTCATGTTGGATAAAATAATTTAACCTAATTACATGTTATTTTCATTAACATAAGCAGCAAAATCATAAATCTATAGTTTTCTGTTTTCCTAAAGAACATGTAAATGAAAAAAAAAATATGGAACTTTTTTTCCAACAGAATGTTACTTTGCTTTTTTTTTTCTTTTTAATTTTCACTTCTCCCAGTTGAAATTATTTAGCAAGTAAAAAATGATAATCATTGACCTAAATTTACTTCATAGTTATTTAGTAGGCATATTCAACAAAAGTTCATTTGAATTAAGGAGAAGAATATTAAGGTATGCAAAATGTTATTGTGAAATATTCCTGAAAGCTTTTATTATTAGAAATCTGAAAAAACATTATTAGTTTTCACAGAGACTCTCTTCCTCTCTATCTCTCAACCTCTCTCTCCTGATATAACCAACACACAAACTCTGAAACAGAACATCATCACAAAATACAACACAAGAACCAACAAGAGCTCTAGATTTGCTCTTAACACAACCAAGAATCTCAATTGTTCTCTAAAGAGAACTAAGAAACTTAACCCAAATGATCTCTGCACTTTGTGTCGCCTCTTTCGCAAATTCCTCAGCCGCTTGCTCGTCTTTCGCCTTCCTCACCGCGCCATGATACTCTTCGTAAGCCTCAGAAGCATCAACAAGAAAATGAGAAAGTTCTTTCACAGTCTCCTTAAACTTTCCATCAATAGATTCTTTCTCTGCTTCAAGTTTTGACAACAGTTTCTTGATCGCGAAGATTCTAACGAACAACGCATCTCCTTTTTGAGCAAGCGTTTTAGCGGTTGCGAAATGAGAGTCCACGGCGGTTTGCTTCTCCGTGGCAACTTCTTTAAGCATTGTCGCTCGTGCCTGCGCGATGTGAACTCGCTCAGAAGCTTCAAGTCCTTCTTTGATGACGTTTCTGTATTTAGCTAACCTAGAGATGTAACTGATTGGAGCTGAGCTTAACTCTTCGAAACTCGCAGCCGTAATGAGAATCTGATCGAAATCTTGACGTGTCACAAGCTCACGAGCGGTTAAGCCGCGAAGCTCTTTCAGTTTAGCCCTTAGGGTTTCTACAGTCTCTGATGTAGCAGATGACTCGCTTGTGGAAGAAGCAGAAGAAGAAGAAGTGAGAACTCTGTGTCCCAGTGGAGATTCCTTTTCTTTCCTGTGATTCTCAACGAGTTGAGTCAAAGACGCGGTGAGACTAGAAGTCTCTGTTCCCTGCAAAATCATGTAAACATCGGAATTAGACTTTCGAGATTGTGATTCTGATCACTTTCTTGCTGTTCAAGAAAAGGTTTAAAACAAAAACCTGGACTGCAGATTCTTCAGAGAGGATCTCGTCTATGCTATATTTTGTCGGTATAATGATCGAACCATCTTCGTCTTCTTGTAAACCAGCACTGTCTTGGTTAGAACAGCCACAAACACCTGACTGTCCAAGTCCAAGAACTTCTGGTATAGCAGAGCCACTCTGTTTCTTTGCAGCTGTGAGAACAAGAACTGGCTTAGAAAACCGTATTAGACAGTGAGTGAAACAGAAAGAATTAAAGATTTTTTGTTTTTTCTTACATTCTTCTGTGTCAGCCTTTGCATTAATGCCACTGTGTGCTTCTGCAGAACAGGAATGTTGGAATCAGAAACTGTCAATGTATACTTTCTTTACTTAGAACTTAGAAGAGATCATTAATAGAATCTTGAAGTACCTTCAAATTCGCGTTCCATCTCTTCCAACATTATCTTTCTCTTAGCAGCTGAAACAAGAATTATAATCAAAATTTGAATGAGAAGGTTGTAAAGAGAAGAAAATGGATGAGAGAGTTTACATTCTTCTTCGATGTTTCTGGAATCATCAACTTTTATCTGTTTAAGACCTCCAATAGCAGCTGCAAGTAGAAGATAGAAACAGGTTCAAGATTTCCTCTGAAGAATATGATTATGAGCTAATTGAGATACCTTCAAACTCGCGTTCGATCTCTTCAAGCATACTCTTTCTCTGTGCAGCTATAACAAGAGATAACTAACTCTGTCTCAGAATATTGTTGTAAAGAAAGTGAATCAAGAAGAGTTTTCTTTTTCTTACATTGTTCTTCATTGTCACTGCCTTCAGTGAAGTCATTAGCCTTTAGTTGTTCAAGACCTTTTGTAGCAGCTACAAGTAAAAGATTACTGAAAATTAGGATGAAACATCTAAACTAAAAAAAAGTGAGGTAAATGGTATGCGAGGGTAGATACCTTCAAATTCGCGTTCGATCTCTTCCAACATTTTGTTTCTCTTTGCAGCTGTAATAAAGAGACAAAAGAAACATAGTCTCAGAATACCGTAATAGAGAAAAAGAGTCGAAAAACCGCAGAAAAAGAAAGATTTATACAGTGTTCATCATCAGCGTTGCCTTCAGTGAAATCATTTAGTTGTTTAAGATCTTTTGTTGCAGCTGCAAATAGAAGACAATAAACACATTCTTAAAGATAACCTTCAAACTCGCGTTCGATCTACATGTTCTACATGTTTGATTTTCTATAGCATTTGATATTAAAGATAACCTTCAAACTCGCGTTCGATCTCTTCCAGCATACTTTGCCTCTTTGCAGCTGTAACAATACATTCAAAACCTGATTCAGATAACCCTAGAGTACGAATAGCGGATAAGAAGAAGAAGAGTGTGTTACATTGTTCTTTGTCTTCAGTAGAATCATCAACTTGAAGTTGCTTAAGGCTCTCTGTAGCAGCTGCATGTGATAAATGAAGACACAAGACTCTCAGATATTACTCAGAGTTGGGATGTGAACTAATTAAGACTCTCAGTAAATGTTATGTAGGAGAGATACCTTCGAACTCTCGTTCGATCTCTTCTAACAAACTTAGTCCCTTTGCAGCTGTTTTTATGACAGTAAGATCAAATCTGATTAAGAAAATTGTATGCAGGAGAAGGAATCAGATAAAGTAGAGGGGACAATGTTCAATACCTTGTTCTTCTTCGTTTTTGTCCCCGGCTGAATCGCTAGCCTTTAGTTGTTCAAGACCTTTTGTAGCAGCTATGAGAAACAGAACACAGAAACATATTCTTAAGTAACACAAAACTTTTTTTGATGAAACTCTCAGTAAATGTTATGTAGGAGAGATACCTTCGAACTCTCGTTCGATCTCTTCTAACAAACTTAGTCTCTTTGCAGCTGTAACAAGACATAGAACCAGGTTCAGAGACAATGGATCAGAGAAAATCAAAAGTGATCATATGAGACTTTACATTGTTCTTCATCATCTCCACTTCCGGTAGAATCAGAAACCTTTAGTTCTTCAATGCCTTCCATAGCAGCTGCAAGTAGGAGAAACAGAAAACACAAACAAAATCTTAGATGATACATAAAGATTTCTGCATTCATCTCAGAACCTATTGAAACATAATGGTGTCACAACATACCTTCAAACTCGCGTTCAATAGCTTCAAGCATACTTTTTCTCTTAGCAGCTGTAACAAAGACACAAAACCATTCACAAAAAGTACTAATCTAGTGACAAAGGTAACAGACAAATCCAAGGAGGGAAGAGGTATATTACATTGTTCTTCGTCATCTTTGTCACCGGTGAAGTCATTAACCTTTAGTTGTTCAAGCTCTTTTGTAGCAGCTAAGGTATGAAATCAAAGAAGACAAAACAAACTCTTAATTAGATTCAAGATTTTATCTCAAAACAGAGTAATCATTTAAGAAAAATATGTCGAGAATATACCTTCAAACTCGCGTTCGATCTCTTCCAACAAACTTTGCCTCTTTGCAGCTGTAACAAGTGACACAAACCTGTGTCAGTGTATCATACTATGGTAAGGACAAAATAGAGTCAAGAGGAAGATTTTTTACAATGTTCTTCATCATTTCCTTCGTTTATTTCATTAGTCTTTAGTTGTTTCAGACTACTTGAAGCAGCTGCAACAAGTAAGAGAAGCAAAAGAAGACAAATTAACAAAAAAAAATTATAAGTGAAGGTCTTAGAAACCAACTATAAGTTAGCAAGATGGAATCTATGAGACAACCTTCAAATTCGCGTTCGATTTCTTCCAACATTTTCTGTCTATGAGCAGCTGAAACAAGACACAATAACAACTACCTCAGAAAAAGAAAAAAACTCTTGAAGAATCAAAGAATTTCATAAAAGAAAATCTTACATAATTCTTCATCAACCTTGGATTCAGCCTTGACACCATCAGATCCAGCTTGGTTAAGACTATTGTGATGAGCTGCAATTAAATCATGATAGACAATTACATACAAACACTTAACTAAATACATGACTTGTTTTTATTTAAAGGGCCTTTCATGTTTCACACTATAAACACAATGACTAAGAAAGATCAAGATCTTGAGTTACCTTCGAATTCAAGTTCGATTTGATCCAACAGACTCGATTTGACTCTTTCATCACTAACAGATCCAACCTTATACCATACAACGACAAAAATTATTCACCTTAAAATTTACAACAACAAAAGCTACTTTTCAGTAATCTCTTTAGATGGATTCATTCATTAGAATCCAAATCTAAACCTAAAGAGGCAACAAAAGCTAAACCCTAACCTCAGATTCATCTGATAGAGACAGAGAAATAGTGTTCTTATCAGTCACTGTAGTGTTATTCTGGTTGTCACTCTGAATCTTTGCAGCTGAAGACACACACAAACATAGAAGCTGTCACAAACATAACAAAACCAGAATCAAGAAAAGAAACAAGAAAGAGATCTTACACTGATCTTCATCTTCTTTGCCTTGAAGAGCATTGACACTATCTACAAATTAAAAAACCCCAAAATCAATCCAAGAAAACAAATAAAAGTAAGGGAAAAAGTTGGATAATTGTTGGTATTTCTCTGAGAATTTCCTTACCTTGATAATCACGTTCTATTAGATCCAAATGACTCAAACCACTACCATCATCCTAAAAAGATACAAAACGCATTGAAAATTATTTCTTAAGGTTGGAAGAAATAAATAAAAAAGACATGTGTTTTTGTTTTGTGTTTACGGTTTACCTGACAAGAAACCTCATGGAAGCTTGAAAGAAGAAGACACAGAGACAAAGCCAGTACAAGAAAATTCGTTTTCATGGCGGAGATTTCCATTACAAGAACGAGAGATACACAAATCTTTAAGCTTGAAGAAGCATCACATGGCTGTGGAAACGTTTTTTAAATAAAACCGTTGTAACTAACTCAAACGTGGGTTTCATTTTTTTTTCTCGTGGCTCTTCTTCTAGATAACTCATTTTGTGTGTAGCAAAGTTAGACACCTACGTGTGAAATAATATAATTTCAAATTAGTAAAATGTGACATTTTATTGAAAATAATAATATCATGGAGATAGGAAAAAAATAAAGTATTGATGGCATAAATAAGATAGAAATATTTTTTTTTAATAAAGTAAAAATTTTAAGAGAAATTGTTAAAAATGCCCCTTTTTCAATACCCCTTTTCAAAAATGCCCCCTTTGAGAGTCCATTTTTAAGTTTGCCCTCTTTTAATTTTTAATGACCATTTTACCCTTATTTGAAACAAAATTAGGTCCACAAAATACAAAATATTTTTTGGCGGGAAAAGTGATCCCGCAATTTTCCCGCCAAAACACTTGTAAAAAACCTTTAAAATAACTTGTAAAATTTTTTGGCGGGAAAATTTTTTGGCGGGAAAAATTTTACGGGAAAATTTTACAAGGTATTTTAAAGGTTTTTTACAAGGTTTTACAAGTGTTTTGGCGGGAAAAATTGCGGGATCAATTTTCCCGCCAAAAAATATTTTGTATTTTGTAGACCTAATTTTGTTATATTTCCTTATATATTTGTGATATATTTTATTAAAAGAAGGGTAATTTAGTCATTTTGTACATAAAAAGGGGTATTTTTAAAAATGGACAGCCAAAGGGGGCATTTTTGAAAAGGGGTATTGAAAAAGGGGCATTTTTGTGAGTCTCCCAAATTTTAAAGAAACATCTCTTTTCTTTATTGTTAGGCCTTCCAAACCCAAGTCAACTTTCCCATTTATATGATATTGTATGTCCACAAATTCGTTTTTGCACATCTAAATTTTTGATTTGTGACGTTGGTTTGTCTTCCAATATTTTTTTGACATAGTAAAAGTAAAAAAAAAAATAGTTTTATTATTTTCAGATTATATAAATTAAAATTTAAAAACTATTCAAATGTAAAATAAACTCCCAACTACAAAAAAAATTAACGACGTTATATTTCATTTTGTTAATATTGTGGAATTTCTAAACGATTGTTTGCGTTAATTATGTCTAGTCACGATCCAATTTAGATATCAATCTATCGACAGACTCATCATCCCTACTTTAATTTTGTGGGATACTAGCTAGAGTCATTATTATTAACTAGAGGAAAAATCCGGGCTACGCCCGGTATATTTGTAAATTTTAATAATCTTTAAAAAATCTTTTTAAGTTTTTTTTTTTTTGGGAATTTTCTATACATAAATATAAATTTATGTTTTAAAATACAACCTATATGGAAAAAAAATATGAACTTGAAATAGTTTACGCTAATATTACCAAAATAAAAAGGAATGTAATAGAAATAGCTTTTAATAAGTGTAAATAAACTTTGGAATTTCTGACACTTTTTAATTTATTTTTACTCATTGCATTTGAGGTTTTTTTTCTAAAAATATATACATATAGAATTTATAGTGTTTAGTTTGGTTGATTATTTGGGATGATGGGTAGTATTAGTAACTTAATTGGTGGTTAATTTTTTTTTTTTTCTCTGGCAATGTATACAGTTTAAAACATTATTTGGCATTACAGGATTGGTAGCATATTTGTTACATTTTGTGTATATGGTGATTATTCTCTAATTAAACTATTTTTTGGCCCATGTAAAGTATATTATATATGCCAAAAATTTAAAGTCCATGATGGTCCTGAAACAGAATCCATTTCAGAAACTCTAATACTTCCAGTAACTTTAAGTCTCAAACTTTACACGTTGTTTCCAAACCAAAGCTTGTAACCAACTCACTAAACTAAAACCAACTCAAAATGAAGCAAAATACACACTTTACATTTCAGGACCTTCTTCACCATTTTCAGCAATCCGAGGAACTTTATTCATCCCCGACTTAAACTTAAACGAAGCATTCCCTCGTCCACCCCTCCCTCCAGGCAACAACAATGCCCTATGTCCCGGATGCAGCAACTCCAAAAGCACCTCCTTCTCCTCCCCTTCCTCACCCTCCACCTCACTCCCAACCTCTCTAGCCTGCCTCACCACCGTCCCAGGAGCCACTTTCATGAAAACATTATCACCTTTAGCTCCACTATGCATCTTCCCTCTCCCATGTTCCACACGTCTCGTCCTGAAATACACAGTCTCACAAAACGGCAATAACGAATTCATAGACCCATCAATCTCTACATACACATTCCCACCTCTTCCTCCATTTCCACTTGAAGGTCCTCCAAAAGGAACAAACTTTTCTCTCCTAAACGCCACCACACCGTTCCATCCATCTCTGGATCTAACATATATCTTGGCTCTATCGAAACACCGCATCCCCGGAACTACTTTCTCCTTCACCCCAATTTATCTATTTGGAATTACATACCATGGGATGATTTGATGCTATAGCAGCACTGTATAACTCCATTGAATTACTACTTAAACCATTTTTAAAAGAAAGTAAGTGCATATACTTTGTTTGGAAGTTAGGGTGAGTAGTTTACCATTTTCTTTTGGAAGGTCATTGTAGATTTCCTTGAAGACCCATCAATATGTCGCCTTTCTTCAAATTCTCGGCTTCCCAATAATGAATTAGTCGAACTAAGACTTCTTTCTCATCAGTTCCTCACAGAAACCTCCATCAATATCATCAAAAATCTGAAAGGTGAATGGCTGGGGAGATTGTTGAGCTTTATTTGGTGCCATGTTTTTATCGTAGTGACTGTTAGGAGTTTTTTTATTTCTCTGTGTGATGGGTGATCTGTGGTTTTATAGTGAACTGTGAAACTTGAATCGATGTGAATGAAGGTAGTGGCCATTAATTTCATTTGGTGTGAATGTATGGGAGAGTGAAGATATGAAGTGGAGAATTGATAACAATGGCTTTTTTCGTTTTTTTTTGGAAGCTGAAGCGATACAGTTTTAGAGGATGGTGACGACGAAGGGTCTTTTTTTTCTTTTTCGTTATTGAATTTAGGTTTTAGATGGGTTAATTATATATAATATTGGGTAATTTAAAAATTACAATATTAAGTCTTCATGTCAAGTGTTGAGCGTATGCCGTATGGGCTTTATTACGTTGGGCTTCCTTATCTTTTTTAATATGAAATGTAGTTTTGTGATTCGGTTGGGCTGCCGTTTCTGTTTAATTTTTTTTTTTTTGTAGCTGCTGACGTGTCCATTAGATAGAGTGTTTCAAGAATAGCTGATGTGGACACATTGAGAGGCTTCAATGAGTCCCTTTTATTAGTAAGAGATGTCTCTTTTATTTGCTGCACCAGAAATAAAACTTGAAACCTTAAGAAGATTTTAGAACCTGTTTGTTCACTTTTTTAATCACATTTAAGGGATTTTTTAAAAAAAAAAATCATAAAAGTCGTGTGAAAATAGGGATTTTTCAAAAGCTATTACAAAAATAGGGACTTTTTCACTATTCAAAAAAAAAAAAAAACTTAAAACAACTTTATAAACCCAAATAAAATAACTACTTGGCTTTTGAAAAAGTGAGATAATGCCTTCAAATTTGAAGAACTCATAATATCACTTACATGTCCCGAAAGCTTTCTATAATTAACTTAAAATTTAATAATTGGACTCTATTTTTAATTCTTTTTCGACTTTGTTCCAAAGTAAATAGTATTATTGTGATTAATAGGGTGTGTAATATCGTTTTTCATTTTCTATTAATAAGTGAATAATATAAACTACGCAATAACTATTTTTTTTCTTCAAACAATAAATTAGTAGTCTTTGACAAAAAAAAAAAAAAATTAGTATCCAATCGTCTCTCTAGATTTGATGGTCCCTTGATGGAATAGTTATATGCATGGCTCCCGTGTGACGTCGTATTCCAGAGCGGACAAATATAATACTAGTAGAAAGAGGTTGTTCAACGTGCAACATGTGATACATATATCGATTACTAGTATTGTTTTCGGATAAAATTTGAGATTAATTGTTTTTTTTTTTTTTTTTTTTTTTTTTTTAACACATACCTTTCATTTAATAAGAACAGAGGATACAATAGGGGCCTTCAAACAGAAGGAGAGACCTACAACAAAGGAAAAGATTACAATTTTTCACTGAAAAACACCAAACCATGTAACAAGGAGAGACGGAGCTGGTGGGATGATCCTTTGAGCCCGAGAAAGAGGATCTAGGTGGCAGCGAAGAATGCTCTTAATCTCAAGAACAATAGCAGCAGCAGGCTTCGAAGAGGAGTTATGGAGTCTGGAGTTACGCTCTTTCCAAATGTAGTATATAGAAGCCTGAAAGGCAAGTTGAAGAATCAAAGTGGTATTCTTATCTCGACAAGGATTCTTCATCCATCTAACTCCGTCATCAAACAAGTTTGGAGGAGAGACATGGGCCTTTTCATAGAAATACTTCCAGATATCCTTGGAATAATAGCAGTCAAAGAACAAATGCTGACGTGATTCATCCTCAAGGTTGCACAAAAGACACGCCGAAGGGACAGCCATGTTCCAACGAATCATTCTATCCCGAGTCTGAAGTCTATGTCTAGCATTGAGCCAAGTAATGAAAGAGTGCTTAGGGATCCTGCCAGAGAACCAAACAGAGTCATACCACTCCACCACATCGCCCGGAGGATGGAGATGAGCCCAAGTATTAGCAGTTGAAAAAACATTTAATGGTTGTCTTTCGCCAATTTTCCATAAGTATACATCATCACCAGCATCTTCCAACCTATTAACGACAGAGGAAGGTGGAAGACAGTCTTTGAGCAATTGAATAATTGGGCTTCTACTACGAGACTGAGAGATCCGCCACTGATTTCCCAACAAAGCTTCTGCAACCACTGCGAATCTTGACAGTCCAGTAACTCTAGGTCCCATAGCACCTGTAAGCTCAATTAGAGGACCCAATGATGTCCAGTTGTCAGTCCAAAAGTTACAAGTAACTCCTGACCCAATTTCACAGATAATGAATGGCCTAGCAAGAGCTCTTAGCTTACAGAGACTTTTCCAAATCCAACTTCCAGAGATGTTATTTTCCATTTCCCAGAAACTCCTCGCACCAATCAAATTTCTGCGGACCCAAGACACCCACAACGACCCACCAGCAGCAAAATCATCCAAATAAGCTTTAATCCCAAGACTTTATTCCAATGAACCAGCCTTTTGAGACCCAAACCACCACATTTCTTTGGAGTACATACTGACTCCCAACTAACCTTGGCACCTCTAGCAGAACTCGTTGTACCTTTCCAAAGAAAGGCGCTACACATACTTTCAATCTCTTCCATGCACTTGTTTGGCAAGATGAAGATGGAGGCCCAGAAAGTGATTGTGGAGTATATAACAGATTGGATTAGTTGCAACCTGCCCGCAAACGATAGATGCTTCACAGTCCAGCCATTGAATCTAGCATGTATTCTATCAATCAAAGGCTGGAAGTCCTGTTTTTTCATTTTACTAGCAGAGAGAGGGACTCCTAGATACCTGACAGGCAAAGCACCATGGGATACTCCAAGGCGAGCAGCCAACGTTTGAATCTCTTGAAAGTCTCCACCATCCAGAAAAAGAGATGTTTTGTTCTTGTTAATGCCAAGTCCAGAAGACTGCCGAAACTCCTCAAGAATATGCAAGATACCACACAGAGAATCTTCCTTACCATCAAAGAATATCAAGATATCATCTGCAAAACTCAAATGAGTAATCAAAGGGACTTCACATTGAGGATGAAGACCAAAACGCTGAGAAATAACACCTTGGTCAAGTTTTTTTTATAAGACATCCATTGCAAGAACGAAGAGGAGAGAAGAGATCGGGTCTCCCTGTCTAAGACCTTTTTTGATTAATTGTATGTTATAAATATATAAACGTTTATATATATCACTATATCACTAGACACCAGTTCATGAATGAGACAACACGTAAATATATCGTCTCATCAATTATCATCTATTTTAACCCTTTTCAAAAAAAAAAAAATGTATCATATATCTATTTTGCTTTTATCCGTGAAATGATCATTACATAATTTTGGAGCATGCATGTCTTCTCAGTTCTGAATCATTCTACCTACATATCAATGAAACTGGTGGTATATATGAAAAAAAGAAAAAAAAAAAACTGTAGAATAAATCCGGAAAGCCAAACAAATTAGGTTGATATACATTTGGGGAATTTTTCTACCTGTGATTAAAAACATTACAGCATGTGTAATTTTTTTATTACTATTATATGTTTTTTTATAGACATTAATTCATTTTATCAAATAAATTTCCATATCCGCCATATAAATATAGACATTGCATGCATGTCTTCTCATTTCTGAATAACTCTACCTACTTATCAATGAAACTAGTGGTAGATATGGAAAAAAAAAAATGTAGAATAAATCTGGCTATGCCAAACAAATTAGGTTGAAATACATTTGGGAAGGTTTTCTATCTGCTATTAAAAAAATTATAGGATGTGTACTTTATTTTTATAATATGTTTTTTTATTATAAGAACTATGAAATACATTTCCATATCCACCATATAAATATAGATATAGCATACATGTCTTCTTAGTTCTGAATAATTCTACCGTACGCATACTTGATTATTGTAGTATGAACGAATCAATACTTTTATTGTGGATTTCTAATCAGAAATTCTCATGTATATATTACAAAAAAAAAAAACAATTTGCTAACCACTTTTCTTATAATAATGCACACGACGAATGGAACAGAGTTATGCATAATCATTGTAAAAACACAGTGTGAAAAAGAAAAGTGGCCCAGGATGATTCAGATCAGAGAAATAATTTTTTCAGTTCCATGTATAATAATTGAGTTCTCCACTAGTACTAAAAGAAAAGTCATAAAGAACACAGTGGGAAAACGATAGATATTTGATGCTTCACTTAGAAAATTTCTTTATCAAGAAAAAACTTAGAAAATATTCTTTTTTATGTGATTGCTTTAGTTTGTTTTGTGAAACTTTTGCATTAAAAAAGAAGCTTCAAGTAATTATCTTCCTTTTACAACATTGCCAAGCTAATTCTATATTTCTTGCAAAGTGTGAGTTTCAAAAGTTATATTCATAACATGAAACTTCTTGTAAAAAGTAGGTTTTGAATTGTAATTTGTGTTTGTTTAAAAAAAAAAAGTTTAAAGCTTATTATATCATGCATTTATTCAATCTTTTTCTATTATTACTTGGGACCCTTATTCATTTATCACTGTTATGAATGTAAATAGTAACGTACCACATTTATAGGTTTAAGCTTATTGTATAATGCATTTATTCAATTCTTTTCCTATTATTACTTGGGGGGCCTTATTCATTTATCACTGTTATGAATGCAAATAGTAACGTACCACATTTCATTGTATGGTTGCCCACATAAAAGAAAAAATAAAAAATTGATTGCGACTCAAAGCTACGATAATTTGGTGACATAATAATATCTTGAAATTCTTTGCCAAGTTTATTTATATATAAATGTATGATAAAAAAAAATATAATCGGACAATAGAACTAACGAAATATCTAATATCAAATTAACAAATTAACAAGAAAACAGTACAACAGTAGAGTGAAGGAAATAACTTTGTAAGTTGATATGATTTTTATAGTTCTTGAAACTAATATAATATTGAATAAGCATTGATATTTGGTGACTGAGCTCTCTATTTTATCCGTTCTTTTCGTTAAGCAGAATTAAATTATTAATTCAACAGATATTAAAAAGAAGACATTTATTGATACGATTAAAACTCGAACAACTCACAAGTCCTTCTAACATAGGAAGAACCGAAAGATGAAAACGATAAACACGATCCATAGAACACACAAACTGATAGTATCCTCAAGAACATTTTGAAGACTCTTGTACTCAATTATTTTGTCCCGGTAGGATTCTTGATCATCTAGAGTTCTTCCCTAAGCTTGGAGGTTGGAAATTTAGGTTCGAGGAAATCTGAATACCATTTGCCCGAAACTTTTTGGTGACGGGTCAGATTGTTTTGGAAATCGATGTAGTAAAGCCCGAACCTCGCCTTGTACCCATCTTGCCACTCGAAGTTGTCCATCAACGACCACACGAAATATCCCGTAACGTTCACTTTGTCTTGGCTAAAAACCAGTGATATTCATCAGATTAATTATTTAGAGATTCAATAATGTTTTGAGTTGTTTAATTTGATTTTTAACTTACCAAATGGCATCGTGCATACTCAAGAGATGCCTTTGGAGATAATATTTCCTGTTGTGATCTTGTGTTCCAAAATCTACGTCATTGTGCTTCTCTCCAAGGTCCTCTCCGTAACCTTAAAAACCGAAAGAAAATTTAAAATTCGTTTTTCATCAAAAATAAAATAATATTGAAATTTATGAAATGAGTGTTGAGTATTTTCTCTAACCATTCTCGGTAATGATGATCTCTGGGTCGCCATAGTTATCCTTAATATACTTCAAAAGGTATCTCATTCCTTTGGAATACACATCGAGTTTACCGTTAAACGGCTAATTCAAGGGAAAAAATTACATATGTTAGAAAACTATGTTAAAATTATAAAATTATACGTTATAAGGTAAGTGTGGAAGAAAAATAAAAAAGATTCAATTACCTTGCTACCAATTTTGTAACCATCCACACTCTTGCCTGGTTAATTAATTTAACAAGAAGCATTAATAATGGAATAATTAATATTATGACAATGATATAAGATAACTAAAAGTAGAAATTTCGAATACTTACTATCCCAATCAACAAGAGAATCAGTAGTCCAACTCGGACTCTTAGGATTAGGGTTAATTTCTTTTGCAAACACTGAAGTATAATAATTCATTCCTACATAATCTGTAGAATCCTTCAGCAACTTCTTCTCAGCTTCTGTAAATTTTGGCAATCTATGACCGACACGATCTTTCATGGATTGTGGATAATCTCCATAAGTTGTTGGAGCCAAATGCCTAAAAAAAAAGATTAGTAAATTATAAACAGTTAGAATTAGAATTTATTACATTTTTCATTAGTGTAAGTTATGTAGTTATTTTACCATCCCAGGATGAAATCAAGCACACGTTCAATGGCACCTCCAACATGCTCAAGGTCTTGTGGTTCGAACCAAGCTGGACTGTGTGCAATTCCAATTTTACCTCCAGCACACTATAATATTTTAACAAAAATTAAAATTAGAAAATTACAAAGTAAAAATAAAATAAAAATTCTAGAATGTAATTTAGGTAACCTGTTTGCATTTTCTGAATGCGTCAACGGCGTAAGCATGCGACAAGAGTAAGTTGTGACTGACTTGATAAGCTTCGTATCCAGACCGTCCATCTTGACAATGTTGTCCATAACCGGGGATGTACGGTGAACAACGTCCCGGAGCTTTCTTTCCGTTGTCGTAACCGGCACGACTAAACACCCATGGCTCGTTGAATGTGATCCAATTTTTCACCTTGTGTCCGTATTCATGGAAAGTGAAATTCGCATATTCGGTAAAATCTTGCACGATGTTACCACTTAAGAAACCACCATATTCATCTTCCAAGTCTTGAGGAGTATCCCAATGAAAGACTGTTACTAGTGGTATTATATCTAAATTTCCAAAGATAAAAGGTAAATAAAATTGTTAGTATAAATTAATGGTATGGAATTTTTTATAATAACGTTTTTTTGAAGATTACTGTTTTTGAGAAGCTCGTCGATGAGGTCGTGGTAGAATTGGACTCCTGCTTTGCTTATTCCCTTAGACATCCTTCCATCTGTTAATTAATGTGAATAATAACCACTAACATTAGTAATTAACATATAATATTAACCACTAACATTTTGAATATTTTGAAAATATTAGTAATTAATGTGAATAATAACCACTAACATATATATTGATCAACTATTAAAAAAATAAACTTACGGGGGAATATTCTGGGCCACGCAATAGAAAGTCTAAAACCATCAGTGTTAAGGTCTTTCATCAACTGGATATCTTCCTGTTAATATTCATTTTAAAATATATTATTAACAATAAAAAAAAACATATTTCAATCATAAGAAACGGAAAAAATAAAAATAACATAATTATTACCTTGTAACGATGGTAGAAATCCACAGCAACATCAGCGTTATGATTTTCACATCTATCTGGAAAATTAAATCATAATGTGTTTAAACATTCATATATCGATAAAAGGTAAAGTATTCCACATACGAATAAAGAAAATAAATTTACATACGTGGGAACTTCTTAGTGAAAGTATCCCACATGCTTGGACCTCTGCAACCTTCATCAACAGCTCCTTCAACCTATATATATTATAACCACATAATAACAAACAAATGATCAATAACCTTAAAACGTTTTTTACCAATAAAAAAAATCATATGATCTAAAAAAAATAAGAATGGACCTGAAATGCTGCTGTTGCGGTTCCCCAAATGAAGTCTTTAGGGAAGTTTAATCTGCTAAATTTGCCAGGCAGACCAGCACCGCAAACAGGTCCATCGGCTTTGGTCGGTGCTCCGACCAGAGTTAGAACCAGAGCTAACCCTAACACTAAAGGAACCTTCTCGAACCTCACCATCATTGAGTGTTCTCTCTCTAGTTTCCTCACTCTTTTTTTTTCTCTCTAGCTATATATATTAGTGGAGGAAATTGTTGTGGATGAAATGAAAGAGAGATCATGGTTATATAGAGAGTTGTGTCAGTGTTATTGTGTGTGTGAAATGTGTATACAGTAGCAATGTATCATCACCAAAACTACGTGCTGATATTAAATTAAGTTAGGTTAATACAATTAACTAATTAGTAGCACGTGATTCTTTATAAGGGTCCTGAAACAAATAGAAGCCGAGAGTTTTTATTTTTCTTTGCGAATGCCAGCAAATAATTAATAACGAATTGTTATTTGCTTACTTTACTTTTGTATTTGCTATCTACAACAAAATATTAACGAACCACTTGGATAATCATTAGCATTTTATTTATATGATATATATATATATATATATATATATATATATATATTGTCATTTACTCTTTTTTTTAGAAAAAAAAGAACATAAATGACTTGTTTGTTTGTAAATTGTAACAATCTATATGGCAACTTGGCAAGTTTCTCTAATGAGTTAAGTGGGTTTAAATGCTTTCACATCGGAGTCGTATAATCATATATATCTTTTATTTTTATAGGAATTTCTTGCTGGTTGTAAATTGCATGTAACGAAAAATGAATGTGTAATTCATTTAAATTACAGAAAACAACAGGGAAAATTGCATTAAAAAGGACTTTATTCAAGTATTAAGACAATTTTCAGTAATTGATCCCATAATTGAGCTATGGTGCACTATTTCAATGATCACCATGGGCCTCAACACACCGTCCACATATCAAGCTTCACGCTTTACTTGTTCTTAGTTCTTTTATTCTGCTTTCTAGTGTTTTTTTTTTTTTTTTTTTTTTGATAAATGTAATTTTACTTTTTGTTTCATTCAATCAATAAATTTAATTTTGAAAATAGTTTAAATTTACAATAAAACTGATTTTTTGTAGATATTATCGATAAATTATTAGCCTTAATTTTCTTACTGTCCATTTACATTTAAACAAACACTCAATACATAAAAAAAATATTAAGAACCAAAATTTCCTTTTGCAAAACTGATATCTCTACGACTCTACCACAATATAGTTCTAGAGTGATCAATAATAGACCACAATTAAAATGCAACTTAAGACTCAATTTACAGAAATCATATACCAAAATCATAATGCAATTTAAGTATCAACTGCGGTGTTAGTTAAAAAAATCTTGTAAGTTTTATATCCCTATTCAGTCTTAAATGTATAAATTTAAAAGCATTATAACAGTTATTGGCTTTCATATTGCGTCAGAAAAACATTTATTGGTTTTCTACAGGAAAAAATTGATAACTCAAGAATAAATACTTGAGCTGGAATCTGAATGATGAAAAATTAAATCACAATCTTTATTAATAGTATGAATTAAATTAAAAAAAAATTCTATAATAGAAATAAAAATTTAAGGGCACGTGCAGTGGTGGGTTCTCAAAAGAGTTCTCAACAATATAAAAAATAAAAATAATAAAAAGTAGGAGAGAGGGATGAGAATCAATTCTCAAATGAGAACTCTTGAGATCACCCTTATCCATGGGCTCTTAGATGAATCTTAGCCAAATCTTAAGCTAAGATTTGTGAAGAAAGAGCTCTTATATAAGAGCTTTTAGGTTTATATTTAAGCTTTTTCTTCACAAATCTTACCTTAAGATTTGGCTAAGAGCCCATGGATAATGGTGGTCTGAGAACCCCTTGAGAGACTATTATAACACATGTCATAATATTATGGTTATGAATTCTTTTCTATCTTTCAAAATTTAAATAAAAAATAAACTAAATTAAATGTATTAAAATAATATATATGAGAGACTGTGAGAGTCTCTCCCCATTGCACATGCTCTAATATAAACCAAAAAGCTGGTGATAGATTTATTTAATATTTGATGTCAAAGAAAAAAAAGATTTATTGAAATATTGTCCTAGAAAAGCTGGTAAAGACCGTTGTGGAATAAGGAAAATGTGACAAAATTATATGTTAGTTAATTGTTAACTACCATATGAGAAGAGGGAAAAAACGTGCCCAAACAACAACTCACCTTTATTTTTAGTTACAAGGACAATCTAGTCATTCGTTATCTCTTTTGTCATAGTATATGATTGCATATACACTGGAATAACACTAATAACACTCACTATTTGTCACATTCACATTGGATCTTACACGAGACGTGGGGACTTACTGGATGTCTTTTTCTTTAAATAGATAGTTGGCTTTATATCTATAGATAATTGGTAAAGTTGTATTTGACCAACAAAGATAAATGGTAAATGGTAATAGTTGTGTATGATGTCGATGTTCTCACAGCAAAAGCTAAATGGCTGTTGGAAGAAGTCACTATATTGTGGTAAACAACATTTTATTAATACGATAATTAACAACTTAAACAACTCACAACTTTTGCTAAAATAGGAAGAAACCATAGATAAAAACGACAAACATGATTCATAGACACACAAACTGATATTGATCCTCAAACCAAGACTCTTGCAACAAAATTAATTGTCCAAATAAGATTCAAGATTTGGATTCTTGATCTAGAGTTCGTCATTCTTTAGATTATATCCCGGCTTGAGGAAATTAGAATACCATTTCCCCGATTCTTTTTGGTGACGGGTCAAATTGTTTTTGAAGTCGATGAAATAAAGACCGAACCGCGAATTATACCCATCTTGCCACTCAAAGTTGTCCATCAAAGACCATACAAAATATCCCGTGACGTTCACTTTATCGTCGCTACAATAACAGTTATGCATGTTCAAAACATTAATTATTTATTCGAATATAATGTTACGATTAGTATTCGGTTTAAATGGAAATTTGCACTTACCAAATGGCATCGTGCAAACTCAAGAGATGTCTTTGGAGATAATATTTTCGGTTGATATCTTCTGTCCCCTTTTTTATGTCATTGTGATGCTCTTTAAGGTCCTCTCCGTATCCTAAAAAAAAAAAACCATAATAAAAATCTGTTTTTATATATTCAAAGTATCATAAAAATTGAAATTGATGAAATTAGTTTTGAGCATTTTCACTAACCATTTTCGGTGATAATAATTTCTGGGTCTTCATACTGCTCCTTAATATATTTCAAAAGATATCTCATGCCTTTTGCGTACACACCCATTTTACCACCAGCAGGCTAATTAACGAAAAAAAAATTAATACATTGACTAATTATGTATTAGGAAAAAAAAGAAGATTCAAAATTACCTTGCTAAGTCCGTATCCATCCACAGTCTTCTCTGATTAATTTAACAAGACGCATTAATAAGAGAATAATATCAAAATAAAGATCAAACATATATAGTTGAAAATTAGAACATTCGAAAATGTACCCTTCCATTGAACAAGAGAATCAGTCTCCCAACTTGGGGTCTTAGGATCTGGATTATCAATACGACCAGCAAATATTGAAGTATAATAATTCATTCCTACAAAATCTGTAGATCTTTTCAGCTTTTTCTTCTCAGCTGCTGTAAATTTTGGCAATCTATGACCGATGCGATCTTTCATCGATTGTGGATAATCTCCATAAGTTGTTGGAGCCAAATGCCTAATTATAAAATCATAATTAGTTATTATTAATTACTACAATTTAACTCATTTTTAACAATTAGATTTTACCATCCCAGGATGAAATCAAGTACAACTTCAATGGGAGCACCAATCATATCAAGGTCTTCTGGTTCGAACCAAGCTGGACTGTGTGCAATTCCAATTTTACCTCCAACACACTATAAATTTTGTAAAAAAAAATTCCTTTAAATTAAACAACATAAATAATATTATACAAAAAATATAAAATGTAATTTAAGATAACCTGTTTGCATTGTCTGAAAGCTTGAACAGCATCAGCATGAGCCAAGAGTAAATTGTGACTGACTTGATAAGCTTCGAATCCTGAACGTCCATCTTCGCATTGCGGTCCATATTCTTTAATGTATGGTGAACAACGTCCAGGAGCTTTTTTCCCAACGTCATAACCGGCACGGCTAAACACCCATGGCTCGTTGAATGTAATCCAATGCTTCACTTTGTGGCCGTATTCGTGGAAAGTAAAATTCGCATATTCCGTAAAATCTTGACTATATATATATATAACATATAATTGAGTTATCAAAACAGTAGTATAATTACATGAAAACATAAATTTACAGTATGATGAACTTACACAATGCGACTACTTAAGAAACCACCATATTCGTCTTCTAAGTCTTGAGGAGTATCCCAGTGAAAGACTGTTACTAGTGGTGTTATATCTAAATTTCCAAAAACCAAAAAGAATATTAATTGTTGGTATAAAATGATTTAATGTGAATTTTTGATAACTGTATGATGAAAATAAATTAGTGGTGTTATATCTAAATTTCCAAAAACCAAAAAGAATATTAATAGCTGGTATAAAATGATATAATTTGAATTTTTGATAACTTTATTTGTAGTTGATGAAAATAAATTACTGTTTTTGAGAAGCTCATCAATGAGGTCGTGGTAGAATTGGACTCCTACTTTGCTTATTCCTTTAGACATCCTTCCATCTGTTATTATTTTGCAACCATTTTGAAACTATAATTAATTATGTGAATAATTACTACTAACATATTGATATAAACAAAATAAAAAGCTTACGGGGAAATATTCTGGGCCACGCAATAGAAAGTCTAAAACCATCAGTGTTAAGGTCTTTCATCAACTGGATATCTTCCTGTTAATATTCATGTTAAACTATATATATTAACCATAAAAAATACATATTAATTAATTCCATCATAAGAAACAAAAAATACCAAGATAATTAATTACCTTGTAACGATGGTAGAAATCCACGGCAGTATCAGCGGTATGATTTGCACATCTATCTGAAAATTTATTACAAAGTAAATTATGGATATTAATTTATCAATTTTTTTTTAAATACGTAAGAGAAATGAAATTTACATACGTGGGTATTTCTTAATGAAAGTATCCCACATGCTTGGACCTCTGCAACCTTCATCAACAGCTCCTTCAACCTATATTACCACATAATAACAAATAAATCAATAACCAAAAACGAATTTACAGAAGTAAAAAAAAAACATATTATCTTCAAATATCAACAAAAAAATTTAAAGAATGGACCTGAAACGCTGCGGTTGCCGTTCCCCAAATGAAGTTCTTAGGGAAGTTTGCTCTGCTAAATGGTATTTCAGGCACACCTACACCGCAAACAGGTCCGGCGGCTTTGGTCGGAGCTCCAACCAGAGTTAGAGCCAGAGCTAACCCTAACAGTAAAGGAACATTCTCGAACCTCGCCATTTTGTGTTTCTCTTTCTAGTTCCTCTCTCACTCAACACTCTCTCTAGCTAGCTATAGATATTGGTGGAAGAAGCTGTTGAAGATGAAGGAAAGGAGAGCTCATGGTTATATACGGAGTTGCGAAATTTGTCTCCATCTGCAAAACTGATCTCTACCATTAAAAAATCATATTTAACGTTTAAAAAATGATCAATATTAGACAGAAATTGTAATACATCACTATCTTTATTTACTAAGAACCTCTACTCAGTGTTTTTCAACAATTAAAACTATTCTCTAGTTATAGACACATCACACATGCATCAATCATATACCAAAATCAGAATGCAACTTATAAGCATCATCGTATAAAATGTATATTTTGCATGAAGCCATGAACTATAATCATTAGTATTCCAATTATAGAGAATTACTTTCAAGAAAATTGAATTATTTTGTGTCTTAAAGTAAAAATAAAACAAATAGCTGGTGATAATGTTTTCGGAATTTTGTCCGATACAAACCGTTAAAGACTCTAGTGAAATTAGAAAATGTGACAATATTAATTTTTAGTTAGACGTACAGTGTTAAGTGTTAACAGTTAACAACCAGAGGAGAAGAGGAAAAAAACGTGCAATCTAGTCATTTCTTTATTTGTTTTATTTTTTTTGGTTACAAATTTTGTTGTTTTATTTCGTATATATATAATTATAGATATATATTTTCTACAGGATTGTAACTAAAAACTTTGTGGATCAAATGCTAAGGCGCGTCTTTGTCAAAATTATCTTGAAACGAATATAGTATTTGTAAACCTTCTATATATGATAAGGTATCAAATAACACTACGTCACAATGACTCTTAAGTCTTAAGGCTTACATGGGAGACATTTTATAGATGTCCATATTTTAAAATAGATTTCCTTTCCTTTCATAGCAAAAATTCACAAACTTTTTTTTTTTGGTCGGCTATATCATTTCATTAATATGAAACGAGGACTTGTTTAAAGTAAAGAAGGCTCAAATAACACAGCTTTTACATTCAACTTAGAACTTCTTTTTTTTTTGTAAGAAACTTTGACTTCCTAATCTAAATAATGAAATCCAACATTTTACGAGTGGCCCAAAACAACTCCATTGTGCCTTTTTCTTTGAAAAACCTAACATAAAAAAAAAAAAATGATTGCATGATAACTAATGGGAGATCAATGAATTTAACCATGTCGATCGAGATTATGAAAATCATGAAAACAAAAAAAGATTAATTTTGAAAATTATTGATTGTCAGTATATTAGTTTAGAAAATTATGCATTTAGGAAATTTAACATTAATACTCACTAAATATATTATTTACAATTCAATTTATCTTCATGTGCAATAGCACTCTCAAGCAAAACCAATTGATCAAAGCGGGTGGTGAAGCCTTGTACATACTCATCAATGGATTTGGTGTCTTTCTTCCATTGCTAGAGTTGTTCTCGTAACTGCTTAATATGGCTAAGCGCGGCTTGGTTTTGCATAAGCATATATTGTTGCCTTAGACTAGAAAGGTTGAACTGAAACAGATATCGGCATATCGCACCAAGAAGACCAGAATAGATGAGTTTGTCTTGTTTTTCCAGAGTTTGTAGGCAAGATTTGTGGAGGTGACGCCATGGACAGAGATTGTGTCTTCGGGTGCAACAATAGAGCCGTCTAGATATCCGGCTAATTCATATTCATCTAATAAGGCATGGACTTGACGATTCCACATCAGAAAATTTGTAGCGGTGAGCTTTGTCACGTTTGTCATGTTGAATGAGAAGCGAGGCTGAATCAGAGACAAAAACGGACTTTGTAGAGGTAGACATGGCCGAGAAGAAAGAAACTCAAAGAACAAGTTTTGAGTTGAGGAAGACGTAACGAGAACAAGAGAACCAGAGAGAGATGCGGCCAATTGAAAAAAAAAGGTCTTTGGATAATTGGATATCACTACTCTGATACCATGTAATGAGAGAGTGAATCGATTCAATAAGAGAAATCATTTATAATATATACATATATAGGACTTAGACTATATGGCTTACAAAGTGACTAATTACAATTATAGCCTTAATATATACAACTCTCATATAGTTAGACTGTTAGAGCCAAATGTGTGATAAAAAATTTCTCATTTTAGTTAAGTTTATATAATTAAAATTTAACTCATTTTTATTAAGAGTAATTTATATATATATATTTTACCATCCCGTGATGAAATCAAGCATACGATCAAATGAAAGTTCCAGTTCCAGCAACCTCAAGGTCTATTGGTTGCGAACCAAGTTGGACTGTGTGTAATTCCAATTTTACCTCTACCATACTATAAATTTTTAAGAAAAAACAAACTAGTGGAGGAACTTGTTGGAGATGAAGGGCAGGAGAGCTCATGGTTATATACAGTGTTGTGAAATTTGTTTCCATTTGCTAAACTCATCTTTACCACAAAAATTTATATTTCAAATTCTAAAAATGATACTATATATTAGATAGAAATTGTAATGTAGTAAAACCTTTATCAATTAATAATGTTGGGACCATGATATTTTATTAATTTAGAGATATATATATTTTAATTGTTAAACCTCTTTTTAAAAATATTAGTTAAAACAATTTGATCTAAATAAAATTAATGCTTTTGATATTATAAATTTTGTAGTTTAAGACTTGAACATTTAATATTTAGAAGAAAAAAAAATTTAACAATAAATAACAAAGATGGTGGATGAATTCACACATACAAATGATATACATAAATTTAAATTTATGAATAAAAACCTCTATTGATGTATTTGAATAGCCTATACAACTATTGTATGTTCTAATCAAAGACACTGACTATAGTTTCGTAGAAAAAATATATAAAACATAGACACTGATTATAAAAAATGTTAACAATGACAAACAATCTAAGGCATCTGTGGAACAATTACTATAAAAAAATTATCGATCAAATGTTTGCAATCTGTTGGTTTGAGTTGGTTTATATTATCAATCCATTTTCATTTTGTAAATATGAACAGAAAATAAGTGTTTGTTCATAACATGAAACAAACTATGCTACAATTCTCATTTTATTAGTCGAAATCACATATTAGTTCCGGCTAAAAAGATGATAAATCCTTTGTTAGAGAGGAATTCAAGAGATGTGGCAAAAAATTTATCATCGGACATCAAAAGAATGATACATGCCCAACAAAAACAAAAAACAAAATTAGTACAAAGAATGAATATTAGTTATATACCTGGACCACCATAGTCTTAGACATGGAACATCATCCGTAGATCCAACACTGTTACATCTGTAACTCCTAAAGTTTGCCGCTTCTCTGACACTTGTCACACCACGTGTTCTTCGTTGGTCTAACAATCACCTTTACCCCCAAATGACCAATGTTACGCACATTTTCACTAGCCTTCTTCTTGCGCTCTTTAAACGTCGGCTTATCGGCCGTAAGAAAATATTCTAGGCTCCATACAATAGTCAAACTTCCAAGTGTGAGGTTTGCATCAAAAGATTTGAGAGCAACATCAGTATTTTTGGGCAAGACAGTCAAAACATAATTCTTTGGGAGACGAAGGTTCTCAATATCATGAAAGGCCTGCACTCTTGTGCTTCTGGTAAAGAAATCAAGATTTCTATCGATTTTTTTATAAGCTTGCAAAAGCTCATGATCATCACCAAATGGGATTAAATGGTTTTTACGTAAGAAAAACAAAAGTATATAGGAATAAATCAACATTGAACTTTGATCAAACAACAACTAAAAAAGTAAAGTGGAAAACAAGTTCAATTTTTAGGGAAGGAATGTTGGGAACTAGTCGAAATAAAACTCAAATATGCATTTGGTTAGAAATTAGTGTATAAGAGTAAGTGAGTTTTACTTGGATTCTACTTTGGTTGTATTTCTAATAAACTTTTATAAAATTTTCAGATTTAATAAGAGATATTTATGAAAATGGACAGCTAGATAGAACATTTTTGAAAAGGTGGCACACCAAAAAAGGACATTTCTTAAAAATTCTCAAACAATAATGGTGGGTAAAGGTGAAAAAATAAACGATGTCAATAGCGTAAACGAAAATAACTAGAAAGAGAAAATATTGGGAAGATGAGAAGAGATAATCCTTTTATCATTCACAATTCACATAGACTTCTTCAATTTCTAAGCGATTTCTCACTATAAAAAATATTTTAAATTATCTAAAAGATATTAAAATTATCCAAAATATCCGAACATAAATTTCACTCTTGTCTATTCTGTTAGTGATTTTATGTATCTAAATTATTCATATATCGTATTCGTATTATCTGACTTAATTAAAATATAAATTGAGGTATACTTTTTATATCCAAAATATTTTAACTCGAGCTATGTACTCGTTTTTATCTAAATTTTTATCCGAAATGAATATATATATATATATATATATATATATATATATGTCAGTTGATGTTGAGAATAATACTGCTGAATTTAGTTTTATGCAAATGGTAAATACATAATTGTTAAATATTGCTGAATTCTGGTGAATGTTTTTACTATGACCTATGTTCCAACAGCGTCTCACCACGCATACATCATTGCCAATGAACTCAAGCATAAGGAATTTGATAGCTTTCAACTCAGGTTGTGTTTGCATCAACACTTTCAAATTTTAGGAGATGTCTCCCAGCTTTCAATATTCAAGTACTTACCCTCCCATTTAACAAGAGCATCAGTCTCCCAACTTAGGATCTCTTTTATCTATATGATCCTCAAAAGACGAAGTATAATAATTCATTCCTACAAAATCTGAAGATTTCTTCAACTTTTTCTTTACAGCTTTTGTGAATTTTGGTAATCTATGACCGTTGCGATATTTCATTGATAATCTCCATAAGTTGTTGGACCCAAATGCATGATATTTTTATTTTTCATCTTAGTTAAGTTAGTATAATTGTAATTTAACTCATTTTTTAATAAGAGTAATTTATTAATATGTTTTACCATCCTAGAATGAAATCAAGCAAACGATCAATGGAAGTTCCAGCAACCTCAAGGTCTATTGGTTCGAACCAAGCTGGACTGTGTGCATTTCCATTTTTACCTCCGGCACAGTATAAAAGTTTAACAAAAAAAAAAATTAGAAAATTAGAAAATAAAATTATATAAATTAAAGATATAATTTAGATAACCTGTTTGCATTTTCTGAACGCATCAACGGCTTCAGCATGAGCCAAGAGTAAATTGTGACTGACTTGATAAGCTTCGAAACCTGATCGTCCATCTTGACATTGAGGTCCATATACTCTTATGTACGGTGAACAACGTCTGGGAGTTTTTTTTCCAGTGTCATAACCAGCACGACTAAACACCCATCGCTCGTTGATTGTGATCCAATGCTTCAACTTTGTGTCCGTATTCGTAGAACGTAAAATTTGCATATTCCGTAAATTATTGCCTATTTTCATATAACATATATAACTGAGTTATTAACACATTAATTAATATAGTTACATGAAAACATATAATATTATTTTTTTCTCAAAAAAAAAAGCATTTAATATGAAAATAGGTTAGGAATAATTGACATTTGCTTATAGAATGCATAAATGGACAAATATTTATCTTTATTTTTAATTTTCTTTCATTTATGAATAAAAGTCACTATCTTGCAGCCTAAGATCTAACCCTAATTTGCTGTTCCCTTGTTTTTCCTCCTTTTCCTCTTTTATCGTCTCTCGATATCTAACTCCGTCTAGACCATGCCCAGAAGAAGACTTTTCGCCGGTAAGATCTCTCTCTTGCTCGGAATTGTTTGTAGATTTCATCTGTTTTAATCGTCTCTGTAAATTTTAATGGATCTGATTGTTTTATTTTTTTCCGTTTCGTGATTGTTTATGACTTGTCCGTTTTATGAAACGTCGCAGTGGCTAGGACATTCGCCTACTGGGACGTTCACAGTTGGCACCCGCCTAAGGATAGTATCTTTTTTGCCGACCCTGGTTATATTGGTTTGGCATTCCGCTTGCCTCTTTATGAAGAGCGTGTTCGAAGCCTGCGGTCAATCGATGCTTATTGTGGTAGGGATATGTTCTCCGACGACCAGATTCTAAAGTGCGAAGATGTCGGAATCAACGTCATGCTCTTAGGGAATACTAGATCGGCATTCGTTAATTTGATGTTATGGGACATTGCATCAATGGCAAGGAACAAGCGTTTTGGAAGTAAAAAACCAAATTTGGTGGTCTTTTCAAAAATCTCAGAGCACACGGAGATGATGACTAAGGCTCTTGTTTCTTTGAGACGAGTAGGTTGCAATGTTTTGTTTGCAATGCCTGATGATACCAATAAATCATATGGAGATTTTGGAGTCTCCTTATCTAAGGACGAGTATGGCAATGTTTCCTTAGCACTGCTGTCTGATCCCTCATCAAAAGTCCCAGTAGTGTCTTGTCCAGACCTATTTGATGAAGAAAAAGTACTTGCAAATGTTTATGATCCTGATGATGAAGAAGAAGAAGATGTAATGGAAGTAGAAGAGGTAGAGCGTAGAGTTTCTCCAGAGCCTTTCATACCCCCTGAGGCAGAGGCAGAGAGTAGTAGCTGTTTCGTCCTTCCCGAAAACGTTGGTACATGCGTCTTCTGGGACGTCCAGGATTACCCAGTTCCTCTAGGTCTGCAGCCTGAAACGTTTATTCAGAATATCAAGACAGCTCTTGGAACAGAGGATGACATCTTAATCTTGGCTTATGTTGCTGATGAGAAATCTTTCCCGGATAGCTATCGTACCCATTCCAGATTCACCTCAGTTTCAGCAGACAAATATACCAGACTTACTGTGATGATGGTGGACATTATTTGCTGGGTTGTGAAAAATTGTTCTGCGTGCCCAAACCTGTTGGTAATCGCGAATGCCAGTGTAGAAGATCCACAATTCTGGCCATTTCTTCTAGGTTTGGGATATAGAGGTTTCAATATTTTTGCAACAATCCCTGATACGGACTTACCTGATGATAAAACTAAGACGGCGGAAAGGCTTATGCTTAAGAAGTCCTTATTGTCTTGGAAAAACCTTTCATGTAAACGAAAGCGTAAGGGCATAGAGGATACTGTTTCTGGTTCTGATGAATAACTTCTAGAAGACTTTTAAAACTTCTGTGCGCAGCAGGTCTCAACTACCCCCTGGTTTGACAACAGTGTTTTATGTACCTCTGAAAACATTGACCTTTCATCTTTGTTAAACTCTTTCTTCTGTTCCTTCAAGCTGCAACCGTCTTTGGTAGATCCCTCTTCAAAGCTCCTAGGCCATCTTTGTCAAGGTTGTGATAGAACGTGTTTGGTCTTCATTGGCTAATGCCATTTGCAGTCCCTCAAGTAGTTTCGAGTCTCGTTAACTTCTTCTTCCCTTTCCGTACCTTTTCATTGATTTATAACTTTCAATGAATCTTAGATCAATTTTAAACCGATCTTTATAGAACCAGCTTCACAAATCCCTGTAGAAAACTTGGACTTGTATACCTAACACATCCTTGAGAAAGACTTCCGATCCCAACCTTGTGGGGATAACACTCTTTTTCCCTTAACAAAGTTTTGTCCCAAGTGGTTTTCTTTGTTAAGGTTTTTTAATGAGGTTATTCACACAAGTGGCCAAGTTTATACGCAATTCCATTGTAGTATAAACTTGAGGGGGAGTGTTGATCAAGAAGGTATTTGATACTTACCAAGTCATGGTTCGATATCAAATACATTTACTTGTGTGTCAAGATAAGTTTAATTTCAAAGGAGAAGAGAAGAGGAGGACCACAACGGTCATGTTGACCAAGACCGTACAGACGAGCTACCTCGGCCATTACCTTATCCGGAGTGTCCTTTTGCGCGTGTACTATTGTCTTATCCTATTATGACCGTTTGATGAGCTGTAGTGAGCTGGATACACACGCGGTCTATGAAGGATGAATGAGGGTGCTTTATGAGATATGTGCACAACCCATTTTAACCTTGAGTATGTTCTATATATAGCCGCGTGTGTCTCCTCTCTCAAGTAACACAATCTTATCAATATCATCTCTCTTTCTCTCCATCTCTAAACATGACTCTCTTATTCCCAACTTAATCTTATAATCTCTTCATTGATCACACGATAAATCTACAATTTTAAGAACAAATCTTAAACCCTTAAAATGTCAGGACCAATTTGAAACCTGTCTGGTCCAGTCACATTCAAATGAAACATAAAAAGAGATCGAGGATGCAGATTTTAGTCACATGGGTTTCTTCGACGAACATAAACATGTAACCAAAAAGTCAAATATGTATTATCAATTTGTTGGGGAATGAATGTTGGGAACTAGTCAAAATAAAACTCAAATATGCATTTGGTTAGGAACTTGATCATTTTTTCCAATGTGGGAGCCCAATTAAGAACTCTCACCCAAACACAAGGTAATAACAATAGCTCGAAATAAGAAAGGGTTTTGACATTTACTAGGAAAATCAAAAGTCAAAAGGGATAGATATTTTATTAATTGATCACAAGTACAAAATCGCTAGATAATAAGAAACACTTAAGGAAGCAACTGAAATCCCTAAATAAACCTAAACGTTGAGATCAGAGACGAGAGACGTGTCCTCCTCCGGGGGTTTGGTATGAAGAAATAGTAGTCCTTGGAAAAGAAGAGTATTAACAAGGATCAAGGCCGCTACGAAAACACAAGCAAGCCAAAAAGGTCGTTGGTAACCTAAATACGCCACCAAACACAGTAGAAAATCGGTGTAGACAACCTGTTGGACAGATACATCTTTTGGCGGCCAAGAGAGTTGCATGGCGGCCAATAATCCAGCTACCAACGAAAATCCATATATACACCCTTCTATGGTGTGAATGTAGTGTGATATGCCGCACACTGTTACCATCGCAATTCCGACCAAGCCAGACCAATCTCCCGAGTTGTGACTTGTCGGAACTGGAACCGGAACGTAAAACGATCTCACCACCAAACCGGCAGAGTGCAAGAATGGCGCTGCAAACACTAAAACCACCGCCCAAGATTCTTCTTTCCATGTAGACCACGACGAACATAACGACGGCCACAAGAGTTCCACACTGAACCTAGTTAACCAAACCACAGATGCCAACATGGCTATCCCGCGATAAATCCATCGAGTTTTCCCACAATTCACTCCTTCGATTATCATCCTCGCTTCCTTCTCACTCATCTTTCTTTCTACGATTTTGGTGCTCAATTGTAGAAAGATTTGAATAATAAAAACCTATTTCTATGTTTATAAATTTAAAGGCTCTTATTTTCCTTATTTTCCTTTTTTTCTTTTGATTTCCAATTTCCAATTTCCCGTTTTTCTATTCACTTTCCATATTTTATTTGATTTTATTTAAACAATAGGAAATAAAGCAAAATATAGTTAACAAAACAATTTAAATTTTGAAAACAATTTTAAAAAAAATTAAAAATAAACATGTTAAAAAACTTGCCAATTGAGAAATTTTGAACGATGGCCGGAACCGATCTTTATATAACCAGCTTCACAAAACCAGACTAAAAAACACCGATCACAGGATTAATCTTTCAACTTTCAAGAACAAATCTAAACCTGAAAAAGTCACCAATTCAAACCGGTCTGGTGCAGTCGCATTCAAATGTAACATAAAAAGAGATCGAGGCAGATTTAAGTCAATATGGTTCCTTCTACAAACAGAAACATGTAACCAAAAATGTCTCAACTGTGGGAAAAAAGAGCAACAAACTTATCCAAATTTATAGTTTTTCTCTGCCTCAAAATTCAACTACTTGAAAGTAACAAGACGAGAGAGACAAGAGAAGTGTTTCTACATGTGTTTGCTTTTTACCTTTTCTTCAAGTATCTGTAGCTGTTGGAGAGTTCTCAGGTGTCTTCAGAGGGAGAGCTGATTCTTCTGCTGCTTTCTCCATTGGTTTACTGTCTTTGTGTTTGTCAATGGCTACACGAAACTCTTCCACGATTGTCGAGTCTTTGAACTTCAGTGCAAATGTAGAGAGACCTTCTTTGCCTTCGCTTACACTATTCACACAAGCGAATGTGATTCCTTTTTTATCCATGGCTGCAAATTTCATTTCTGGGTAAAGACTCGCGTTTAAGATCAATCTGTAGTTTCCTTTAGCTCTCATAACTAATCTTGCTTTACCACCATTACTGGAGACGTTTACCTTGAGTTCTCCTTTTCCACGCTCTTTCCATCCTCCATCAAGATATTCGAACATAATCGAGTCAGCTGAGAAGGCAACTTTCTCATTCTCTTCACCTGTTTCAGTGGAAACCTCTTGCTTTGGCGGAAACCCACTACCTTCAGTCTTCTTGATAATGGAAGATCCAGTTGCACCGAATAGAGAAGAGTTATTGCTGCTTGGAAGGCCAAAGCCAAAGAGAGACCCGGTACCAGCTGAACCATCCTGAGAAACCAACCCAAATGAGAACGAAGACCCAGAAGCCTCTGTACTGGCAAGTCCGGTGAATGCGTTTTTGTTACTTGAATGCTGTTGGAATGAACTGAAAGCACCATTATCGCCGTTCTTATCTGCTTCTTCAATTCCGTTGCCTTCTTTTTCTTTTTTCTCAGCCTGATCACCTCCTGAATTCTTCTCAAGAGGAACTTCAGTTTGGTCTGTTCCTTCAACAGCGTTGTTGCTAACGTTTGTGTCACATGAGACCGTCTGAGCTACATCAGCATCAGCAGCTTGGTCATCAGCACTCTTTCCACAATGACTATCATCCTCATCTTTAGTCTTTTCAGTCTCTTCCCCAGCAGGATCTTCGACATCAACCTTCTTACTGTCAACTTCATCGCCCTCCTCAATATCACTTGCTTTTTGATTGTCCTCAACTACTGCATCAGCTGGAGCCAATTTAGACACAGGCAGAGGTGCATTTGTTCCCACAGGGGTTGAAGCAGGTGCAGAAGTAGGGACCAACTGAATTCCAGCAAATGGATTGGGTGCTGCAGCGGGCGCAGCTGATGGCTCTTTGCGCTTAACTCTGAAAATTCTTCTACTAGCCAATACCTCATCACTGGCCTTCTTGAAAGTTCCAGTCTCAAGTTCAGCTGAATCATCATCATCATCAAGACCTGGATTGTCACGAGACAGCTGCTTCAAGGCACCTCTCTTTTTTGAAGGTTGCTGAACGTTTTCCGAGTCCCCCATTTGAAATGTTATGAGAGAATATCCACACACTTATAAACTTGTCGAATACCTAATAAATAAATAAAACACGAAACAAGAAATTCTATGAATATTAATAATCAATAGTTCAATACTCCTCAGAGATACTAACAGATAAAGAAATCCAAGTTTTGATTACAATAACATGGTTCCAAAGGTAAACCAAACACATAAGACATACTCAAACACACCGGATCAGTTTGCAGCCACAGATGATGAAAAATGCCAAATCCAAGAAGAGAAAAGTTGTAACATGACAATGCAATGGAAAAATAACACAGAGGCTTGAACAAGATAAGAAGTAAAGTGTAACCTTACGCAAATATCCTAAAATGCATACAAAGAACACAGCTAATTAGATGTTAACACTCCCAGGAAAGGAACAGAACCAAGTAAGAAATGCATCCACAACCAATGAAATATTCAACACCATCAGTGAATTTGTTATCCTCAGAGATTGTAAATCGGAGGAAACAAAAACCCAAATTCGATTTTAGGAACCATCAAATGCTACTTGAGAAATTATTCGAAATCTGAAATTCGATCTCGAAAACAAGTTAAAATCCCAAACTAAACCCTAATCATCAAAGCAACAATCAAAAACAAAATAAATATATAAATGACCGGAAACTATTTCCACAACAAACAACAGAATCACAAAACCCTAGAATCAAAGTAGCTAACCCTGAGGCCATTTCCGATAAACCCGATAATGAAGAAACCCAAGATTCGAAGAAAGTGACCGGTGACGGGAAAATGAGAAGGACTTACCCAGAAGGAGCAGTAGCAGTAGCAGAGACGGAAAAACCTAACGCCGGAGCCAAAGTGGTCCTAGTCAGAGACGAAGAGAGGAAGCAAAAGAGGTTTATAGACGAACTCAGTATCTTAATTTCTCAATTTTTTATTTTTATCGACATTTGTGTGACTTTATTTTATTTTGCATAAAAGGTTCCATTTCCTTCTTTTTTCTGTCGACAATACTTTTGCTAAATTGATCTTATTTGGGACAGTATATGTATATGTATACCTGTTAATTATATTTACAAGATTACAGTTTTCTTTAATTCATATATATTGAAAAATGACTTTAAATATGTTTTTAAAGTAAGAAAATAAGTCCAAAAACAGCATATAGAGAGACTCGGAGAAAAGAAAACGGAGACGCTTCTGTTTAAGTGAGTTTTGGTTCCTCTCTGGCAACCTCAACAAAGGTATACAAGGAGAATGAATACTACGATATCAAACCACAACAAAGAGAAGCTCTGGTTACAGTTGCCGATATTAGTGAGACGGTACCAGCTCTGATGACCGATGACTGTCTTTGGTACCTCTGCGGTTCCAGATTGGACTTGTCTCGATCAACTTGTGTGGTACAAGCTGTCTCTGTCTCTTGCTTAGCTTCTTAAAATTGTGAACTTTCAGCCTTGCAATCTCAGCTTCTTCCTCTGGAGTCGTCTCTCTAACTATCACTGTTAGACGACACCTCGGTATTGATATTATCCCGCTTCTTCCTTTTGCATGGTAAGCTACCTTCTTCCCAAAGAGTCCCTTCCCAACAAACGCTTCCGCTGCATCACATATCAAAAAACCTTAGATGAAAATACATCGTTCATTCTGGCATATCATGTTTCCTTCTTTAAAGTACCAATTCTCTGGCATATCATGTTTTGTTCTTAAATGCAAAAACAAGCAAGTCACAGATCCAGAATCAGTAGTACATACCAACAAGGAGACGGTCAGGATCTAGTCCATGGTTATGAGTAGCATTTGCCCGGGCAGCGTGTATAACCTGCATTATAATGTACTTTAACTCCTTGAAGCATTGTATTAAGAGAACAAGTTGTATGCGCTTAGTATCATTAGATGAGGAAATGTATCAAATATGCCTGGAGAGGAGACTAGACCAGACACTCCAAAAGTGATTTGTTTTTTAAACTCAAATCTCAGAGATTACCCGGTACACGGTTTGTGAAGCCCGTTTGACCGTGACCTGCAATTGCATCAAAGCATCTTCAACACGCATGCCACGGACCAGTGCTGCAACCAGGTTGACCTTCTTAGGACTCTGAAACAAGCAAGGTTGGGCACATTATATAGCGCATAGAACAAGATCAAGATGTAAATATATTAAACGAAATGGAGCAGATCATCTGAAAAGTAAAACTGTTCTTGGAGTTAGAGAACATACCTGCTTTATGGACTTGAGGACAGCCTGAACTTTCTGACGCTTTGGGATAATCTTCTGCTCTTCTTCTTTTCCACTACCCAACAGAGCTGGGGATGACAAAGGTGATGATACAGGCTCTTCACCCGCCTGCAATTGTCTTGAGGTAGAAATTCCCTAAAAACATACAACTTGAGATCAGAGAAGAATGAAGCAGCATACCCAAAAGTACAGGTCCCTAGGTTCTCTACAGATGCATAGTTCCAAAAGATGAGCCTTTTCACCTAATTCACATAGATAACAGATGTAGTCATCCCACTAGCACATTCTCACTTCCCCTATCCCACTAACAACAATTTTCCTATATCAAATTTCTCAAAGAGGAAACAAGAAACTCCAGTCTCAATAGAAAGCAAAAGAAACATCGATTCAGAAGCATTACCAGTTGTTGAAGATTATAATACAGTGGCCTTGAGGAATAGGTTGGTCTCAAGAGACTCTGCAAATAACCTAGTTCACCAGCAAAAATCGAAGAAAAAAAATTAATCATCACCCACTCAACTCAAACACACACACACTATACTAAAAAAAATCCAGGATAACACCTGACATTTGAAAGATCCACTAAGAAGACAATAGATTCGGAAATGATTCAACATTTTCTAAACCCAAATGATCAAAACTCAACAGCTGCAAATGGTATAACATTCACCACCTTGTGAGAAAGGGGATTCCAAATTCCGTGTGGAAGAGTAATTTGCCGTCGAAATGTGACTGTTCTTCACTCTTCTACCAACTTGACGAATAACAATCTGTAAATTCCTCTGCCAACCCGCCATTGTTTTATACCCTAAACAATCAAATTTCAATTCAAATCCATGCTAGCTTTCAAAGCAACGCACCCATTATTCGAAGAAATTTGAAATTCGATCTCAACAAAAGGAAACCCAAATGGGTCAAATACGAGTTAAATCCCAAAAACCCTAATCATCAAAACAAACTATCAAGAACAAAATAGAGAAATGGCCGATAACTATTTCCACAACAAACAACAACACGATGAAAAAAACCCTAAAATCAAAGCAGCTAGCCCTGGGAAAAAAAATCCATTTCCGTGAGACCGGCGGCGAGGAGAAAATGCGAAGGACTTACCGTGAAGGTCAGTATAGTGGTCAGAGACGGAGACAATGCTGTCGAGCTTTTTAGGTTTAATTGTATCTCTCAATATTTTATTTTCCAACCAGATACATTATTCCGAGAGAGCTTCTGATTAACCAAACTAAATATCAGATTCTTTTTTTTAGTTAAAAATCACTCAGTTACATATACTTTTCTTTTGTTATAAGAGATTATTATAGTTTTCTTTAATTCACATCTGTATACTGACTTTTTTTATTAGACCCTCGACCGAATTCAACTAGTCATATTTCTATGTTCAAAAATTTCAAGTGTTTGTAGAACATGAAAATACAGTAATTTTTTCACGATATTAAAAAAACGATATAAGGCTTCAAAAGAATTATTATATATGCAACGATAAAAAGTTAAAACAAATCATGTTACAGGCCAGATAAAAGAAAAGAAAATTCATCTAAGTAGATATTTGTTAAAAAAAAACAAAACCATATGATAATAATAATAAATCTCCCTGTGAGTGCAACGACACAAAAAAGAAAAGACCACACTTCCTTTAAACTCACCAGCCTCTCTCTTTCATCTATCTCTCCAGCAAAGAACTGAGTCCTGCTCGGATTTTTTAATTTTCTTAAGAAATTCAAACTTTTATTACAAATGGTTTCAAAATGTGGTTCCAGGCTGCTGGGATTTGACCTTTGACTCCTCAGTAAAAGAATGAAAGTTCTCTCACCTCTCCATTGTTCCTCGAACTTTCGAACTCTACTGACGCGGTGTAAGCACTGCAAAAACAAAGAAACCGAACGATCCACATAAGTTAAAACAGCATCAACTAATAACCCCCAAGACATTGTTAGTTTATATAAGAAGATGAAGCAGATATACTCGGTTTTCAAAGCCTAATTCATGTCGCGGAAAAAATTGGTGTTACGTTCCTAAGGGTTGCTATGAAATGCAAATGACTTGAAACCAGACACACAATCAACGGAAAAAGATGATAGAAGGCGGCATTTCGGGGAATCAAATTAATCACCAGAAACAAAATTTTCAGACTTTTCAACATTGGCCTTGACCGACTTGCTATTAGGCTGATGGGTTTCCTTCATTATTCGTACCCCACTCTTCGTCAGCCTCACTTCCGTTAACAAGTACAGCTCCATCCGTAGAATCTCCATCAACAATTCCTTCTTCTTCTTCTGCTTCTTTTTCTTCATGATGCTCCTCTACATCCTCCTCACTCCTTTGTTCATTTCCATTTTCTTCTGCTACTACCTCCTGCGAAGAAGAAAAAACGTAGTTGTTGCTTACTAAAATAGGATAACTAACAATAGTTGTAAATGAGCCAGTTAACTGGAAAAGAAAATGGGTCACCTCATGATCGATATCTCCATTTTCAAGTGATTCCTCTTCCTCAACTTGCAAGTTTCTGAAGGCTTCTACGAGGGTCATGGAAGATTTATCAGCATGGCTAGGATAATTTTCTGCACCTGTGTAAACTCCCCTGTAAATGAAGAGCAGTCGATTTTTAAAAGAGGTCTAAGAATGTCGCTATCTATATCATGTGGAGTTATTACTGCATGGATGCAGTAGGTATTAAGGATACGCTGCTTGATGCAAAGACCATGGAAGAGAAAAGCACACGTAAGCAAAAGATATGCAGGGATTACCTTGTCTCTACAGCTCTAGCTTCGACAGAAAGAGCAACTTGCCAATCTTCAAAAAGATTTGGGTACTCCTCAGGATCAGCCAAAGATTCTGCTGCTTTTGAATTAACCTGTATTCAAGTGCAAGGCAGCTTAAACCCACAACTTTTGTCTCCTTGACCACAATACACTAAAAACTAAAAAGATTTGAAAGGAACCTTGCTCAGATCTTTCCTCCAAAGAGCTACTATCTCAGAAACTTTACTCGGAAGATATGATCGTGCCATCAGAGCAGCTTCTGGTATCCGGTTGCTGGAGAACAAAATATTGTCACACAGATAACCAAAGGTGCATAAATTTGATTTTCCAAAGTCCCAAGTGACTACTAATGAATTACCTCTCCACCAATAACTGCAAACAATCTTCCAGTTTACCCAGCATGAATAGGCAAAGAAAGGCGACATTGTTCTTCCCTTGTTCTTTAGCAAGTGTTGCAAGTTTTGTCACACCTTCAGCATCTCCCAGAGAAGAATAAAGCAGTAACAAACCACTCAAATCCATAGCATACTTCATGCATTCCTCAGCCATTTGCAACTGACATACAAACGCAAAGAGTTAGTTGGAAATCACCATATCAGAGACGAATACAGGAGACGAGAAACTGAGATTTTTGCTGTTGCTCCCACATTTCTGAATAAAACCTCAGAATCAAAATGTAAATCAAATGATATCAAATGATATATCATTTACTGGAAAGGTTGTGTTGTCTCTCCTATCATTACAAAACATTAGGACGAAATGCAAAGATAAATATATACCTTTCCAGAGGACATGGCTAGCTCTCCTAATTGCTTCCACTTAGATTCACTCTGTACTTCCACGGCGATTTCCTACAGGCATAAATTAAAATACACGATTAAATATTGCCACTATACAAGAAGTTAAAAAGTATCTCTTAATCATCACAAATTATATCACCTGTGCAATTTCAAGTCTACCCAGTTGTATGGCCAACTCAAATCTGTAGTCAGGATCTGTCGCAATTTCCAGAGCCTCTTCAATCATTCCCCGTGACTCCAAGAAATGAGCAACACTAACAAGTCGAAAATTGTCCGACAATAAGTAAAGAGAAATGTCTCCACGTAACACCGATTGATAGGTGTGCAACTATGTTAAACATTAGAGTAAGTAATTAAGTAAACCTAGACACAGCATAGTTCTAAGAGAAAATAGTCAAAATATTCCTTCCTAGAGAAATAAAATACCTAAGGCATATCACATAACAAGAGATAAGCTCGACAAAGAATGAATCACAAGCACACATAGAAGTTAAGATCTAACTAATGGATAACATACCTGTTATGCTGATCTTTAGGAATTGTAGGTAAGATTTCACTGGCTTTGTCTAAATCACCCCGCATCACAAGAGTCTTGTACTCAATCAGGCTTAGCAGCAAGGTGTATCCTATAACACTGCATCCACAAACACAGGGGAACAGACATCAAACTTCTAGAACAATATTGAATTAAATAAACACACAAATCTAGGCACTTACTTGAATTCTTTGTCAACCAAAAACACCCGACTTTGACTTGCAAGATAGCCCAACAAATACATTGGGCGGTCCAAATGATACATTGTGGTTACCTAGTATAAGAATGTTAGCAATTAGAATCAAGTTCATAACAACTTCCAAATCAGAGTAAGCAACATATATGCACAATACCTCGCCTCCAACACAGTAGTTAAGCTTCCAGGAAGAGTTGTTGTAAATGAAACAGTCACCAACCCATATACCTGTCCTAACACGTTCATCATTTTCATGGAGAACCTCAAAAGCATCCTCAACACCTTCTTCCTCAGTAGGTCTTCCGCTATCAAAATGTGAGGAAACTAAGTCGCGCTGTATAACAAGAACACCATGTAAGCACTTGGACAGTCCATGAATCGCATATAGAAATTCACAGCATAAGAGTGATTGTTTGACAGGATCCTCACGTTGTATTTTAAGATGTAGAATGATGTGTCACTAGCAATGGCTACTAAATCACCACTGTCAGCCCAATATAGATTCTGCAAACGTTATGTGGCAACACTACAAATTAGAGAAGAAACGAGCGAGGACAACCTCCAACTGAAGGTAATGATATTAGTTTCCCCTATTCCAAATATGTCTTGAAGTAAACTTCTTACAACAAACTGAGCCAAGTTAACTGGGATACCTTTACAGTGACGTCAATACGTTGAATCAGCCTACATTCAGCCCAATCATAAAAGCAGATGAAATCACTTGAACACATAGCTAACAAGGTTCCTCCAAAGATCTTCTCAGCTGAAAAAGTAGGGCGGATACTCCTCTTTTCCTGAAAATGAATTTTCTGAATGAGCCAGATCCGAATATAGCCATCTCCATGACAAGTATCAATAATACTTCCAACAACCATAGAGACATGCTTTAACAGAACGGCTTAGATCAGACAGAAAAAGATTTACGAACCTGGAAATTTTTGCTAAATAGTTTAATCTTTGATGAGCTTTCTCTAACCGCACACTCCCCCTCGGACGACCAAACAAATTCCAGTCCAGAACCAAATGACCTATTTCTCCAAGCCAAAGCCGTGTAGATTATATATTCCCCATCACCACAGACTACTACAAACCTCCCATTAGGGTTGTGCTTCAAGCTCTGAGAGTCAAGAGTACCCACATATGAGACACAGATCAACTGAGAACATATATATATTCTGAAGACACAACTTTGAGGCACTTGCCAATCAATCATACCAGCTATGCAGAAAATGTTTTTCCCAAATGAACTATATAATAAGGCAAAACATCATAAAATCATTGGACCGAGTACTGTAGTAACACTCACTTGTGGATAAAGATCACAGGTCCCCAACTCTTTAACACTCAAGGGCAACCTCTCTCCATCAGTAACCTAAGATAGAGAACTACCATCAGACAAAAAAATAAACAAATAGGTCATCGTATGCCACAGTATAAGAGTTACAAGTATGGCTTGTACCTCGTAATCTGCACCAATACTTTTGATGTTTGCAGTTTGAATTTCATTATGCTTAGCCCATATGATTTTTCCGGTATTGTCCATGCTAGCGACAGGAATTTCTCGTCCAAGTTTTACCATGATGGTTCCTTCATCATATCCGATCACAACCCTGTGAAATGAAAGCGTGGACAAGGTAAGGTCTTGCAGGATAATTCAATGGAGTACTGGAAACAAGTAGAGCTCTCAATATCATTTCTAACAAATCTAAGAATCCTAATTTTTACAAATTGTCAAAGTTCAACGAATGGTGTTTCACTATCAACTGAGAGAGAACATCAACTCCCGGATAATAGTTCTGACAAGCATCGAATTATTAATAAGAGAAGGGAGCCAAAATCCAATAACTCACCGGCGTGAACTTTTAATGTAACCAATTGCCCAGACTCTCTCGAGGCCATAATTCAATGTGTTCTCTAGCCTGCAAGAAAAATCAGACATTAGGAAATTGGGATTACAAATGGAAGGACAATAGAAGAAATTGGTAATTGTGAAAAAGTGCACAAGAATGAAGCCCAAGTGAAGATGGTTTAGCTAAGGCATACATGAAGCGTTTACTTATAATATGTCCAACCAAAAACTGTTAATATTATAATACCTGTATGTAGTTGCATGCCAAATGCGAACGGTGCCATCTTCAGAACCTGTGATTATAATCGGAAGCTCTGGATGGAAACATACTGCAGATACATTGTGTGTGTGCCCTTCCAGGGTCTGGACACAACTTTTTGTTTGGTAGTCCCAGACCTGAATCTCGAAATAAAACTAGTAAATAACCTGAAAGCACGTAATGTCCAGTAGAAATGTAACATCTAAAAGAGCATTGAACAGGAGGCAGACCTTAGCAGTGTGATCATCAGAGCCGGTAATTAAATAGGGCTTATCACCACCGGTGAAATAATCTACACAATTCACCCCTTTCTGATGGGCATCCAATGTAAAATTTGGGTCTGGGGAACCAAGATTCCAAATCTGAAGATGAACATGCATGTAAACATAGAATGAGCTAACACATTCAGAATCCTAAGCGGACTAAACCATAATCAAGTTCAGAGGTTAGACCATTCAGCACCTTTATGGTACGATCAAGTGATGCACTGGCAAAAGTGTTGGTGTCTTTTGGATTAAATGTGACTTGCATCACATAGTGCGAGTGTCCCTCGAAGATCTGAGTGCAAGCCCAACCCTTTTCCCAGTCCCAAAGCTTTATGAGCATATCATCAGAAGATGACAGCACATATGGAAGGGTTGGATGAACAGCCACACACCTAATGTAGTCTGAATGAGCCTCAAACACTTTAACCTTGTCCATGGTATTGTAATTGTATACACGGATATACATATCATCAGCTCCTGCCACAACCCATTGCTTTCGCGCTATAAACTTGGCTGACCGAACTGCAAAGTCATAATATAAGAAATCAGAATAAGTAACAAACTAAAGACGCTACATAGTACTCACAACAATAAGAAACTGAAAAAAAAAAACAACATTACAACTAACGACGCAAAAGAAAGAAAGCTGTATACCTGGTAACTCAGTCACCTCAAAGGATTTAGCCATCACCTGAGGATTATCAAGCAGGAATCAGATTAGAAGAAATTCCATTACTCATAAAAACAGCCTAAAAGTCACTGCAACACCTCCTAGATTACAGGATAATAATAATCTTTCAGTAACACTTTTGGTAATTCCATTTCACAAATTGTTCACTGTAAAATAAATGCATAAGGTAACAGATGACGAAAATCAAAATTAATTCAACCCACCTGTGTCTGGTAGTTCCAAATACACAAGGTTCCAGAATACAAACTTGCAAGAATCCTGCAAAACAATGTTTATTCCCATTCCAGTCATAAGTATCAGAAATAAAGGTACAAAAACTATGAAAGCACAATCAAAACTTCAAATTACCATGGTTCAGTAGGATGCAGATCCACAGATTTAACTCTCTCGGACCTTTGAGCTAATTTTCTCTGATCCAAAAACAACACAATCAAATTATTAACACAGCTAAATGACATAAAAGAAATCCCTCAAAAACTAAATGGAAATCGAAAAAATACCTTGATCTCGAGTCTGAGCGGCTGTTTCAACGAAAAGAAAGAAACCAGTAGTCAGTAACTTAACTAAACAAATAAGATGATACACGGAAACAGCTAAGAGCATAAAACCCCAAAAAACTCCAGATCTTCTCAAAATGCAAAAGCCATGATCATTATTTCAATTCCACAAAACAAATGTCAAGAGACTACACTCGATTTCACGCCATCGGCAGTAACAATACGAGACGAAAATTCGAAACAGATTAGAAAAATCGAAGAGAAACATGCGATCTGAGATTCCACGGTCTCACTCAAATCACAGAAGAAATGTACGAAATTGAGATCGAAATCGTACACAGATTCACTCGAGATCTGGAAAAAACTAAAAAAGTGGGGAAAGATTCCAGAACTCACCATAGTTACAGATTAAGCGGAGGAAGGCTTGTGTAACCTTCGGATCTCGTATTATCGCTTAAATCTGCAAATCGGAGATCGAAGAACCAACGACGTTTAGCTCGGTGTGATGGAAAAAAACTTAAAAATCAGAAAAAAGGAAAATTTTGCATAAGAACGACTGAGTGAGACATTTACGAAATTGCCACTAGAGTTTGGGCTTCTTAAAGGCCTTTTTATTAACCAATTAAATTGATGACCCAAGCGATTGAAAAGAGCCCATTAATAAAACGCCTACCAACACCTAAACTACATTACTCATTAATCATCATTCCATAGTTAGTTAAAAATTGGGTCTAATCACAGTTTTGAAATTTTGAAACTGCATACAGATTCAAGCTTTGTACCACTACTTGTATACTCAATTCTAGGAAAGGATTTAGACACTTTGGAGTTGGTCATGTATCAATATCATCACTAGTGATGGGTTTATATGATGTTTTATATATTACAAGCTTCTCTTGGCCTTCTTATGTACATAGCAAACTTCAAAATCAACCATTACAGTGAATTGTGAACAAGTTTCATTGATTAATGATCCATGGATCTTATGTTACCCTAATCTTAAAAAAAAAAGAAAAAGAAAAAAAGATTTTATATTTTGTTTGCCAATTGCCATATAATTGACTACAAATTAACCATTGAGAAAAGAGCATCCACTTTAGTAAATTCCGACGAAATATACCTATCGAGACATCTGAGAGAGGCAATGGTCAGTATTCAATAGTTAACATTTAATTGATTTAACTATTTATGATTTCGCGAATTATCAAAAATGATCGCATAGCGCAGTGGATTAGCGCGTCTGACTTCGGATCAGAAGGTCGTGGGTTCGACTCCCACTGTGGTCGTTTATTTTCCACTTTTTCCATATTAATTACCACCTTGATTTGTGACTGTATTATTTATGAAAATTATTTAATTTTTTTACAAAATTACAAAACATGTTTTATTGAGAAAAAATATGAGAAGGACAAATCATATGATTAGATATTTAGAATGATCATCAGACTATCGAATAATGTTGGAAAAAAAGGATTTCTCATTTTCTCAAATAGAAATGTTATAATACTGTAATGGACTTTCGTTAAAAAGGCGTCTTAATTATTTAAATAGTTTTTTTTTCTTAATTAAAAGTTAAGTAATTATTTAAGTAGTGTCCTTCAGAATTCGTATATGTTGCTCGGGTGGTGTTATAAGACACATAAGGAGAATGGTTTTGACGCCATAGCTGATAGCTATGGGGCTTCTAGTTATCTAGGCATGTGCACTTGTGATCTCTCAGTGGTCCGATCCGTAGTATTCCAAAATGTTGTAGGTTTTGGGACTGTTAATGCTCTCTCGTCTTTGCACTCGGGTCCGTTTGTGCACTACTTCGATACCTAAATCCAGTCTTGATATGCATCCCGTACCATGTTTGGGGGTTTATGTGTGTTGGAATTGACTTATTTCGGAGCTTTCGTCTATTGGATATGTATTGACTGGTGAGGTGGTTGGTAGCGCTGTGTTTGAAGACTAGAAAGAGTAGTATAAAATCTATCTTCGTTTGCATGCTTATCGGAGTAGACAATAAGTAGTACAACAAAACTCTCTTGATATGTTTGTTTACATGTTAATTTTTATAATCATACGGGTATAATGAATTCTCTTTTTATAATGTTCTATTTAATTACAAGCATTCTCTTTTGGTACCTAGCTTGAGATGAATGATCGACGTCTAATTAAAATCCTAAGTTTTTTTGTAATAATATCTTTTTTTTTTTTGATAACTTTGTAATAACATCTTCGTCGGTGCATTTTAGAAGGTATCTAAGATTTTATTTTTTTTAAAGGATATGGTGAGATACATATCTTTGCTAAGAAACAATGATCTCTAGTTGAGAACCTCATATAACTACAAACGATGAAGAAGAGTTTGTTAATTACCTTTTCTCATTAGTCTCTCTCTTTTCACCTTATTTTATTTAAACAAAAATGCATATATGTCTTCTCTAATATTTCATGATCTTTGTTCTCGATTAGAATATGTATATTTACGAAAACATTTGTAATATATTTTATTATGTTTTGCTTATATTATGCTTATATTTGATAATATTTTATATTTTTGAAACAATATACGTGTAGCTTCAGATCTACATTTTACTTCCTTTTCAATATTTTCTGAATTTATGTTTATTTAAATAATCAAAATAATTATAAAGATAGATAAACAAGGGAATCATTGAATTAACATTTTAAATAAGGTGGACACTGTATATGTAGAAAGTACTCTCCCACTAGATATATTTGAAACATAGGGAAGAATTCATCTTTCTATACATTCTAAATTTAGACATGATGAACTATTCATTAGCCTCTCTTTCTATTTTCAGAAAAACCTATTTTTGAGATTTAAAAAATTATGAATGAAACATAAAACTTCTTCCTATTTCTCCACATTGTTTTTCATTTCTTCTTGTTAGTAAGAATGGTGACGGATAGAGAAGAAAGGAGGAGAAGAATAATGGAAAGAGGATCAGATCGTTTAGCTTTAATCACAGGCCAATTACATAATCTTGATCCTTCGTCACCGTCGTCTTCTTCCTCGTCATCATCGGCTTCTCACAACCGCACATACAGCGAATCTTTCATGCCACAAACGAAATCTGATCATCATCTTATTAGAGAAAGTCCATCTCTTAAGTATCAATTCAAAGGTACAAAAATTAAAACTATATTTTTCTCTCTCATGTAATATTATATCATTTATATGATATATTGTTTGTTTGTGTTAACATGTTAAAAAAACATATATATATATATATATACTCAAATTTATTTAGGACTCAAAATTGTAAATAAATCATAATACAATATAACTCAAACTCAAGTTAAAAAATTTTTTAGTTAATTATGTAATTGCATCCATAATTCAAGTTAAATTAATGTCAACACAAGTTACCAATCACAATCATAAATCATATTTTGAATAAAATGTGAAACTATAATTTTTACTGTTTGAATAAAACTTACTTTAATTGTAATTTGTATAAATTCAATGTTGCGTTTCACATATCGCATTGCGTATTTAAAACTTTAGAAAAATATTTTATGAGAAAGTAGTATTTTATATTTTCGTACATATGTAGACACTTATATGATAGACACTATAAATTGATTGCACAATTTGCGAGTGAAACAATCAAGACCTGAAATTGAACCCTAAATGGTTGTTGTCTCTGACATGCATGAATGCAGAGGAAGTAAAGGCAAGATCAGAAGAACCAAAACTCTCAAGTACTGTTCTTCACAAACCCTTAAAAAGTGAACCAACAAAACCAGAAGAAGCAACAAGATCAGTAAAAAGTCAAAATCAACGTCCTAAGAGTTTCTTCAGCTCCAAGAAACTCAATGCTAGCATCATAAGCTCAGAAAGAACTCGGAGTTTAAGCTCTCTGACCATAGCTGCGTTTGTGGTTTTATTCCCAAGATTGAACATTATAAGCTCAGACACTATCTTAGCTTTGAGACCTCTTTGGTTGCTTATTCTTACAGATTGTGCTATTGTAATGTCTCATCTCACCATGGAAACTTCTGGAGGAGGATTGAGCCATGAGATGGAAGATGAAGGAAAGAGTAAAGATGGTAATAATGGAGAAAATTGGTCTGATGCAGAGAAGCTTCTAGAAAGAGGAGTTGTTGTGTATCAAGCTCTTCGTGGAATGTTCATAGATTGTAGTCTCTATATGGTGGTGGTTGTTATTTTTGGAGCCTCTCTTTTTTAAGTTTTTTTTTTTTAATTATTGGATATTATCTAATTAAGATTATGTTTGCGTTGATTCTCTTTCGTTACATAAGTTTTTGATATAAAACTTGCATGAGTAATTTCAACTATTAAATTTTTACATCAATCCACTCACCTTTTTAAAAAAAAAAATAAACTAATATCTTTCTTTATTTCCATATCCATTTCAATGTTTTGGTCCTTTTGGATTTTTTTTTCTTCCCCAAAGATATAAAAATCCACTTTATTCTAAATCCCTTGTTATTCAAAAAGTTTAGCTATCATTGATTATCTCATTTTTAAAAAATCTAATGTTATTAGATATGGATTATGTACATTTTTACTCATGAAACAAAACTTTCATTAAACTGAACGTCGCAATTATTTAATACCAAAGTTATATTGTACACTCATATTCGCTTTTTATTCATTTCTTTATTTTTAATAGTTCTACTAAAAAGTAATATCAAGATCAGAAGAATCATATCCAAAACTAAGAAAAGTAGGCCAAAACTTTCAAAAGAATCATATCCAAAACTAAGAAAAAATAAATCTAACTGCTCCTTTTAAACTTGACATAAAATTAAATACAATACAAACGTAAAGTTATCAAATCTTACAAATTTTAGTGTTTATTAGTTATTACAATACATTTTTTAACAAAGATATTTTTAATTTTGAATTCATAATCTCTTTGGATTTGGGACAAACCATTAGTAGTAGATGTTACGTAAAACACTTTTTCGCACATTCTTGTTTGATAAATAACATTTTTAAACGAATAAACGTTTCAAATGAGTGAAATGACCAATCGCGATATATTTTACGTATTATAAGATATAGTTTTCGTTGTTGTGAATTGTGTGATATATGACCTCAAAATGGTAAGTTTATCTAAAGAAGATGAGTGACAATGAGAAGCCCAAAGAGAAAGGAAGTGATGTCGTAATCGGCCCACTCCCACCGCTTATCCTCTCCAATCACTTCATTTTCTCTTTACCATATAAATCTCCAAACCATTTTTGTTTCATCTAAGAGTTATGGTCCACCATTCACATCTTTCACAAAAAAACTTACTTTAATAATATTCTTTTCCTTAACAATATCTATAAATTATTTCCTTAAATTTCATAAGATCGGATATACACTAGAACAAATTTCTGACCTCATTGTTTCTTTCTAAACACAAGTCTCAAGACGTGCATCAAAACCATTAGCCACGTGTGACGTTTCGATTTTTTGTTTGGCGACATCTCTTCTACACAATACCTAAAAGATAAATATGTAATTAAAATAATTTAATTCTCAAAAGAGTGACTACTATTTGTTTTTGTCATCAATAGTGACTAGTATTTATACTCGACTTTGTTTTGGTAAACCACACACAAAAAAAATCTTAAATAAGAAGAATCTTTTAAAATTTTGTGTGGAGTGTGAAACCAAAAAATGTGTTACAAAATTCTTCCACCTCTTGTTATTTTTCCGGAGAGCTTCCACGAAAATACCACGGTGGCAGAAGTGACGGCAGCGACAGAGGTGGAAACCACCGCCGGTCAACGTAGCGGTGGCGGTGGAAAGAAGAAGTGTGTGTGTTCACCGTCGAAGCATCCAAGATCGTTCAAGTGTAGGTATCATCAACATGAATATCAATGGCTTCCTTCATCTTCATCTTCATCTTCATCCCTCCACAAATAACACGTATCATCAATTCATCATGTAAACAATAATTATAGTTTTATATATTATTATTCATGGTTATTTTAATTTGCTACGTATTTCAATCAAAGTAGATATTGTGTTGTCAGAATCTTTATATAACGATGTTGTTTGATCGACAAAGTTCCAAAAATCGGCAGCAATAATCTTTTTTAAGGAATACGTGGTTACTAAGAATTCTGTATAATTAATTAGCTTTTTCGCTTAAAAACGGTTCATAAAAAAATGATGTTACGTGTCGTGACTAATTTAATCAACCGTATGAGACTTGGCATATATATTTACGCATTAGTTTTCACATGGTTTCGGAGTTCCAATTTTCGTTATATGTATCAACTATTGATCTAATAAAACTAACTCAAGATTAATCTTATAATGAGATTGTGTCGAAATGGATTGGTAAAAAGTTTATCACATCTTGAAACATCAAATTAAATGCAAATTTTACTTGTGAATTTTTATTTTTATTTTGCTATGAATGTAAATATTTCATTAAAAATAAAAATTATGTAGGTTTACAATCGAAAGATTTAAAACCTATAAAAATGGTTCCATGATAAAAAAAATCAAAACATAGAAGCATAATGCAAAAGCATATTTTCAGTCCGTCCACTCGAAATGATGGAGTTAGACAAAGTGAAAACGATTTTGCCGTTCTTCTCGGATTGATTGCTATAGACGAAGGGCGAAAGCAAGTTGTAAAAGTTGAAATACGAAACACAGAGCACTAAAAGCCTTTCATTGGAGGGCCGAGACTGAGCCGTCAACGGCAAGATAATCAAAACTCTCGATCACATACATCCATTATGATATGCAATTGTGACTAGAGAAATATGGGAAAACATAATTACATTTGTGAAATTCATCAAGAATCACATGTGTGAAGAGCAATCACAACCCATGATTATGAATGAATGATTGAATGTAATCGATCTCGCGGATGATATATAGAAGAAAAAAAGTGAAACCAAACATAACCTAACACTATACTGTATCTGTATTATGGATGGTTTGGATTTTGGTTCGATTTTGAATTTTAGTAATTTTCTAAATCGGACCGGTCAACTTAAAGTCTCTAAAATCCGCAATGTGCTATAGGCTGATCCGTTAAGCTTTTTAATGGGCTTAAGGCCCATATGCAACCCATGGCGAAACAGGACTGGCTTTTTTTATAGCCGTATATATAGACAGACGCCGAAAAAGGCGTTGTTACCGAGAAACAACGCAAACTCCGATTCAGAGAATCAACAACTAGAAGAAGAAGGAGCTTAAAGCTAATATGTCAACGAACACTCAATCTTCTTCTTCTTCTTCTCTTCCTACTCAAAGGTATAAGCTTTTTCCAACTTTTTTTCCTCTGATCCAACCCTTTTTGTTTGATCTTCGTTTACTTTACCTTTTTTCCTTCTTGGGTCATTTTGAATACTGAAATTTTGTGCTTTGAGGATCAAATTAGCAGTTGATGATCAGACAATGTGTTTTCTTTCAATTCATTAGTGTCTTTGCTCTGCTCACGACAGATTTTGAGATCTAGTCATTTGGTTCTGTTTGATTTCTTGATGTCAAATCTTGAAATGTTTATGATCTCTGGGTTCCAATCTCTTTGCTTTTATGATGATATATTCGAAAATTGGGATCAGTTTTTATCAGTTATGATTCAATAAACTAGTGATACACATTGGCTTTGTTTACAAATCTCTCAACTTCAGATTTGTAATTTTGTGTCCCATTTGACTCATCTTACCTCCTTTGCACGTTCTGTTTTAAAACTGGTTTTGTGGTCCTCTCTTTTCTCCATTGTAGTTTTGTGGCCCAGATCAATTAATGAATAAAGTTCCTTTTTTGTTGTGACATTATCTTTTTTGATGTAACATCAACCTTATTGTTAGGAGACTATGGTGCGATTTTTTTATGCTTTTGATATGTTGTGTTCTTGATGTGACAGGCTTTTGGGTAAAGTGGCATTGATTACTGGAGGAGCCACTGGGATAGGTGAGAGCATTGTTCGTCTGTTCCACAAGCACGGTGCAAAAGTCTGCGTTGTTGATTTGCAAGATGATCTCGGAGGTGAGGTGTGTAAAAGTCTGCTCTGTGGTGAGACGAAGGAGACGGCTTGTTTTATCCATGGAGATGTTAGAGTGGAGGATGACATTAGCAATGCAGTTGATTTTGCGGTCAAAAAGTTCGGGACGCTTGATATACTTATCAACAATGCGGGATTATGCGGAGCTCCGTGCCCTGATATCCGTAACAATAGTTTGAGTGAGTTCGAGAAGATCTTTGATGTGAATGTGAAAGGAGCTTTTCTAAGCATGAAACATGCGGCTCGGGTAATGATACCGGAGAAGAAAGGGTCGATAGTTTCCTTATGTAGTGTGGGAGGTGTTATGGGAGGCATTGGTCCACATGCTTATGTCGGTTCCAAGCACGCTGTTCTAGGCTTGACTAGGAGTGTTGCAGCCGAGCTTGGACAGCATGGGATACGTGTGAACTGTGTTTCGCCTTATGCAGTTGCAACCAAACTCGCTTTGGCTCATTTGCCAGAGGAAGAAAGAACGGAGGATGCATTTGTTGGTTTCAGGAATTTTGCTGCTGCAAACGCGAATCTAAAAGGTGTCGAACTGACGGTTGATGATGTAGCGAACGCTGTTCTGTTTTTGGCGAGCGATGAATCGCGTTACATAAGCGGGGATAATCTGATGATTGATGGAGGATTCACTTGCACTAACCACTCCTTTAAAGTCTTCAGATGATCCATTTTGCTAATGACGGTTGTTTAATGTTTAGTGTCGCCTCTTAAATAATTTAGGGAGATTTTGAAAACTACCCTATTTATGAGTTTTTGTTTGAAAAATATACTTTTCTCTTTTTATAATTAAAACTACAATTTTTAAAATGTAAAATGACAATTTTGTCTAGATTTATAATAAAAACTGTATTTTAAATAAATTAAAACTAAAATTCATAATTTTGAAGGAAAAAAATAAACTAAATTCAGAATCTTAATTACTTTTTTTTTAACTATTTTTTGAGATAAAGACAGTTTATTTAGTCTATATATTTAGTCTAAGTCTGTCACTTCATATTAGTCACGTTATATAAAGAAATCAATCTAGTTCCAAACACCTTCTTCACCTCTACACTTCACCAAAGTTTTATCTAATTGTAAAGTAAATAACTATGTGTTTTTATCAAAATATGCATCTTGTTTATAACATTTTTGATGATAACTTTTACCTTTGTATATATATGTGATTTCAATTATAAGAATATTGTAATTGAATTCTACATGGTGTAACATCATTGATGGAAGTATCTAACATATATATGTGTGAAATTCTGCATGGTGCTCACCGGATGTGGTACTATACGTGTCTAACAATATTTACATGGACGTATTTGCTAGTTATATCAAATATTAATTTAATTTAAAAAATAAATTAATGGATTTTTTCTGTTTTAAGTATAATTTTTTACAATTATTACTGAATTTTAATAAGGCTATTTGAGTAATTTTATATATTAAAAATAGTTTTCAGAAGAGAAAGAAAAGATATGGTATTTTTCAAACAAACCAGTTTTGCATAAGCGCTCTTGCCTTTAAGAGCAATCAAAGCAATGATCTTGTTGGCTTGGAGCAACTTAATGTACCCACACTCCAGAACCCTATCATTGGTGAGAAGAGCCCTAGCAATCATAGCAATCACTACTGCGTGAACGGCAATCCAAGCTGTGAAGAACTCTGCTGTGATAAGGAGCATGCAAACAAGGGAACTGATTCCGATCCATAGGGAGACCTCGTTTAGGAAGACTTTGTACTGAAACCAGTACTCGGGCAGTGAAATCTCGTAGGCTTTAACCATGAGGTAGACAACAAACGCAGTTCCAAACACAAAGAGACGCTGGTTAGGTCTTGGGTCTTTAGTTGCAGAAGGTGGGACGTTAGTTGCAGAAGGTGGTGCAGCAGTTTTTGATTTGGTCACGACTGTGTTATCGCCTCTTCCTCCGGCGATGGCCGTGAACACCAAGGCAATGAGCATGGCATTCACGAGGAGGAGATGGAGAGCAGTAAACTTAGCAAGCCATTGCTAATCTCAACACTCAAGCAAGGTGCTCTTGGCTTTTCTACTTATTACATAAGACTCTAGTAGGATAATACAATGGAGTTTGAACTTGGTTATTTTGAACTCAATCATAAACAGATGAAAATTTTTTGTGGCAAGTCAAAAAAACAATTAAAAAGTCACATTAATTATTATTATCTGGGCCTAGTGACATCACAGACAATTTTAAAAAGCACATCTCTCTCTCACATATCTCTCTCACACGTTTATAGGGGTCGGTGGTGGTGATGGCGGCAGTACGGCGTCGGGGACAACAACGATTTCGTCGAGCTCCAGTCATCAATGTCTTCTTGCTTCGCGGCGTCTTCGGTGGTGGCCTTGGCGGCGGTAGCTCTCGCCGCTGCTGCTTCCGCTCTGGCCCTAGCGGCGGTGATCTTCTTGTTCCAATCAACGCGGCATTTGTTCATGGCGGTTGCTGCAGCCATCACGTGGGATTTCTTCTCTACTAGTAGCGCTCTGTCTTCTGGACAATTAAAGTCCGTGATTGGATTCTCACGGATGAAAAAAGAGTAGATACTTAACCGAGTAAAACGTCTTCTTAGTTTGCACAAGCCAACTTGCATTTAGGACCAATCAGGGCAAACATCTTATTGGCTTGGAGCAATTTAGACTTGGTTATTTTGTATTCGGTTATGGTATTTTGAACTCGGTTATTGGTGATCATCCCAAAATCATAACAAGTGAAGAAATTTTGTGACATTTATCACTTATGTTGGCACTTGAAACAAAGATATCAGTTATATCATCAGTCTAATTATTCATGTTATCTTCTTCCTCAAAAATTGCTTCTTTTTGCTTTGTCCATCTTTTTGTTTTATTTTTCCCCGTTTTAGGAACCAAATCTTAATAAATCACCAAAGGTTTTTTGATTACACAACAAAGTTCAAAATAAGTACAACTAAAAAGTCTATATTAAAAACAATGAACAATGATATTCTATATTAAGAACAATGATATTCTACATTAAAAGCCGTATATCACAAAATAAATAATAAATTTTCAAATATAAATTTGCCTAGGGAGTAAAGATAATTTGAAAGAGAAGAAAAGCTTAGAGATTACCCAAAAGATAAAAATAAAATGAAAAATAACAGGATTTAAAAGGAGATAAATCAGAAAAAAAAAAAATACCAAATCAAACTTATGAGTAGTGTAACATGTATTAGCCCATTTCCTATATAATAAATTGTACATCACAAAACAAATAGTGTTTGCAAACATAAACTTTGCCTCGAGAGTTAAGATCATGCTCTTTTTATTATGTGTCATTTTTCATGATAAATTTCTAATTAGTAGAGAGATTTGTCGAAAGTCATGGAAGTAAAATATTTGTCCAATGTGTTTACATTTTTTTTAGATAATGCTACATTTACTAAACAGATCTAGTAAAACAAAACATACATACTTGTGAGCTAACATTTTTTCAAAAATCTGATAAGCGTCTAAATGTATTATTTCAAATATTAGTTGACTATAAATTCTCTAGTTGCATTACAAGAAAAAAAAAAAAAGTAAAACAAGAATATTAAAAAGATCTAAGTAGCAAAAATATCATAATGATGTGTCTTGAATTAGAGAGGACTACAACTTTGACGAGAAATTGTCTGATTAACTGTATTTACTAGAATCCCACATGCCACTTTTGCCTGTTCATCAAGATAATTAAAAAAAAAATCCATTAATCTGATATGAAATTGCATACAATTATCTCACATCTAATTAATGATTATATAATCTAGAAAGTCAAATTAAAATGATGCGAAAGTAAAAAAGTTTGATAAACCGAATAATTGAGTAAAATTCGAGTTCCTTACCTTTAAAGGGAAACGAAAGAACAAAACGCCAAGTTTTCCGTTAGTCTCCATAACGGTGTCAAATTCAACGGAGCCTTTAGCTAAATCGTGAATTAAATGAATGACGTCAGGAAACACCGTAACGCCGTCAAGCTCCGCCTCCGCGTCAAGGTAAGAAGAACCAAAAGCCGTCACGTGCCCGCCATCAGAACTCACGTGACCTAACGTCTTACCTCTATAGTCAATCGTGACGTCAAGATCCGTGAAGTCAAAAGAGTACACGTCAGCATTTGATACCTTAAGCTTAACGAGCAACGTCATGTCTATAGACGGAACCGGACGGCGGTGAACGTGCACGTGGGAAATCTTGACCCGTTCGATCTTGATTCGTGGATCGGACGGCCAGAAGATGTAGATGAGGATAGAGGCAAAAGATATGAGAAATATAGAGATGATGAAACGGCGTCGGGAGGTGAAAGAAGAATGTGATGAAATCAGAACGGCGTCGTTTTGATCGTGAGTTGAGGAAGGTAAAGGCTTATAGTCCGGTAATGACGGAGTTGCTTTAGGGTCTTCTTCTCCGGTCATTGTTCATGAGAGAGGAGATGTTTGGTAAGGTCGATAAATATATATTTGGTGCTATTTATTTTATTTTGTTAGTTAAGTTAATTATTGATGAGTTTATTATTAAATGATTTAATCATCTGTAGGGGTTGAAGATCTTTTAGAAGGTTGTATTTTTTTAATAAGAGATTACTTTGGACGCTATAGTATCCTTTATCTTATAAAGCACAAGTCACTTGGCCACTAAAATTTTGACACATAGGATTCTTTTTCATAATTTAATTTACATGAAAGTAATTAAAAAAAATTGAGAACGTGGGAAAAAACAAAAAAAAAAAACGAAATATGACAACACACAAATCTGGGCTTCGGTAAAAAATAAAGCCCATCTTATAATTTAATTTACATAAAAAAACAATTCAAAAAAATGAGAACGTGGGGAAAGGAAAAAAAACGAAATATAGTACTTTATTATACGCGTTAACCAAATGTTCTCAATTGAGTTCGTTATACAAAACTGTGCAATCAAATGTTGACATATGGCAAGTTTATAGTAAAAAAAAAAAAGTAAGGAAATTAACGAAGATTGACGAATTCAAAGGCAAAAGTAAACGGATCATATTTTGCCACATCATTTAACACCAGAATATTTCTAAATTATTGTTCTCCTCTTCTCCACGATCTCCTGTCCTCACCGTTTCTACTCCACGATTTTCATCTAACCGCTTCCTCTTCATGTTTAAAAAGACTAGAAATCGCTTTGTCTCTCCCTTGACGAACGCACACTCTTCTTCTCACTTGTGCTGACTCTCTTTCTCAAATCCAAAGACGACGCGAAGCTAGATGGCTCTTTCAATCATTACTGGAGTTCGCTGTGTATACAACATCTAATAAGAGACATTGGCATTTAGCAGAGGCAATTTAGCCGTATAATTGCCTAAAGTTATTCTTTATCTTTCTTCTTTGAGGTAACAATTTCTTTTTTTTTTTTTTTTTTGACGGCGAGGTAACAATTTCTTCAATCTTTAACTTTACTTTAATTCATATCTTCGTTAACAACTATGCTTGGTACATTTGGTTAACAATTGAGATTTCTCTTATTTGGTGGCAGAAAAGAGATGAAAGATGTTGGGCAGAGAAGCTGCTGCTTGGAATTTGGTTCCACGTAACCTTCAATTAAGAATGACGAACAAACATTCTCCACCACCAATCCATATATGATCCTATACGGTTATCACTAAATCTGAATTTCATGTTGCATTAGATAGTGAAAGAGAATTCACACGAAGTTTATTATTATTTTAAATTGTAACAAGTTGTGTGACTTTTTTTAGAAGAATAAAAACATGTATTTCTTCAACATGATTAATTTTCTGTTATAATTATATGTTGAACATGATTACTTACGATAATGGTAAGAAAAAAAAACAAGTTTGTGCAATGTTCTTCTTCTACTTCTTTCTACTCCAGAGAATTCTACTTATGAGTTCTACCAAGAAACTGTTCCAATGAAAATAAATTTTAACCAAAATATTCAGAGAAAACAACTATAATTGTTGTTCAACTTTCAGTTATTAAATCTCACCAAAAAGAAATCTTTCAATTATTAAAAATTCAAAGATATATTTATCAAAACAATATACAATTAAAGCCTAAACTATCAATCAAAAGTTTCAGTTTACTATTTTTTACTTTTTACAACATCTAGATTTTAAATCACGTTTTATTGTCACACTAATTGTAAATTGGAAAACAATTGATGTCTATTATAGCTGTATCCGTACGTAGTACGGGTTAAATACTAGTTTAATGATAACCCAAAAATTGGTAACTTATTTTTCTTCTTTTTTTTTTTTGTGGAGGAAAATGAAATGAGTATTTATTTGTAGTGATTTTACATGTGTTTAATTAGTAGGGTTTTAGTATTTTATTTGATGGTGTTAGTATTTAAAAAAAAAATTGATTTTCAAAATTCACATGTTCAACAAAGCATATGCGATAGAAATCAAGGAATGGATTACGAGAAATAACAAAGAAAACTAATTTGTACACCTTTTCAACTTCTCTAATTAATAATTAAAATATTTTCCTCAAAAGAAAATCTCAATATACAAATATCGTTTTTACTTTTCACTTTCTTTTAAGTATCAAAGCCCAACACAATTAGAATTGGAAGCCCATGAAAAAAACCTAACGTGTATAAATAGAATTATCGCGAAGCCCTAATTGAAATTTTTGTTTTCTCTCTTGAGACATGGAAGGACGATACATAGTTCCTGCTTTGAAGAAGAAGGACCAGACTCGCGATGTGGAACGTGAATCATGGGACGAGCTTCGTAGAAGAATCAATGGATTAGTAAATAAGGTAAACACAAACAATCTTCGTCACGTTGTTTTAGAATTGTTGGAAGAGAATCTCATAAGAGGAAGAGGTCTTTTATGCAGATCATGTATCAAATCTCAGATCGCATCTCCTTTATTCTCCTATGTCATCGCGGCTTTAATCGCCGTCGTAAACTCAAGATTTCCTTTGATAGGAGATTTGTTGTTGAGAAGATTAGTTTTGCAGATTCAAAAGGCTTATGATCGTAATGACAAGCCTCGTTTATTAGCTGTTATGAGATTTCTCGCACATCTTGTGAATCAGCGAGTCGTGAACGAGACTATTGCTCTTGAGCTTCTCTTAAAGCTTCTCGTTGAGCCTACGGGAGATACTGTTGAAGTAGCTGTTGTCTTTGTTACTGAATGTGGAGCTTTGCTTCAAGAAGTTTCTCCTAGAGGTTTTAACCTAATTTTCGATAGCTTTCGTAGGATTCTTCATGAAGGTGACTTGGAGTATAGGTCACGTTGTTTGATTGAGTCTTTGGTTACTCTTAGGAGATTGAATTTTAAAGATCATCCAGCGATTCGTCCTCAACTTGATCTTGTGGACTTAGAAAATCAAGTGACACATGAGATCTCTTTCCTCGACGATATTGATCCAGAAACGTCCCTCGATGTTTTCAAACCCGACCCTGCGTTTCAGCAAAACGAGAACAAGTACGAGCTTATGAAGAAGCAGATACTTGGAGAGGAAGATACAGACCTAGAAGAAGAAGATGATGATGATGATGATGATGATGATGGTGATGGTGATGATGTTGATGTTGATGATGAGCGAGTCATAAAAGATGATACAGACACTGATCTTGTTAATCTCAGGAGGACAATTTATCAAACGATAATGTCAAGTCTTGATTTTGAGGAAGCAGGGCATAAGCTGCTCAAGATCAGACTAGAACCTGGTCAAGAGATGGAGTTATGTGTTATGGTGCTTGAATGTTGCAGTGAGGAGAAAACTTATCGTTCCTTCTATGGTCACTTAGCACACCGGTTCTGCCTCAGAAGCAAAGTTTACAGAGAATGTTTCGAGAATCTGTTTGTTCAACAATATTCAATGGTACACCGATTCGAGACCAACAAGTTAATGAGTGTAGCCACCTTCTTTGGGCATCTCCTGGCCACTGACGCTCTTCCTTGGCATGTTCTTGCCTATGTTCGGTTAACAGAGGAAGACACGACTTCCTCATCACGTATCTTTCTCAAAAACCTTTTCCTACAACTCTCTGAGCTATTAGGAATCAAGCTTTTGAATGAAAAGCTTCATGATCCAACCATGGAGCAGACGTTCGAGTCCATCTTCCCAAAGGACCATCTAAAAAACACGTTGTTCTCCATCAACTTCTTCACCAAAATCGGCCTCGGGGGCATCACTCAAAAACTAAGGCAGTTCATCACCAAGCGCAAGGAAACTAATTCAGAGGAATCAAGTGATGATGAGACGGAGAGGAAGCGTAGAAGGAAAACAGGTTGCTCAGTAGCATTAGCATCTATTTAAAGCTGTCTTGAATTGTTAGTCTTTATTTGGCTGCTTTGATGATCTAATTTTGAAGCTGTCTTCTATTAGCATACATAATCTTCTTTTTTGTATTTGATGCTTTGTTGAAGACCAATTTATGTCAGAGGAAGAAGAACATAAACTTGTCAGAGGAAGACCAATTTGGTCACACTAAATCAAAAACATCACACTAAAGGACAATGCCTTTGTTATTTATAAACTAAAACACACAAACCAAACTTTAATTATAAACCCTTAGTTTGATGTATGATAAAAATGGGTTTCACAAATTACAGAGATTCATCACTATACAAAATTACAAATGCAACTCTATTTCAATACACAACTTTTCTTATTACTCAACATAACTTCCTTAAGAATCAAACACTATGAATCTCAGATGTAACAAACCTTCTTATAAAACCCAAAACTTAATAAGAAAGCAATGATAAAGGTTTAGCTATACGTTGTATGTGTGTGCGCTTAAATATTCAAGATCAAAGAAAAAGAAGACATTACTCTGAACTTTACAATAGTTCTTACGAACTCTGTCCCTGGCTAGGTTTCTGATGCCGTTCGCTTTGGCTTTGCCGCTTAGTCACAAACGTAACAGCTCTATACATATCTGAACATGAATACGCAACCTCGGACATTGCCTGAAAAAGCTCGGGTAGGCGAGTTCGAAGACTAGCCAGTGACTTCTCTCTAACTTGATGGCTTTGCCTGTGGTAAGCTTCTTCTTCTTCTTCCAACCTCTTCTTAATTTGTTCTACATTGAATTGCCGCACCATGACTTCGTCTTTATGATCGTTATCCGCTTCTGACCCATCCGGATTCATCCCTTCCGGTCCTCTCTTCTGCATGTATTTATAGTACCACTCCTCAAACTGTCTGATTTTTCTTCCCAGTTCTTTTTTTGTCTCTTCGCATTTGTTTCTGAGATTTATCTCGTCTTCTTGCTGCTGCATTATCGTGCTTACAACTGCTGCGAAATTGATTATGGCAGTTCTAGCCATTTCGTCAGGGATTTTGTCTAAACGGTCATACCAAGCGTGGAGGAGTTTTTGGATTGCGGGATTGGGAACTCGAGGAGGCGAAGATACTTTCTCCTTGAGTGTGCTTTCGATAGGGATGAGATTTAGCTTTAGCCATCCGGCAAGTGCTTTTATGTATTCTTTCTGATGATCTATCATCCTACAAAACTGCGTGTGCCATTCTTGAACCACCGCCAAGAGCTGGATGGTGCGTTCGTGATGATGATCATTTGTTTCTTTCACCGCTTGCGAAACGTCCAGAGATTTCAACACCTTTGAAATCTCAGCTTGTCTTTGATGATGCAATTGCATCATTTCCCACATCTTCCCCATCCTGCAAAAAATTTACATTAACACTCAAAATCATTTTGTCTAAAACATCAATCGAAAACAAGTCTACCAGCAATTAAAACTTACGCTTCGACAAGGTGAACGAGCTTTAGGTATAGTTGTTCATCCCGAAGACGATTGATCTCTGAAACTGTGGAGTCCATGGATTGCATATCAACTATGTATCTTGTATGCAAATGACTAACTGCTGCTTTAGCTCTCTCTAATGAATCCGAGTGGCCGCCTCGTTTCTTCACCCGATTTAAATGAGCAACCTTTTTCTGGTACTCGATTTTCATGAGTTCGCCGGCCTATATTCAACAAGAAGTTTATCCCAAAATTAGACTCTCAATAGAAACATAATCATCTTTGCTCATACAACTACCCAAAACAAACATACAGACTTTTCTCAGAAGAGAAGATTACCAGAAAAGACTAAACATGGTTGCAAGAATCTTTCCTCAAAAAGTTAAAATCTTTTAGCTACACTAAACAAGCGCAAACATTAAAAAAGAGAAAAGGTTTGATATAGTTACCTTGACTTCGTCGTAGAGCTTCTTTTCCCATGCTAGCAATTTGTCAAGAACAGTAGCATGAGTTTCATTCTCTTCCAAATCAACATCATCTTTCCCATCATCAGCATTTGGTATTCCTCTAAACGATCTATTCCATGTAATTACACGCATCACTCTAGCAGAGTGATCAATATGTCCTGTCACAAAACAACACAATCTTAAATTTTAGCTAAACCAATCAATAGATGATCATCTTGTTTCTCTAACAACTTATCGAAATCGAAATTACCTCGGTTATCTGCGAAATTAGAATGGTAATGGAGCCTAGTAGCTTCAAGCATCTTTGAAACTTCATGGGCACTTTCAGAAGCTTTCAAGAAACTATCATCAAGCTCATTGAATACATTCGCCAAATTCGTCGTCGTTACCGGCATTCTCATTCCTCTCCTCTCTCCGGGAATTCCTATCCCTTTACTCTTCTTCATCCCTCTCAAATTAGTAACTTTTTCCAATTCAACACTCACTTCCTCCACTCTCTTTGGTCTTTCCTCCACCGGTGGTTTCCGTTCAAGCACCGTCTCCTCCTCCTCCTCCTCCTCATCTTCCTCATCTTCCTCCTCCTCATCTTCTTCTCCTTCAGTGACGGCTGGTGAATGTGGTTGAGGAGGCACAGGTCTTGTTGGTTGTGGTTGTGGTTGTGGAGGAGTGTCTTCTAAAGTAGTTCCAGGCATATTCTCAACATTAGGGAAGAAGTAATCATAGAATGGTTGTTGTTGCTGTTGTTGATGTTGATGCTGATGCTGACGTGGCGGCGGAATTGGCCGTGAATTAGCCGCCGGAGGAGGTGGTGGAGCTTTCTCCTCCTGGTGATGATGATCTTCAATCGTCGTCCTACCTCCACGGCTTCTCGATTTCCTAATCAAACGATCATGATTCTCCAATTCAGAATCATCATCATCATCATCATCATCGTTATCTAGAGTTCCATCTTCTTCGATTCCATTAAGTCCATTACCAGAAGGACCACCAACGGATCTACCGTTCATCTCCGGCATAGTAGCAGCACGTTGAAGAGGAAGCGGTGGTGGAGGAGGAGGAGGAGGAAGAGTATCAGGAATCGGCTGAGGAACCGCAGCGGAAGAAGAAGCGGTTGAATTAGAAACCGCGGCGATAGAAGAAGGAAGAGGAGGAGATATAGCAGTGGGAAGAGAAGAAGTAGAAGCGATTGCTGCTGCGGCGGAAGAGGATGAGTGATTAGAGACTAAGAATTCGCCGTGAGAGTAATCGGAAAGAGCAGCTCCGGTGTTTTTAAGAGCCATAGCGTAAGCTGAGTGTGCGGCGGCGAAAGCGTTACGAGCTGTGACGGCATCTTTCATCAGTTGTTTTCGTTCTTTGCAACGTGTAACTGCTTCTTCGTTCTCGATCTTAGATTGAGCACAACCCATCTTCTTCTTCCTCTCGAAGCTCTCTTACTTCAGATCGATCGGAGAAGAAGAGATAGAGATTGAAGAAACTCGAAAGCTTTAAGGAATAAGAGTAATAGAGAGAGGGAATTGATACGACGTCGTTCCAGTTGTTAGAAAAGGCAATTAACGCTTTTTCTATTTATTTAACTTTTTGGGTTAAATTTTCCATTTTTCGTTGGGCTACTATCAGGGGTAATGACGTGGATAAAGTTAAAAAAGGAAAGAAGCGAATATAACGTTTTTTTTTACTTTTGAATTTTATTTTTTTTGTGGTATAAAATCTTTTGTATCAATCACTATAGTAATACAAGGATCATAATAATGCATTCTTTTTTGGTCTCATATATGGATCTGTCAATACCTATGTAGGATGATTGTATGTATTTCTTCTTGGGTTAATTCTTTGACTAATACAAAAAAGTTAGCCGACAAAATAAATGATAGTAAAAAGACGTATATAGCACAATAATTTCTTAACCAACCTTTATTTTTTGGAAGTAGACTATAGTTCGCTATAAAACAATTGTTTTGAAAAAATATGTCGGCTTGGAACAAAAGATTATAAAATATAACAACCTAATTATAATCATAAGATTAAAATCGAACAAAAGATTTTTTAGGGGTCAACAAGTTCTTCCATTGAACTTTCCCTTTTTTTCTGTGCAAAGATTCAACTACCGGACTAATTACAAAGTCATAAGGATAATAACTTGACCCCTAAATAAAAAATAAAAAATAATAACATATTCAACGAAAATCTAATTAGTAAAATTAATTAGAGACTAGGGGCTCTTTATAATTCCTGAGTTGAGCATTTCCTTGACCAACTTCTCCATTGCTTCTTTCTGCGCATGGGGATTTACACTAACTGCTCCCGAACCAGGCAACAAGTTAATAGCATGTTCTCTTCCTCTCACAGGTGGCAATCCTGTAGGTTCCATGAACACTTGCGCAAACTTGGTTAACACAGTCTCTATTACTTGTGGAACATCTTGAACTGAGGACTGTTCTCCGACTGGTTTACTCAGCTCCACTTCCACCCCTTTAGTTTGTAGTGTGAAGAATTGCCCATAAATGAGCTAAAAGACAAACTGCACAATTGCCCTGTTGGTTCTTCCTCCCTATATATCCGTGTTACTTTCCTCCAATACTTCCACTTCATACCCATTAAGAACGGTTAGGACTTGTAACATCTTATTAGGACATTCATGTTCTCTAGACCACTTCCCATCACATTTAAAAGAAATCCCTTTTCGCTTTTTCTCATCCAATTCTGCAATAGAATGGTGTTTCCTTGGCCTTTGCTCATTATAACCTGTGACTTTCTGCCCATTTAAAGTATTAGTGGCCTTCTCTTCCAAGATAGTAAAAGAATTCTTCAGATCATTCGCGAAAGAACCTTTACTACCCTTCTAATCTTGTTGTAACTCTCTTTTAACCACACTTCTCATGATACTAGACTCCATCACTCTTGCAAAAGCGATCATCTCTGACAAAGTTTTGAGGTTTCATCAGATGAGTCACTTCTTGCATTTCAAGGGTTAATCCGTTTAAGAAAATACCCTCCAGTTGCTGATCATATATTCAAACCTGTCACCTGAGCTGACAAATCTATATATTCAGGCACCGATCCTGTCTGTTTTATACAAAATAAGCTCGCTCTGACTAGGTCCCCTCAATTTAATATTCCCAAACCGCAACAACAGGCTTGACTTGAACTGATTCCCAATATCAAAATCCCTGCGATTAATCTCCCAGTTATACCATCCAAGAGCTTCTCCTGTCAAACTCAATGAGATAAAAACTGAAGTTTTGAGCGAGTCCGTTATTATACAAGGAAGATGGCTATTCCCACGCATAAAACATAAAAACCGATAGAAACCAAAGCTTCGCGATGACTAATATTTATATAGCTGCCAACTAAAATCACCAACATATCAGTTTGAAATGGTTTTACAATTAGTGAAGTACAACAATGAATAATTTACACAGAATCGAATGTAAGCAATCCTTTAATTTGCCAATCAATAGATAAGACGAAAGGACATTGGTGATTTGACAACTAGTTTGCTTTAGTTGCTAGATGCACTAAAATTGATTTTGGCACATGTCGCTCACTCATTGAGAATTACAAGGATGGCAAGAATGACTTGGTCATTTTTACCAAAAATGAATGACTTTGTTACACGGATGAAGTCTTTCACTATACTAACAAAATTCAGTATAGGTATGAAATTTGGAATATATAGAATTGTGTAAAAGAAGGTAGAGTTAGGATACAATTAAATTTAAATTTACAGCTAGCATTTAAAATATAAGTAAAGAGATGTGACCGAATTTTTCTTTGTTATGGCATAGCGTTTGAGTGTGAATACATAATTACCAAAGAGAACTTTGAAAATTGAAAAAGGATTGCACCAAAAGATAAGTTGAGTCCAAAATAACAAACTCTCAGTATGCGTTCAAAAAAAACATCAAACCGAAACATCAAAGTCTAGACTCAAACCGAAACATCAGACCCAAATCCCTCCCATATTAACTAGCATCAATCCTCAAAAAACAAACATAAAACCGAAAATCTCACTGAGGGTTCAGAGCGTCCTTGACCTGTCGGACAAGGACCATCAACGTCTGAGCTTCAGCTACGGTAAGTTCTTCAGTCTTAACCAATGCCAGAGCCCTATGTATAGCAACTACAGGGGTCGGATTTTCATCACTAACTTCATCCAAAACATGCTCTCACCTGCAAAAAAAAAAACAAAGAAACCTTAGATTCTTAACTCAAAACTGAAAACTGAACCATTTAATCTTACATGGGACGTCCATAATGGGCATCCTGGCCATCTTCGCGAAAAGAAAGCACTGCAAGTCTTGCACCCAGCTGCTGTGCCATTACATCCACATGCTTTCGAATAGCTTTGGTGCGCCTGTTAAACTCTGCGATTTGGGCTGCCATAGAGAGAAATCTGACAAACGACAAACACATCAGAACATAAACTATGATTGTACACACAAAGACAACTTCAAACTAAAGTTAGGGGTTTCATATCCGTTTCGTCATTTCACAAACATTTCTATAGCCTCTTTACAAAAATTTGTGAAATGACGAAACGGATATGAAACCCCTATCTCCCCTTTCCTGTTCATTTTATGTACAGAGGCATTAACGTATGTATAATGAAAGTGTCTTATTTATTAATTATGATGTTAACGTATGTAAGTTACGTATCTATTAATGATAATGCCATAAAAAGTTTTGCGTAAATTTACTGTCATTTTTATAATCAAAGTTCTAAATGATAAAATTAGATTTTTCTGAGAGCGATTAATACAATGTAAATACATAATAAATATGTTCAAAGAGTATTACTAAAGTCTAAATCTTCTTTACACAAAAAAAAACTCTTAATAAATATCTATTTTTTAAATCACGAAACCCTAGACTAATAAATCTTCAAACCGTGTTTCTAACTTCAGATGATGTTTTAAAGGGGTTGGCTAAAGGTTCATTAATGTTTCCACAACCGGAGGTCTGGTGTTCAATTTCTAGAAAGCGTTATTTATTGGTGATTTTTAACGAGGTTTTTTATTTTAAGGAGGTGGTTTTAAAGAGATTTGAAGGAGACAAGTTTACATGAGATCTTCTGCGTAGAGCAGGTGCAAACGCTAGATATGGATCTTCATAGAGGCAAGACGGTAGAATTATCCGTCGTAAAAGTAGCCGATGTAATATTTATCATAATTTGCAATAGAATAATCATAATTCAGTGTTAAAAAAAAGGGTTCGCATATATCAAATACTTTGAAATTGTAGAGAATCCATATCTCAAAACCATTATCTGAATTTAGAGCCGCCAAAATTCATGGATATCTGGATCCAATCCGGATTAATCTAAAGTAGCTAAAATTATTTAAATCTATTTCTACTAAATCAACAGTCACTTTAACAAAAACTGCACCATTCTCCATCTGACATGTGTCATAAGTCTCAAATTCTCTACTTTTACTTTTTTATTTATTATCTGGTTCTTTTCTGTCTAATAAATTTTTTATTCATTAAAACTTAAAAAAAATCTTTTACATATCAACTTCTAAACGCAATTAATTAATTAATATATTTTTTTTTTTTTCAGTTTTTCTCAAGTCAATAAAAAAAGGCACGATCTCATTCTTTATTTGTTTTACACTACTGTTTTTTTACCTTTGTCGAGAACCAATTTCTTTCTTTTAAATTGGGAAACAAAATCCCACGATCTCCTCTTTGCATTCCACGATTCCAAAATTAACTTCCTACTCTCATCAGTTTCATCAATCACCATGTACATATATCACATAATGACACAATCGATTATCACAATTGTTTCTCCCTTCACTTTATCCAAATCACCATAAAAAAAATTATTGTTACTATTACAGAACTGTCTTTCCTGCTCGACAGCCGAACATGATCCCTCAACACCAAATTCCCATTTCATCCTCACAGTTCATTCATTCCAACTTTCCACCTCTGGTCGTCTTCCTCCTCCTCTCATAAGGTGATCCCAATTATCCAAATCACCATAAAATCTGAATTTTTTTTTAGACGAACATGTAATCAATATATTGCTTTTCTCTTTGTTTTGATTTTTATCTATTTATTTATATATAAATAGTTTGATTTTACTAGATACGTCGATTACTGCTTTATTTTTTAAGTGACATGTTCAAAACAGTATTCATAACGAACGTAAAAAGCAGCAGTAATTACTCGATCTGTTGTTAAATTTTCTGAACCACAATTTTTTCTGATTTACTTCTCTTTGTTTTATGCATCCCTTTTGTAGATTACTCGACCAAATATCTCTGTTCTCTGTTGGAAAAGAATATCTCTCATTTCGTTTGTATATCTCACTATCGGTTCTCTGGTTTTCTGAACTTCGGTTTTTTTTTTTTGTGCAGCAACAAGTTAGAAATAAGAACTCCCGGAGAAAGTGATAGTTGAAAACATCAGCGTGAGTGCGTGACAAAGAAAACTAGATGCACAATATCTCCATCTTCAAGGTTCTCAAACATATTTATCAAGCCACTGAATCTCCAGACTGACCATAAGATCTCAAATTGTTTCGCCACCACATCTTTAATTAGAAACTCGTTAAGGGTGGCGTCTCACCACGTACAACAAAAAGCTAACGTCGATACATATCTACGGAATTCTGAAAAGCATTGTGGGGATTTACAACTTATAGGCCATTGTTGATTCTTGTGAAAGGACCATTGAATGTTTGGTTTCACATAATTTTTAATTAGCGTTCAGTACGATTGAGGTTGATCATTGTTGAGAAGTTATTAGTTATTGAAATTATTGTACGTTGAATAATTTCCTTCGATCTCGCTCTTTAATGTTTAATTTTGATCTAATATGTATTAATGTCTGACTAACCCACACTTACGTTTGAAAACGGAAACTACAGTTATTTATCATCAAATAAGTTTCGTCCGTACGAATGTACGGGCTTAATACTAGTAATAATATAAAACAAAATTTGATTAAAATATCCAATATAAATTTAAATTTGATTTTTAATAAACATTTTATAACATTTTCATCATGTGATTTCTAAAGTATACACTAACTCTAAAAAAACAAAGTTCATTTTTGATGATATTTTGAGCAATTATTATATTTATTATGTAATATATAAAAATTTATACATATATTTAGATAAAAATTATATATGAAAATGGATTTGACCCTAATCTTTAAATAGAAATATACCAATATAGATCCACAACTCCTTAAATTGAAATATCCAAATATAGATCAAATCCAATTATTATTAGACAAAAGGAGTATTTTAGTATATTAAGTTCTAACCCATGCCCCGCGTGGGATACACCCTAGTATTATATATTGCCATATAGGGTAAGGGTATAATTGTTGATATGTAGTATAAATTTGTACCGACAAAACTAAATGATGGTAGTCAATAATTACCACTTTGTTGCGAACCTAGTGATAAATTTCTGACAAAAGTAAATTCTTAAAAAAAAAAGTAATTAATGTAAAGTCTCTGGTTACAAAAAAAGAAAGTATTATACATACATTACCAATGATCCAATGATATAGAAATTAGTAATGTTGCAAAGATGATATCCATCTCTTTAACCCATAATATTTCAGGTGTTGATCATGGACTTTTAACCATTAGTATGTCATGATCTATCATTGTTAACAATGAAACATTGGGTATTCTTGGCCAAAGCATTTATGATGATACACTATGAATCCAAAGTCGGTCACCTTTTTTAGTTTTGGAAATGGCATTGCAGAATGTAAGTGCTGCGAGCTATTCGGAATTTGTGAAGCTTCAAATGAGCAGAGCTGAAGCAATCCTAAAGGTTTTTGCCTGAGCACCAACTTTTCTTTTCCTACCTCTCTTTTCTCTCCAAAAACTAATATCATCTTACTTTAGGTCATACTCTCCCCAACCGATTCAGTGGCAGACACATATAGTGCATTGTGTCCAAAAGGAACACCCACGAAGCTTCAGCGCATCGTAGACCTTAAGGTAATTTTGGCATTCTGAATCCATTTTCATACTTGATTACTCTCACGCTAACGTCCTCCTCCAGTGACATTCTATTCACTGTCTGGAAAATCCTCTCTTATTTTCGGCCAAAACAGTTATCTTAATGTACAAGGTCCTTAAAGAAAGGTGTAGCTTATTTAATGTTGCAGGGTCTTACGAAAGGCAATCAGCAGAGTATACTTGATGATTTCAATAAGCATGCCCCAAGAATCACACAGCCCTCGGTTGCAGCAGAAATGTCACAACCGGTTCCAATCCCACCTGCACCGCCCATCGGAAATCACTAACCCGGCTGTAGTGAACAGTGAGGATGTTACAACCAGACTTGCAACCGCTAGCTATCAGAAGTTCATTGACCGTCCCTTTAGGGAACTCTTTATTGCATTTCTTTATTTGGTTCTTATATTTACATATTGAGACTTTACAGAACGATACAGAGCAACCCACACTAGCATAAACTTGGGTGTTGATGTCGAGAAAAAAGAAGCATAAACTTGCGTGTATTGAATGCATACATATTGTTATTTTGTTTTGTGTTTCAAAATTTGCGGTTTGCAATAGGGATGGAGGTACGGTTTTTTGGTTTGGTTTCAGTTCAGTTTTTTTCGGTTTATCGGTTTCCGATATGAACTTTAGATGTATGCCTCGCTTCTCAGTTTAAAAGGGGAGGATAATTGAAAATTTTATATGATCCTAGCCTGTATAAACTGATTTTTGGTTTCTTTAGTAATAAAACAGAGAAACATAGAATGGTTTTATTTTTGTAGTAAATTAAACAGATAAAGATAGACAAGAAATATTCAATCTCTGCCTCAACAATAATAGACATAGATTTAAATAAGTTGAAAACAACTTCCAAGTTATTAATAACCCAAGCGTTTACTTAAACAAAAGCTGAAATGTCTTTGAACCTCTGGCCACACATTCTAACTCTTTCAACATCCCATGCTTCTCTGCAGATTCTGAGTAGAATGTCGCCTTCTTTAAACGACTCGCATTTGCTAGAATGTACTTTGTAGCTTCCCTCTCTTGCTCTGTGCCATTGTATTGTCTCCATTCGAATTTTGAAGATCTCCAGATGAGATGATAATCGTGAATTGTTTTCTTGTTTATGATGCTTATCACTCCACGTTTCGATTTTAGGCATAAAAAAAAAAGAGAGTGAAATTGGCTCTCTACTAAGAAGATGTCTTTTTTTTTTTTTTAACTTTTCTTACTCTTTTCGAAGTTTCAGTTTTTGGATGAGATTTGTGGTGTTACAGGACAAAGTCACGAATATATCGACTATTTTTGACGAGCAATCTTGGTTATGCATTGCGAATTGCTCACTTTGTTATTAATGGTTTATTGAAATCTAGCTATGTATGTTTGCGTGTCTCTCTTTTGATTAATGGTTATAGAGTCTTCCTTTGTTATAGTCGTTCTCATTGCCTCTTCTTATTATACGGCCAAGAGATCCATGCTCATCACTAAACTAGCAATCTTGGTTACGTGCGAGTTGCTCACTTTGTTATACAAATTGATCTATCTGTTTTGTGTGGTTTCTTTAGTTGCTCACTTTGTTTATTTTTTGATAATTGCAGCAACCAGTCTTTTTCAAGATTATATAGACTAGAGGACAAGGCCGCAAAGAAAGAGCGAATTCTCAAGAAGATTTGGGCTTTCGGCCGAACCAACAGGCCCATCTTCTTCTTTCTTTTTTTTTCTTTTCTTAATAAAATTATAAAACTAGGGTTTGGGGATCTTGATTCGTGAGAGGAATGGGGAAACGGAAGGAGAAGAAGAAGAAGAGCAAGATGTCCAAATCTTCCAGGTCTGATTAGAGGTCTAAATTAAAAGCTATTGTTCCTAGAATCTGAATATGATCTCCCTCTTACTTGTTCTTCAACAGAGCTAAACTACAAAGGCTCAAATATATACAAGTTATCGAAGAATTGGTATGTAACTCCTTTTCTTGAGAAGAAGAAAAAAAGGTCGTATTTTTACAACCTCTCTTGTGTGTTCTTGCAGGGAGCCGAACTCGTGCAGTTACAAATTACTAACGAGTAGGACTCTCTTCCTGAAATCATCCCGTTTTTGGTTATTAATCTCTTCAACTTATTGAATCTATATATATATTCCAGGAAATTGAATGGTGACGGTGTCGAGGGTCTGAGCTACACCGAGCTGGAATCACTTGTAAGTATTTTAAGGGAGGGACAAAGCCGTGTAATGGAGCAACAGGAAAAGGTATTTTCAAATCAAATCATCTTATGTTCCTGTCAACTCCCATTATTTGTTTATGTCTTAAAACAACCCTGTGTGTGTGTGTTTCTTTCAGGCACTTTGTCAATATACAGTCAGTCAGGTATAAAGTTCAAAGTTTTACCCTTTCTATATGCATATATATATATATATATGTTATATCCATTTTGACCTCTGAGTACTCGTTTTCCCCCAATTAAGATGGCAGAGTTCGAAGTTATGGGGGAAGAATGGGTTGAACAAATGGCCAAAGAGGAACACGCCCGTCAATTTCTTTTGTCCAAGAGAAGAAGAGAGTTTAGGCGCAAGGCTAGACAACTCCGGCTCAGGTAAAAGGTTTAATTTGATTTTGTAGGCCTTCTTTGATCATCATCTAGGTTTTAACCTTCTTCTGGGTATTGCCATGGACACAGCTCTCTCGATTCCCCACAGGAGCTCGAGCATAGCCAGGACCATACAGATCTGGTGGAACGCATTGAGTTGTTGAAGAGCGAGAAGGAGAGACTGGTGCTTTGGAACCAGTATGTTTACATTTCCCTAGCTTTTATATTTTCTGCTATTGTCACTCATATTTTGGGGGTTCCTTTTGTCCTCTCATTATAGGAGAATGATTGGTAAAGAGCTCGACGGTATGGATCAGATCGAGCTCGATGTATTTCTGAGTGATGTCAACCTTGGTCTCCGCAGTGTGTGGGACGAGATGATGAGTAGAATCCGCTCTACTAGGCAGAGCAACAAGCAGAGCAACGAGGTAAATATCTATCTTTGTGTTGTTAGATTGTAAAACAATCTCTTCTTCTTTTCTTTTCTGACATTTCTCTTTTTCACCATATATCATCAAGGAACTAATCTCTCAGACTCAGAGCAGCATCAAGGAACTGAGCAGCCCGGGAAAGATGGACGAGATGCCTAGAATTCGCTCTACTAGGCACAGAGCAACGAGGTAAATATCTATCCGCGTGTTCTTAGAATGTAAAACAGTCTCTTCTTTTTTTTCTTCTGACATTTCTCTTTTTCACCACGACAACTCTCTTTTCTTTTTCTTTTTCTTTCTTTTCGTGCTTATGGTAACTCTGTAATAATTTGCTCGACACTATTGATATTTGAGCACGTATGACTTTAATTGTTGATTTTCCCCCATCCATTAACCCCTAATTTATCGATTTAGTAGCTTACGAGGGAAACTGTTTACAGCGAAGTGCAATATTTTTGTCTAGATTATATCAATCCGAACTAAGTGGGACAAAGAAAAGAATTCCCCAATTCCTTCACGTATACCGGGCTTAAACGTCTCCGCCAACTACGTACTAGTAACAATAACGTAGATAATTAGGGATTTTTGGGTCTTTTTATAGTATATAGTATAGTATTAATCTGGTTTTCACACGAAATAGCTACCTTCATTTTTGAGCTACTTTATGAATTCTCATATCAAAAATGTTGTTTGAATAATTCATTAAGTAATTTATAGTATTCTTCCCCTCACGTTAATTTTTCGCGGGAAATAAGTCAAATAAACTAATCGCGGGTGGAAGAAAATTATTCTATATAGAATAGATGATAGATCTTTTCTTTTAGTGATTTTATATAAGATTTCAGATCCAGGATTTTCAAATATCCAAATTTTAAAACAGCTTGAATCATAAGTATCACATAAGACATCTTCACAATTAGACCATATACCAATATTTTGAAAGAAATAGTTAATCATCGACATGATTATGCGGATTTGGAATAGCTAGATACATATGTATATGTTTCTTTCATTATTAAAGCTAAAACATATTTTGTTCCACTATCAAACTTGTCTTTAGCTTTAAACGAAAGTTAGAAAAATAAAATTCATTTATTAAGAAATTTTATTTCTCCAATAAATATATTAATTACCGACTGAAATTTTATGGCTGAACGATCAGAAACAACCAATATAATATCTTATGTCAGTTGTAAATAGACAGAAAAAAAAAAAAAAACAACTTAGATGCTCTCCCGACAACTACCGCACTGCATGAAAAAAAATTCATTTGCTAATTTTTCTAATTATTGGCTAATCATGTGCTTGACCATTAGTTAATAACTTAATATGCCAGTCATCTTTCATGGGCTTTAACGGTATGGGTTGATCTCTGAACTCTCAAGCTTTAAGTTTCATCTCTTGTTTAGCATTATGCTGATCTCTTTGTAGATTAATGGAAAAAACGGGAGAAGGAATTTACATTAGGTATCTCGGAGGTTTTTACTGCCACATAGTTTTCAACTTTCAACATCAAAGTGAGAATTTACTTACGAGATAGTTTTGCCACCAAAATTTTGGCCATTAATTATTCTTACACAAACAACTGTTATAGTATATGGTTAGCCTAAAGCAAGACATATTAGTAACAGATCGAGAAGAGCTGATGCTAATGCTTCTAGTTCTATTCCAGCAATTATTCACACCACCACCGTTCCTACTTTCCCTTCGTTTCCTTCTCACTAGTGTCAAAAGTTGTAACTCGACAATATCGGATACTTTCAAAGTTGTGGTTTACTTTTGTTTTAGAAACTTAGGAATAAACCAAGGAAACTTAAGCCAAACAAAAATAAAACGAGCTCATTATCACTTTGTTTGGAGTTGCAAATGCTCATTTGAATGTTATACTCACTTAACGCGTACATGATATTATTATTTTGATACTAAAATGTGAACGTTAATATATTTAGTTTTTACCAAAAATATAGCCCATTAAATTATTTATTTAAAAGAACTCATGCAGTAGTTTGACTATGCAGAGTAAACCATGTATATATGACTAGAGTATGACTGTATGAAGAAAAACAAAACACTGACACTGTTGAGAAAAGAAGAGTTACAGTACTGTTATGTTATGTCGTAAGGGAAATTAAAGAAACAAAACATAGTAATGCACAGTTATATTTAATTTTTTTATTTTTATTGTGGTCGAACTAGATCAATATTTGAGCTACTTAATGGTTGAGGCATTAGCATGCGCCTGAACGTGAGTGGTCGTCCGTGTACGTAATATTAATTGTTAAATATTTTACAAATAAGAAAATCGCTCCACTAATAATTAACAAATGAGACTTTGCTAATTCATATCATTATCTAAGGTATTGTGAATCCAACCTATCAAAGCACTAATCGATAGAACTATGATAGTGATTAAAGTCATATAATCAGGAAACACATACATGTGCGGAAAAAATCCTACACTACAATAGACGGTCTTAACAGAATTTTTATAAGAAAAAAAAAAAAACAATCGTTCTGTCTCGTTTTGTAACTTTGTACACTAGCTAATATCCACACATGGGCAATTGAGGTCACAAGATATAGATGAGCTACACTTTCTTCATTATCAACAAACTTATCGTCATAATTTATCATACCAAAATATGTAACCAAGTAAATTTATAGATTAGTGTCATTCTTGTGTCACCATCAAGGCATGAACATTTAAATCCGCATAATGTACGTATCAGAAACATGATATAGATGAGCTACACTTAACTAGTTGTGCTGTTTTGCAAACGGATCACTAATTTTCATTTGAAATTACGAGAATCTCAAAGAACTAAGACAGATATGCACAATTACAATTTACACAGCGACTAGAAACAAACAAATTATAAACAAAATTCGTAATCTCCCTTTTAATTCCTTACCAAAAAACAAAAAGGTTTAGAGACAAAACTCTTATCTAAGAGAAAACACTATTCCTCAGAATATCAACAAAAACCCTTATATAACAAAAGTATATTTTGTATAGACATCATATTGTTATTAATAAAAAAAGCCAACATCTCCATGAGCTAGACAGGCAAATCAGCATAAGCATTGAGTTCATGTTCTGCTTAAGCATGTACAATGCCCGGCTCTCTACTTGCCTTACCCTCTCCTTCGACGGTCCGTAAATCTCTCCTATCTCCGAAAATGATCTCTGTTTCCCGCCATCAATCCCAAATCTCAGCTTGATGATCCTTCTCTCCTTCGGGCTCAGTACAATTTTAGGTTGGTAAAGTGGTAATGATGTTCTTCATGTTTAATTGAACTGTTACCTTGTTCGTACTTAATACTTCCATGGCTTGATGAACAGATGAAGTCATTCTATTAATTTAATGTTGATTAAGTATGTTAATAATGGCTTTGTTTAGGGCATTTGTGTTGAGGGCATATATTTTCTTTCACGTTGCAACTTTGTTTGGGACTCGGAAATCAGCTTTCAGCATTTTGATGTTTATGATTATTCCATAGTATTACTTGAGCACTTTGTTTATGTGATGTTATAGGGCAAGTGATCAGTGGAAGTTGGGATAAAACCATTAAATTTTGGGATCCAAGAGGTGCAAGTGCATGGGACGAATCGCACAGAGATTGGAACATATCAGCAACCTGAGCGTGTTAACTCTATTTCTCTTGCCGGAAATCGTTTGGTTGTGGCAACAGCAGCAAGGCATGTCAACATTTATGATCTCAGAAATATGTCTCAGCCTGAGCAAAGAAGAGAGTCCTCACTTAAGTACCAGACAAGATGTGTGCGTTGTTATCCCAATGGAACAGGTTAAATGGCTAATATTTGCTTTCGGTCTTTTTTTTTTCCCAACAGTCAAAGTTGCTTTCGTCCAGTTCCAAGTATACTCAGTAGCCACATTTCTGATTTTAATGATACTTTGCAGGATATGCCCTTAGCTCTGTTGAAGGGAGGGTTTCAATGGAGTTTTTTTTTATCTATCAAAGGCTGCTCAAGCTAAAAAGTATGTTCCTAATGTGTTTTCTCTTATCTCTTTTTGACGAACTATGACAGTCTATGACATTGTGTATATTCTATTATTCTTGCTGAGCATTTTTCTGGTAGATATTCCTGTTTCGCTTTTTTCTTTTGAATCTGATAACTATATTTAAACTTCTTTTCAGATATGCTTTCAAATGTCACCGGAAATCAGAGGATGGAAGGGACATTGTCTACCCTGTAAATGCGATTGCATTTCCATCCGATGTAAGTCTTATCTTATAAAGAAACCTGGTTGTTTCCTTTCAGATATTTGATTGCTTCAAGACTTAACTAATTTTTTAAATAGCGAAGGTGAAAATCTAGTGGAGATGAACTTTGAGGGCTAGTTCACAGTATCGTTCCATTTGAAAACAAATTCTGTAAATATATGTTCTTGGGATCCACTATTTATATGGAACCTATGGGGAAAATTTGAAACTTTAAGTTATCTGTCCCGGTACACCAACTCTATTGCTTACAATAACCTGAGGGTTTAATTTTATTGTAGTTATGGCACTTTTGCTACTGGAGGTTGTGATGGTTTCGTCAATGTTTGGGATGGTAACAACAAGAAGAGGCTATATCAGGTTTAGAACTGAACAGTACTTTTGATATTTATTTCTTTCAATGTATTGTTCTTTTGGTAAGTGAGACGCAGCATTTATTCTCCTTTTTTGGTGTAGTACTCCAAGTATCCAACAAGTATTGCGGCACTGTCATTCAGCCGAGATGGTGGATTACTGGCTGTTGCTTCTAGTTACACGTTTGAAGAGGGAGACAAACCGTAAGAATCTCAGTCTTTAATCTTTTTGGTTCCCCTTTGAAGGAATTATAGTTTGAGTTAGATGTTATTGGATCTCATCAGGCATATAGAAACCTTTAGACTTACGGATAGCATATTCTAGAGACATTATATTGTGTTTGCTTTTGGATTGATCTCTCTCTTAATTGATCCTGATTGTTGTGTTTTTGCAGGCATGAGCCGGACGCAATCTTTATTCCAAGTGCTAATGAAGTCGAAGTGAAACCGAAACCGAGAAACCCAAAGTATACCCAAATCCTCCAGTATAGTCAGGAATAATGGAAGAGGTTAATTCGACTTGTGTGTTGTATTATTGCTACGGTGGTTGCCCGAAGAAGATTGTAGCACTTTAAAGAAGAGTTTTAAAATCTTGCCTGCACAATGGGATTCTGTTTGCACCGGAAATCATAACTGTATCAGAGAAACTACCTTCAAGATGTATTCTGTTTGAAGACTTCTTTTTAAGTCATTTAACCGATATTGCCTGCACAATGGGATTTACAAAAGATTTATAATCAACCGTATAAGTTAAAAGATCAGTTTCGGCATTAGCTTCAGGATTGGACCTTCATGTAAGCATCTACTTCTGGGTCGGGAATGATTCCACCATCCTTTTCTCTTCTAATGACCTCCATCATAATATCTGTTTCAGCAGAGAGTTATGTTTGTCACGAAAACCGTTTAGAGAATGCTTGCTTTATCCTTGACAACGTGCTGAGAAGTCAATTGTCTCCCTCACTGTGCAGATCGTGTTGACTTATGTACGCGGATGTCTTCTGAGGAACAAACTGGTTCAGTCCATGTCCATTGTAGGAGATTTAACCAAAACGCTGTGGAAGATAGAGGAGAAAAGAAATAGACATGATACACACATATACAGCAGAATCATCGAAAATGGACTTGAAACAAAATCTGAAACCTTTAGATTTTTGTCCAAATTTCCAGACAAAGCCTTAAGCAGAGTAGTTTTTCCACATCCAGGAGGACCAATAAGCAGCAATGTTAAGCCTTTGTGCAAAAAGAAGAGATCATATTAGCTGAGTTTCACTACACAAGTATCAAAGCTTAGAGCAGAAGAGAGTTCTCTCACTAACCTCCCCGGGTTATGCTTATCTTGGCTTCACGTGTTTTTACACCACTCAGCTTCACCAATTCCTGAAGAGATCATGAGTGGATTTCAACACTAGCTACTGCCAAGTTGCAATTCGCGAGTATACTTACTAAGAAAACGCGGATCAAGGAGTTCCATAGAGTTGGAAGCGCCTTCCCTTCAACGACCTCACACTCTGCTTCAGCACTTAAATGCTCATACCTCACCTCTATGCTCGGAAACTCAACACCGACCCTGCAAGTAAAAAGTTCAGATCACAGGCTTTGCTTCCTTTAATTTTTCTCATATCACATCACCTGTTGAGATTATCATTCTCAATGTGTTTGATCAGCTTCTCAATCATCAGATGACGTTCGGGTTACTCAAAAGTGCACTATTAAATTGTTGGGGTAGAAATTACAATTGGCTTAAGAAAAGTTTTATATAAAACCCGTGGGTATAACCATTATACAGTTTTAAGATATTAAATCTCTTCATCTATATTATAATAGATCATGGCTCATGCAATATCTTTTGGGTCAAATCTCCATGTTCAGCGTAACAAATTGAACTAGTCAAACAATTTGGGCATGAAAAACCCAAAGTGATGTGGATTCATCGCATTTTAACTCCATCTTGACTTTCTCCATACGTTGAACTCAGTTTTTAACAAAAGGATAAGTCAACTTCAACCAAAAAGAACTACAAGTCAATCCATTTAATGCTCTTTATATATAGCAATATAAACTTAACTACGAAGAGAAACCCTAATTAGTTTTCTCTTATCTCCGGCGCAGAGCTGCAAGACGAGCCACCACATCATCATAATCAAGGAGCTTAGGTCTCTCAAACGACGACGTTCTCTCGTTCTCTCTTGTTGTGGAAACTTCGTTATTGTTTGTGCTTGTGAGACTCCTACTGCTTTGTATTCCAAGTAACCTTGAGTTTTCTTGATCAATACTCTTTCTATTCTCTTCTTTCCCCTCTTCTGCTTTCTCATCGTTTCGAGTTCCTGTTTTCGTGTTTGGAGGAGAGACTATTCCGTAAGGTAAAATCTTATTCCTCTTCTTCTTCCTTACAGATTCTCTTCTAAGAGAACTCGAGCTCGAGCTCGAACTAGAACTCAAACTGCCTTTGGACAATGAATCTCTTCTCCAACTCTCTGAAAGAACCGATTCATCCTCGCTTTGGTCATCTATCATACTTTTCTCTGTATCTTTGTTCAGATAATCTGCTCTTGTCTCGACCTTGTCCTTAATCTAAACAATTTTCAGACATTAGAACAACAAAAGCTGAGAGATTTAATGTTTTTCTCTAATCAAATTCCGAGTACATATTTTACCTGTAGAGCTGAATTCTCCCTGAGCAGCATTAGTTTTAGAGGTGTAGGATCCCAATTGATCGAAAACTCATTCGCAACATCTTTCACTGTTTGAATCTTGAGTTCCCGTGAAGGTAGTCTTCGCAATTCAGTTTTCTCAACGAGCTGCAAGATTCAAAAAGACAGAAACTCTCAGTGCAAGAAATGTGGCAAAAAGAATAGACAATGTATCTCAATAATAATAAACCAACCTCATGATTTACAGATGAAGCAATGAAAGTCCCAAATCTTTTCGTAAACACGGCTCTAAGATCCTTAAGTTCAGGAACATCAGGAACCCATGCCGTTGCATATATCAAAGAGGAAACAGCTTCTCTGCATTCTTCAGGACACTCCCTAAAAGTGAAAGAAACAAAATCAAAAACATAAGTTAATAAATTATGAGACCTTTTGGTGTGAAATCTTGAGATAAATAGTAAAAGTAAAAAACCTTTTCTTTAGCATAAGTGAGAGATTTTCAGAGATACAATCGCAGAATCGCTCGATGAGATCGTAGCACGATATTATTCTAAGCTCTTCGAGTAATAGCTCTGTCTGTAGTAACAAATAATTGACAGATTAGGAACAAAACACTTAATAATACAGAGAAAGTTTAGAATCATAATGAGAGAAAAAGGAAGTGTTAATTACTCTTTTATAAGCTTCATAATCTTGGCCATTATTGAGTAAGTTCACAATATCTGTTTTATAATTTTTAACCATTGCAATCCTTTTTTTCCTCACTATATCAAGCCTAATCTTCATGTAGCTTGTTGTAGATTTGCTGCAATTCACCGAAAAACAAGGATTAACTAAAATGCTCAGAAACATATTCAAGACTTAAAAGTTAAAACTTCTTTAAACAGAGTGACAAAAGACTAACCTTTTCTTGTAGAACTTGGGTTTGAAGCACCAAAGGAACATCTTGTTTTCGATTTCTAGAGGCAAGATGATGGTAAACAAACAGAGCAAAGCTTTATATGAAGATACACAAGAATCTAATGGGTGGTTTAGTGAATGGAGTTGAAGTAATACTCAGAATCAGAATATAGCAAAATCTATGAAGCAAAGTAACAAACCAAGAAGTTTCCTCTTAAGAGAAATATATAGATACAAAAGATTGAAGACTTTCCTTGAAATGCTTTGGATATGGTCTTTATATATTCTCTGAAGCTTAGTTTTTTATTAGTTATTAAATATTAAAAATGTGAAACTTAGAGGACAAGCTTAAAATAATAGAGAACTACTTAGTTAACAAGGACTTTAGATGCAATCCTATAAACTTCCAAACAACTTTCTCTAATACGACATCGTTTTTGGCTATAACATTTCTTAACTTTTTCCATGAAAAGTAATTTGACAATGAAATGTCTCCTAAGATTCGATTATACAGTACAGTCAAACAAAAAGTGTTTTATTGAGACTTATGTTAAATAATTTAACTACTTAATCTCTAATGGTTGGACCAATTGCTGAAGCTGATGAACAACATGTGACATCCTTGGACGCATTGATGGCACATTTTGAGTACAAGAATAAACCAAGTCCACAACTTTCTGAACCACACTTGCTTCCGGTAAACCACACGTTATAACCGGATCAAGAATCTCTAACCAACGGTTTGCTTGAACCAATGGTGTTGCCCATTCGAATATGCTCTGCCATCCAACTGAAGAATTTACCGCTTGAGTTGGTCTACGACCGCTCACAATCTCAAGCAAAAGGACTCCGAAGCTGTAGACATCGCTTTTCGTAGTTAGCTCGTTTCTGTATACGTATTCGGGTGCGAGGTAACCATAGGTTCCACCCGCCATTACGGTTCTCTCTTGCATTACTTCCCAAGGGACGAATTTTGAGAGACCAACGCCCATTAAATGAGCTCCAAACTCCTCATCCAATAGCACGTTGCTTGCTCGGATGTCGCGGTGCACCACTTGCGGTTTGACCTTGTCGTGTAGAAACCTGTTTTTTCAACGTTAAGAGAAGCTGAGCTTTAATCTGGTCATAAGTTCTCAGAAACAAAAGCTATAGTAAAAGATTTGACTTACGCGATTCCTTGGGCAAGAGTTGTGGCGATGTTCAATCTCATGTTCCAGTCCAAGCTCCTACCACCTCTAGGCACGTGGTGTAGCCATCTATCGAGCGGTCCACTAGCTATGAACTCATAAACAATGAAACGTTCTCCGTGATCATAGCAACAACCTTTGATGGCCACTACATTCGGGTGATGAAGTTTGGCTGCTCTTCTAATCTCGGAGTAGAATTCTTTCTTCCTCTGAAAACTAGACCTTTTCAGTCTCTTAACCGCCACTTTAGTCCCGTCTGATAAACCACCGCTATAGGTTCCACCGGTTTTTGCGTCCCCGGCCAGACGGTTTGCTTCACTGAAGTTCTTCGTCATTGATCTCAGTTCTTCACTAGTAAAGATCTTCCATGACGGAGGAACTACTGATGATGAAGAAGCTGGATTTGATACTTTTCGTGATTTTCGGCGTTTCTTGCTTCGTTTGTAGACAAGGAGCCATAATATGATGGCGAATGTGGTGAACAGAATCAAACCACTAACAACAGCGAGAATAATTAGATATTTGTGACAATTGCGACATTTGATATCTGCAAAGAGAAATTAGACAGATTAAGAACTCCTAATAATGTTCCCTAAGGAATAAAGAGAGATGTAGTAGTAATAGAAAGGCCATTACCAGAATCAACAGCGCAAACAAAAGCATGAGACGCATTACATTTTTCACCAAAGATTGGCAATGAACCATTTGTCACGGCTATACAGATATTTGCACGACAAGATGAACTGCCATTGCCATTGCCACAGCGGGTGCGTAATGGCACTTTAGGAAACAAGGATTGGTTCCATTGAGGAGTCTTAGGATCGGACCAGCTCCAACGGAAAACGGAGGTAGAAGAATTCAGACTTCTTCCTCCAATCCAACAACCACTAGAGTTTCCATTGCATAGTTTCTGAACAAAGCTGAGTTCTTTGCTCGATGCAAGCGATGCTAAGTGACCACCATAAGTTCTACAGAACATTTCTGACTTCTCCCATGAAGTGGAGTTTTTAAAGTAACCATAGCATTTCGTTTGGTTCAATCCAATGATCCAATCAGAAGGGCAAGAAACTGTACATAGAGAATCAATGAACACTAAATCTAACTCGTATTTGTTCCAAGAAATAAAGTTGACAACTTCATACCTCTGTGAGACCTTTTCTTGAGATCAGTTGCATTCTGAGTTGATTCACATGATATCTGAAAAATCATTTCAAAATTTCACCTTTATAGATCAATTAAAGAACATATATTATCACTTCAAAATTTGTTAAGAAGATTCAACAATTAACAAGAAGATTCAACCAAGTTCAACAACCCTAATTCTTGAATCTTATACACTTACAGTATTCAAGGACGCGAGACAAAGCAAAGTCAGACAAGAAATCAAGAACAGAGATCGTTTCTGACAAAAAACACACTTCAGCTTCATAGCTACAACAACTTCATAAAACCCTGAGAAATTAAACGAATTTAGTCTCATTTAGACAAATCAGAAACCCTTATATGCAAACGAGAAGAAGAAGAATCGGGAAAATGGAAATTACCGTTAAGTCATAACGTCGAGAAGAAAGACGCAGACTTTATGCTGGGGAAATGAAGCTTTCGTTGCTCATAAGGTTTTTTTTTTTTTATGTAACTGGTGAATTGCAGAGTTCCGAGAGAGAGAGAGAGAGAAAAAGGTTTTAATGGCGAATTTATTGGAGGAGACAGTAGACGGACTTCGGACAAGTCAGTGGGTAGTTCGGAAAATGAAAAATCTTACTATTTTCTTATTTCTTCCCATAACTTTTGTGAAAATAGTTTTTACCCCTATATTACTTGATTTTCCAATTGCTCACCCTATATTATCATAATGTTACTATCACAACCTGAAACCTAGTGTTCTTATTTATTGTGTGAGAAAATTCACAATTTATAAAATCCATTTTATACCTTGGAAATTATGGTTTATGCCATGGTTTAGCTTAGATAGTATTTATTTGTTTGGGTTTATGATTTAAAATTTGGAGTTTATGGTTAATATTTGGACTATTTTTCAAAAAATTTCCTTCTAAATAGATTGTTTTATTGGCTTTGATATAAAATTTAAAATTTCCTTCCATTATTTTCAACAGTATTTTTTTTATGTCAAATTAAAATGTCTTTTTTTCCAAAAAGTGTAATTGATGTAGTGTTTTAACATTATAAAAATAGAAAACTAACATAAACATTTCAGAAAAGATACGATAAATTGGACAAAATAATCATTGCCGTCGATTATAAATTCACGGCCGGTTAGCCTTTCTACTTGAAGATTCCGGGGAAGAAGACCACTGTAAAAGAGTAAGATAGAGACGGAGGCCACTGGATGAGCCACCACCGCAGCCACTAGTTTCACCACTGAATTTAGTAATGGGATAATCACCTAAACGACACAAAGAAATTAAAACAAATTCATCAAAAACAAACTCATCAAAAAAAAAACTCATCAAAATCTTAAGAAAAAAGTGATCAAGTCCATGACATGCATATATAGACTATTCTTGTATATAGTATTCCGTCTTAATCTCCTGTGCATGTGAAAGTATAACATCGACTTGAATATGCTACGAGGGTCATTTACGTGAACCATTGTTCTTGCCATCTTGGTTCATGGTGTATTTTAATACAAATTGTTTTTGTAAAAGTAATAGAGGCAAAGAGAGAAAAATGTACCATGAACGAGGAACGATGGATTAATGGTTTCCTTGACTTTAGAAGAAGGTTTATAACTCTAATATGTCCAAATCAAACCTTTTCTTGACGATCTCTAGGGACCAATTCTTCTGAGACTCAAGAATGTTTTAAAGGAAAACAAAATGAAAAAAAGGAAAAATAAAAAATCCGTATAACCGACGACAAAAAAAAAAGATTTTATTGAAACTTACTTGGAGGACAAAACCACATTTATGGAACAAATTGTTCCCCAAGTATTTCAAGTCTTGAAATTTGAGACTCAAAATCACATATTTACTTTAGAGTTTAGAGTATTAATATTGAAGCCAAACAAATTGTTTTGTGATTTTCGAAAAGAGTCCAAAACAAAAAGGCTTATTAAATTTTAAGGCCCATGGGCCTGCCTTAATGATCCAATAAACAATTCAGAACCCTAATAAAAAGAAGAAAACCCTAGCTTTATATAAACTTTTGTTGACCTACCGTCGTCACTTCCTTCTCCTGAAGCCGGAAACCTTAAGGTTTTTATCTGGAAAAAAAAAACTCGCATTCGCTTCAATGGTGATCTACAATTCTCTCTATCTATCTCATCTCTATGCTTCATTGATTTCATTTCACTGATTTCTGTTTATCGATTGCTTTTGAGATTCTCAGGGTAAGGGAACGGGAAGTTTCGGAAAGAGGAGAAACAAGAGTCACACACTCTGTGTCAGATGTGGCCGTCGCAGTTTCCATATCCAGAAGAGTCGTTGCTCTGCTTGTGCTTATCCTGCAGCTCGCAAGAGGACTTGTACGATTCTCTTCTCTTCTTTTCTCTCATTTTTCTTCATTTCAATTCGTTATATAGTATTGCAGATCCATTGATTCTCAAAAAGAATTAGGGTTTTTCTGAGATTAGGGTTTGGTTAGGGATTGAATCATTCGTTAATTGCGTCTCATTGATTCTTCAATTATACTTGAAGGTTTATTTTTTTCCGTCTAGAGCTTCGTTAGGCATATGAATTCTAATTATCGATAAAGAACAAACCTTTGAGTATAATTGAAAATACTAGGATACTTTAGTAAGAATCTAGCTATAAATTCCACTGTCTTCTATTCGGATTTTGTTATTTGGCATTTGTGAGTGTGTATAAATTCCACTGTCTTCTATTCTAATTGAGAGTGTATTGATGTTGTTAGACAACTGGAGTGTGAAGGCAATCCGTAGAAAGACTACTGGAACTGGAAGGATGAGGTATCTTCGCAATGTCCCTCGCAGGTTCAAGACCGGTTTCAGAGAAGGTATTTTGTTTCACCATTTCCACTTAGTTTTCTTTCATTCACCAGTTTAAGTATATGTGAGAAATGGGTCTTTATGATCGAATTGTTGTACATTTTTTCTTGATTAGGTACCGAAGCCAAGCCAAGAAACAAGGCTGCGGCTTCATCAGCTTAAACTGGTTTTTGAGCATCAAGGGAGAGAGTAAAAACTTAGATTTTGGCTTGGCTCTGAGTTTGTTTGTTCACAAGATTATTATTTTTAAGTACCTGATTATGACTTCCTCTTTGTGTGCTCTTTACTTTTATAAAGTTTTGGACTTGGATGATATTTCAATTTGCAAGTCTTTTATTCTATTTATGTATTTCGTGATTACTGCTAATCACTAGGGCTCCTTACCAAATTGTGTCTCCAACCGATAAAGACTGACAAAGTCATTAGGGGTTTAATCATGTCCTGGAAGTTGAACAATTGAGTAATTCCTTTTCAATTTTCAATTGTTGAAAAGAAATTTCAGAGTCTGTTCTCTTAAATCCGTAATCTTAGGCTCACTAACATTCATAATTAAGCTGAGTAACTTGCAATTTCGGTTTTAGGAACTTTGGTGTTTGTATATGTATAATCCGATACTAGGACTGACAGCAGAAATTTTGAGATTATGGTCGAAATATATGTTTAAGATGAACATATATTTGACGTTTGTATAAACTCGAGCCTCTAGTTTCGAGAAGTGAGCTGAGAAGATGGCCTCGTAAAATGAGGATGTGGGCTTATGAACGAAGACGAAGAAGATGGACTTGTGAACTGAAAATATGGGCTTTTGAGCTGAGATGATAAGCTTGAGAGCTAAGGAGAGATGAGCTCATGAGTTCAAGAGACGGGTTTCTCTTATCCAGGTTTTCTATGTTTAGGTGTCCTCGACGATAATTGAACTGCGACCTTGATGAATTGCGGTTGCGGTCAGTGGCGGACCCAGAAATAAATTTTACCGGGGTCATAATATAATAACTTACCATTAAATATTTCTTTTATGATGAAAAAAAAACTTTTGAAGTGAATTTGGCTTAATAATCTGTTTTTAATCTATCAAAAGTATCTCTCTATTTCTTGTTTGTACTTTAAAACAATGTATAAATGAAGTGTTGTTTGACAGCAAAACAGGAATAAAACCAAATAACTGAAAAATAAATAAAATATACGTGAAAATCTATGGAAGAAAGTGTAATAAAAGGTGTAAACAAAAAAAAACAAAAAAAAATAACAGAAATTAGAGGTAAAATCTGATAGAATGTGTGTCAAAAAGTGATTCCATCTAGATTTTAGGGGGGTCAAAAGGATGATTTTACCATTTTATCTAGTGAAACCAACATAATTATAATATAAAAACAATAAATACCAAAATTTTAGGTGTGTCATTTGACCCCCTAATTGCCTTAGTGGGTCCGCCACTGGTTGCGGTCTTAGTCAGCTTGAATGCTTTGATTTTATCAATTTTCCATGGACTGGACTCAGGTTTGAGATCCGACACCAACCATGCTTTTTGCAATTTGCTTAATCAAGGATAAGATGCTGAGAGTTCTATAATTTGTATCTTTGTGACCAATTAAAATGTGGGGTCGAACAAAAGTGATCGTTACAAAACTAGTGATAGCAGATCGGACAATGCAGAACAAATGGATTGAATAATAGGATGCGATTAATGTTGAACAAGCTATGTAAAATAATCTATATAAAAGTAAGAGCATTTTTGAAAATAGATATTCTAAAAATGACATTTCTTAAAAGTTCTCCAAAAACTAATGCAAAAAACATTGTTTTCTTTACAATGAATGACAACTCTTTGAAGTTTGAACCACACAAAATATAGTGGAGTCTCCTACTAGTAGTCTAGTACTAGATGCGTTTTTTTCATCTTTGTACATGCGGTTCTTTTTTTTTTCTTTCTTATTTATTTGTAAAAAGTGAAATACAAAAATTAATCAAATAGTGACATAAATTTGAAACGCACTTAGAAAAACATGAAACGTGATGCCTAAGTTGAAGTATAGTACAAATTGTGTTTAGTAAGAATAAGATAGTATAGGTTGTGGCGTTACACTTAGATAATGTAAGATAGAACAAGTTATGGCGTTATTTTTACGTAGATTGTGGTGTTAATTTTGTTAAAATCTCATTGGATTTTGAGATTCGCTTCGTATCTTGTAATCAAAAAATAATTAGACGTTGAGATTAACATCTTATCTTATAGATTTATCTTCAATCTTTATTATATATTGACGAACACATACGGAAAACCATCCATTTACTTGCTCTCAACATATATTTTTAATCATCAGTGTTTTTTTTTAAGATAACAAATCATCATCACCTTTGACGCGTCAGATCCAAATTTGAACGAGAGGAGAGAAACCTTTCTGATGAAAAAAACACATGCGATAATCGGCGGTTATAGTCTAAATTTATAGGTTGAAGTGGCAAGAAGAAGAACTAGGAAGGTGAACAATAGATGTAAACGGCCAGAGTTTTTTTTCAAGACCAGATCAATGAAATATGGACAAGTGTCAATGGAACCTCAATGCTTGATAAAGCAACGACGATGTAAGGATTTCGCATGCAATTTCGATAGGATCACAATAATGAGATTAGTTGGGAGGGTTCTCTTTCTAAAATCCCATATAAGCCTATTTTCTTTCTCTTTTAAACATAACCAAAATAATTCTGCAAGACTTAATTGTTAAGAGTAAAGCGTAAATTTAACCCACAAAAAGCCAACATAAACAACCATTTTGTGAAACCCAAAAAAAAAAATTAAATGCATGTCTTAGTTGACTCTTGGTTATCACACAATGGTTGTTGTTGTTGGCTTTTTGTAATTTACACTTTCCACTCTTAACGCTTGCGTTGTGACTTGAAATTTCATATGGTTTAATTGGAGGTTGTTTTGGTTCTGTTCGTACCAAAGACAAATATATATGATTTTTTTCCCCCCAACTAATTAATCTAATCATTATAATTATCTTGAGATTGCATGTGAAATCTATAGTAAAATTTTGATGCTTATCAAAGCAACGGACTTCCACTATCAGTCGTCCATGATTCACAGATTTTTCTTGTTGGATAAGAATTCGTTTTTTTTGTTCTTTCTTGTGAAAACGTAATTGTTTTTTCCTTTATTATCTTTCTATCAAATATATGGTTCCTGATAATTGCTTCCATTGACTACATATTTGTCGTCCATACCCTACCACGTCAGTTGATTTTATGTAAATGATTAACCATAAACAAATTTCGGAGCATAGGATTGGTTAATAAATCGGGTATCTGGCTGGCTTTACCGCGTATAATTTATTGAACAAACTAAAAATAAAAGGAGAATAAATATACCAAGATACAATGGTTGGAAAATGATGTTGAATTTCGTTGTTCAATAATTCTCAATTTGATTGGTACCTTACCTTAGGGAGAGATTCAGTGAATAGTAGTATGTGTGTTCATATCTTTTTTGGTCCCTTTGATTTTCTACTTTAAAAAAAAACTAATGGCAGATAAATACTTATGTTGTCGTGTTTGCTTTTATATAGTATAGATAAAATTAAATTTGCAGAAATACTTTTTAAATACCATAAAACAAGTTTTAGTTTTTAAAATACCCTAAAATAAAATTACGTTAGATGGTTTAAAAAACAAGGTTTAAATATAAAATACCATAAATTAAATCGTAAAGTCGTTCTCCTAAGTTCCAATTCATTTACAAATTACAATATTATTACTGTAGATTGGAAAGTCGTTGATTCCGATCAAATTGAATATTCAGTAGATTAGTATTTTTGGTTGGACTAGTTCATCCCTAAAATTAGTCAAACTTGTAATATAAAGTTAGTTTAGTCCGCCGTATAAAATAAGTTCTAATTTGACATTTTGCCACAGTCCGAATTATCCAAGCTCAAAAAAATGTTGTATAAATACTAAAGAGTTTACCACTTATATGGTAAACTTTTTTTAAGAATTGTAAAAAAAAAAAATCATTAGCAAATTTTATATTTTGAAATTTAGATTTTAATATTAATATTGGAAATAAAAAAACATAAAGATGTAAGAATTTTGCTCTTTAGTTGTTATTTTAATGGTTGGTAACTTAGAAGAAACAGAGAGTGACGAGAGAATTAGAGACACTTGCCAGAAGAATAATCTCTCAAGTGGGACGGGTCCTACCACATGTCCCTTTCTTCATTCTTCTTCTTCGTCTTCGTCTTCTTCACTTCCGCCATGAGAAAAACCTGAAACCAAATCATCATCTTCTGATCTAATGTCATCGTCTCCGTCAAACAACACCATCCCTTCCCTCTCATCTCCACCCGAGCCGGAGTTTCCTTCCACCAAACCAAACACGGCACCAACTCCGCCCATCATCGGACCTTCTTCGCTGCCTCCGTTACCGGCGTCGAGAGTAAACGATGATGGAGGATTAGGCACTGTAGCATTAGCTGGACTTATCACTGGAGTAGTCCTCGGAGCTACGCTTGTCCTAATCGGAGTTTGTATCTTTGTCTGTTTCTATAAAAGAAGAAAGAGGAAGTTGAAGATGAAGAAGAAGAAAGATATTGAAGCTTCTATTAATAGAGACTCACTAGATCCCAAAGGTACTTACTTTCTTGACCAAATCCCGTAACTTTAGGGTTTCTTTATTTCCAAAGATTCAATCTTTTTATTAAATTATTCGATTCCTCTGTTTTTTTTAATAGATAGTAGCAATAATATTCAGCAATGGAGTTCATCAGAGATTGGACACAACTTGTTTACATATGAAGATTTGTCTAAAGCAACTAGTAACTTCTCAAACACTAACCTTATTGGACAAGGTGGGTTTGGTTATGTTCATAGAGGAGTTCTTGTTGATGGAACTTTGGTTGCTATTAAGCAGCTTAAAGCTGGAAGTGGACAAGGTGAACGAGAGTTTCAAGCTGAGATACAGACTATTAGTAGAGTTCATCATAGGCATCTTGTTTCTCTTCTTGGTTATTGTATCACTGGAGCTCAAAGATTGCTTGTTTATGAGTTTGTGCCTAATAAGACTCTCGAGTTTCATTTGCACGGTGAGTTCTTTTTTAAAAACTTGTTTGCGGTTAATGGTTTGCGTGAATTCTCGCGGTTTTGTTTGAATTATGGTGATGTTTGTAGAGAAAGGGAGACCGGTAATGGAGTGGTCCAAGAGAATGAAGATTGCTTTAGGTGCAGCTAAAGGATTGGCATACTTACATGAAGATTGTGAGTAATGTTCTTGTTGTCTTTGAGTTGTGTACAACATTTGTTTTATGAAGTTTGTTGTTTGTTGGTGTCAATTGTTAAAGGGGTTTTGTTTTGTTTCAGGTAATCCTAAGACAATACACCGCGATGTCAAGGCTGCAAATATTCTGATCGATGATAGCTTTGAGGCGAAGGTATTCTTGAACTTGTAAAAACTCTATTAAGATTTTGTTTCAACTGCACTACTAATAATGTTGAACTTGGTTCATCAGTTAGCAGATTTTGGACTCGCTAGGTCTTCTTTGGACACTGATACTCATGTTTCCACTCGGATTATGGGAACATTCGGGTATGAAGCGCTCTTTCTATATGCAACCATTCAACCATAAACAACTAACAGTCTTTTGATTTCTTTCTGGATGTAGTTACTTGGCTCCTGAATATGCTTCTTCAGGGAAACTCACTGATAAATCAGATGTCTTCTCATTTGGAGTGGTGCTTCTCGAATTGATAACCGGACGCCGTCCTGTTGATAAATCACAGCCTTTTGCTGATGATGATAGCATCGTTGATTGGGTTGGTTACTTTGTTTCCTTTACCACCAAATCCTCAACTTAAATAAGCTACTAATTATTTCCACAATGCTCTAGGCGAAACCTCTGATGATACAAGTTCTAAACGATGGCAACTTTGATGGTCTTGTTGACCCGCGGTTAGAGAATGACTTTGATATCAATGAGATGACGAGAATGGTTGCTTGCGCTGCTGCTAGTGTCCGTCATTCAGCCAAACGCCGCCCAAAAATGAGCCAGGTACTATCAAATTGAAATCTTTTAGCAACATTCAAACTCACACTAGGATAAAAACCGATACTTTGTTTGCGAGTTCAGCTGAAACTTGGTGTCATTGCTCTTTGGATAATTGCAGATAGTTCGAGCATTCGAAGGAAACATATCTATAGATGACCTAACAGAAGGAGCTGCCCCAGGAAACAGCACTATCTACAGCTTAGACGGGAGCTCAGATTATAGCTCAACACAATACAAAGAAGACCTGAAGAAATTCAAGAAAATGGCACTTGAAAGCCAGACATTTGGTAGCAGCGAATGCAGCGGTTTGACTAGCGACAACTGTCAGAACCCATCAGGCTCGTCTAGCATCACTGAAGGCAATCGTACAACGCAAGAGATCGAACCGGAGAAGAAAACCAATGAGACAATAAGTTAAAAACAGAGGATTCTTGGTAATATAGTTAAGTCCAGCATTTTGGGGTAGGTTTAGGTGTAAACAAATTATTACGCGCTTTCACTTTTATTTTCATGTGTGGCTCTAATCAACAAAACTGTCATGAGCCTGATTTTTGCACGTGAATATTATTTCTTGGAGATTTGGTGTGAAGATATTTTAAAAGATTCAATCAAAGCTAAGACTTTATGATTCTTTATTATTTTTTGGCCTTGATATATTATTATTTGAGAGGAAATATATATTTATTTTGTCTCTTTGATATTTTTGTAAAGCATGTATTTTTTGTTGTCCATGCAACTTTGAAGGAAAAAAAACACACACTAATAAGTCACTAAATTCTTTTGTTATTTTGCAAATGAAATCCCATATAATAGTCAAGTAACCGATTTTAAATTCAGGGAAAATAATATTTTTGAAAGGGTGGTGTTGATTATTGAAGGAACAATACTTCATTAGTCAATGGTAATTAAAAAACATTTGAAAAAGTAAACATAATTAGACCCATTAGACCGTTTGAAGATTTCTTTATGTATAATTAATTACTTTCTAAATTTTTTTTATAATAAGATTAGTTAAGGGTGACTAATAATAAAGGAGGGGCAATTATGGAAACAAAAAGATTTTAAAATAGTGTACCTTGCTGTTATTTAGCTAATATATACTTTTTCTGTAAATCACACGAAGAAGAAGAACCAAAAAAAGAGAGACAGTTTCTTCGCTGAAAAGAAAAACCAAAATAGCTAAATCCCTAAGAGTTTCCGTCAATGTCTTCTCGCCGGAGAGTTCTTCTTAAGGTTATCATTCTCGGTGATAGCGGGTAAATCGATTTGAAATTTCTATCTCTATATGTTTTTAGATTTGCTGTGGTTTTATTTGTCCATTGAATGAGATTTTGATTTGGATTTTTTTTTTTTTGGCTAGGGTTGGGAAGACTTCGTTGATGAATCAGTATGTTTCTGAAATTCTAGATCTGTCTCTTTTACTTAGCACATTGATAAATCCTTATGAAAATTGATTTTGATTCATTTTTTTTTTAGGTTTGTGAATCGAAAGTTTAGTAATCAGTATAAAGCCACGATTGGAGCAGATTTTTTGACTAAAGAGGTTCAAATTGATGACAGAATCTTCACTTTACAGGTTATCTTTGCTGTTATGTCTCAATTCTTTGTATGAATCAAACATTTTGATTCTTGGAATATTCTAATTGGATCATAGGTTCCTAACTTTATTGGGTTCATGTTTTGGCTTTGTGAGTACCAATTTATGTGTGTTTTCTTAGGGAAAAATACACTCTTTTGAATCTCTTAGTACATTATACAGATTTGGGATACTGCTGGGCAAGAAAGATTTCAAAGTTTGGGAGTCGCGTTTTACCGAGGAGCGGATTGTTGTGTTCTTGTGTATGATGTCAATGTTATGAAATCTTTTGATAATCTTAATAACTGGAGGGAAGAGTTCTTGATTCAGGTAATACCTCTATCTAACCATATCATTCTTTAAGTTTGGGTATATCTTTGCTAGAATCCACTTGTTTAATTGTGACATTGTTTAGGCTAGTCCATCGGATCCTGAAAACTTTCCGTTTGTCGTCTTGGGGAACAAAACCGATGTTGACGGTGGCAAGAGCCGAGTGGTGAGACGCTATCTTCTTCATCTTCATTTCATGAATACTGAAAGTGTATATAGAGTTTGGTTATGCTAAAGTTATCCCATATTGTCAGGTTTCTGAGAAAAAGGCAAAGGCATGGTGTGCATCTAAAGGAAACATTCCTTACTTTGAGACTTCCGCCAAAGAAGGGTTCAATGTAGATGCGGCTTTCGAATGCATAACTAAAAATGCATTCAAGAATGAACCTGAAGAAGAACCGTAAGTACAACTATATCCCATACACATCTTACTGCATTTTGGCATATTTACATCACTTCAAGTCGTCGCAGTCTTATCTTCTGACCTTCTCTGATACCTCGCAGGTACCTTCCCGACACCATTGATGTTGCTGGAGGTCAGCAACAAAGATCAACAGGGTGTGAATGCTAATCAAGCAAAAATTTGTTGCAGATATATTGTTTTGTTTGGCACATTTGATTTTGTACCAATATATTATAACTTTCGGAAATGTAATTTCAGTTCATTGAATTACAGATTGTAATGAATTGGGTTCCTTTTTTCTTTTGGATTCCACACAATATCAAAATCATGTAATGTCACAAAAAATTCTCATCTATGATCTCTCTTTCTCTGTTTCTTATGTCTACATTTCCTCAAACGTATGACTACAATTCATCTTTAGCAGATCCATCCTTTGGTTTCAACTCTTCGTTGATAAAAACAGCCATGTCCTTTGCGCTCAATTTCGTTGATAGCTTTAACTGCAAATCAGAACGGGTAAGATACACTACGTAGAAAGCTTATAAGCAAAAACAGAAGTAATGATGTTGAAAAGGGCTTGAGCTAGTGAGCTTTTTCAAAATGGTTATTACCGGTTTCTCCTTTTCACCAGATTTGTAGAGCAAGATCATTGGATATTCATCATCAGCCTGTCATCAACAATCAATAAGATTATCCCGGGAATTGCTAGTCTTGTTGCAGGGTAAGATTTGACTCACCTGAAGTTTAGTATGCTCATTTGCAGATGCATCGATTCTTGCAAAAACAAGATTCTCAAAGCCTTTGAAATGCTTAGCCAATTTCTCGACTTGTTTGCTCAGTGCCTCGCAGTTCACGCACCACGGTGTATGTACCTGTTTTCGGTTTCAACCACAACATCCATTAATGTCGGTTTCAGTTAGTTAAAAAGGTTTGGTTTAGCAGAAAGGTTTTTCGGGATAAACCTCAAGAATAACATTCTCGCGGCTGTTTAGTACCAACTCATCAAAAGTCTTTCCTACCACAGTCACTATGCTTGCGTTTTCCTACAGATGCACCGGATCATTTGAGCTTAGCTCGTAAATGTTCCAAGTCTCTTCAGACTCGACAATATCCCAACAAGAACATCAAAACAGGATTCCCTATCTCATACTTACATTATCTGGAACTGGCTCTGACTTATAGTAACGTGAAACAGTTCCATGAGCAAGTCCTGAACAAAACTCCTAAATTACCAATCGAAAAGAGGATCACATGAATCAGTTACCATATGAATATTTGAAAGGAAAAGAAAAAAAGGTAAAGCAAATTCATACTTCTATATTGTTTGGTGATGGAACTGATTCGAGCAAATACTTGGAGTTCAGGTTGTTATCAAAAGCAGCAATCTGTTGATAAAAAACTATAGATTAGTCCCACATTGGCTTGTAGCTTTATTATCAGTAGATCACAAAGTGTCGATTACACATACTGAAACAAGTATCAGAAACTTACAACAGTTTTATTCCCAGCTTCTATTCCGAATAAGGTCAAGAATGGCATTGCAAGGTTCTCATTTGTTATATCGACATATATAAACATAAGCTGCAAGAAAAGAATTAACAGTTAAGAGAGAGTATAAACACTAAATTTTGTCTGGTCTTTAAGATTCAGCATAAGAGAATTACCTTCGATTTAAATTTTCTTGCAATATCTTCAAGAGGCTGAGAAAGTTTCTGAAAGTCATCAGCCTTGGAGAAGAGCATAACCTAACGAAGGAAGAAAAAAAACCGAATTACGATTAAAACATAATCAAAAGCAAACAAAGATAGAACAAAAACTGGTAGCAGATACAAACTGAAAACATAAAAACTTCTAACCTGAAGCTTAACAGGACTAGAGTAAACCCAAACAGTATTGGTTTCAGTCAATTTTGTAATCAACGGAAACTTGTTGCTGCCTAGAAACTCCAATATCTTCTCCATTTTGTAAGATCCATCTGCATTGCAGACCCGTGTTACCGCTTCTCACAATACATATATCAGGAAAAAAGATATGGTACTAACAAGAGAGGTCTTCAAAATCAGCAACAACCAACAAGCTTACCATATACAGTGTACCTTTCAGCCTCAGTTTTAACCATCCCAATAAACACATTACTGGTTTTAAGGTCAGGAAAAAGAAGTTTCGCAACATCACTATCACTTGTTTCTACAAACTGGATTTCGTCATCTGATTTTGCAGCTTTAAGGAATTCGTTATGTTCAGAACCCTAAGCATACAAACAACACACATATCAACACTTAACATTCAAAACCAACTCTACACTAATGATTTCCCAGGCTTCAAAATCTACATTTTTGATATCCGAAATACCTCAAACTTCTCAAACAGACCAAGAACAAAAGTATGATACTTGTTCAGAAATCTCTGAGCTTCATCAACTGTATTAAGTGTAATGATTGGTGCACCAGTCTTCTTTTGCACCCAAATGACTATATCCTCTCTGAAACATTGACCAAAACATATCTCATAAACGATTCAATCAAAATCAAATCAACTACAAACCAAAATCAAAACTTTCTCACTAGAGCCAGATTTGATGAACCTCAAACATTGGAATTGCCAACAAAGAAGCCAAATTGGGGAACTTACGCAGAAGATCCACCATTGTAAGTCTGAGAAGTGCCATTAACAAAGAGAACAAGCGTAGGGAAGCCCTTAATCTCAAGCTCCGATGCGATCTTCGAATACCTATCACCGTCAATCTTAGCCATCAAAATCGAACTCCCAATCTCCTTCAAAGACGTCGCAGCCTCCGCAAATCTCGGCATAAGATCAGCGCTTCTCGCGCACCAAGGTGCGTAACCTAGAACCATCACGAACTCGTTCCCATCGATCACTCGCTTCGTGTTATCACCGTTGAGCTCTAGTACGATTCTCTGAGCTTTGCTTACTGTTTCGGCTTCTGATTGTTGCTCAGGTCGATCTTCTTGTAACTGTTCGTCTACTGCTAGAAGCTGTTCTAGATCGGAGTCGGATCCGGGTTCGTTTGCTTCGGATGATGAGTAAGCGACGATGATTCCGAAACTGAGTAAGAGCAGAATGAAGGTAAAGGTGGAGACTTTAGAAGTGGGTTTTGAAATTATTGACATTGTGTTTGTGGGTTTTTCTTCGTCGGAGTTTGGACGGTGATTGATCGGAGAAGAGAAGCGATCGTCGTCAAATGAAAAAGTCTAAAATCTCACCAGAATTTACGGCGGGAGCCAAGAAGACTCACATGTGTTAGTCAAAAAGAAAATGGAAAATTAAATTAAAAATATGAAATATTGTTGCTTTTTGCAAAGCAATTGATATATGAAAATTATGAAATATTTAAGAAATATTGTTTGACTAATGTTTTTAGGATTAGATAAAACATTTAGTATTGGAAAATAGTAAATAATGATAAATAATCAGAATATACAATGATAATTTGCAATTTCATTTTATTCACAAAAGTAAGAATAAAAAAACATTGATAAATTGTCTAATAGTTATGGCAATACATTATGATGGTAGTGTTTAATTACTAAACTTAGGCATGCATGGTAGATTGTGGTGTATAATCAAATAGTTGTGTTCTCTAAATCATTTAGACATTTTTTTGCCACTACAACTTAAGCAGCATGTTAAGTAAAAATAAATTAAAATTCAAAACTCCAATGGTCATAACTCATAAGAAGATTAAACACACCATTTGGATTAAAAAGTTGAGTATTCTAAGATCAAGAACAAGAAATAGGTTGTTGGCTAGAGATTTACTTATTTGTGTATCTTCATCAGATCAATGGGCCCTAAACCTTCTTAATGGGGGTTTATAAATCCCAACGGCCACACCGACATTTTTACGAATTTTGTGGAAGGCTTAGCTAATCACAACATTTTTTTCACATGTTAGCTATTTAACTAATTAATTTATGCACCTCTCCATCGTTATCCATTAAGAGGCCAAGGACAAAAATACTTGGACACACGTAAGAGAGAGACACATATATCTACTCAAATGAGTCATTACACCTTATTTTATTATACTTTTTCTTACTGTCTTGTTCCTTTTTTTAATCTTCAAATTATCAACTTTGTTTCTTTTATCAGCTTCGTCATCTTGAAATGATCAACTTTTTGACTAAATTTAAAGAACAGTTGTGTTCGTTCGTGCCATTCTTTTGAATTGTTACACTAATATTTATCATCTTCTTGAAAAGACTTTGCATCCAAGAACCCGTGAGGAAGTAATTGAAATCTAAACTCAGTGAAGAGAAGACGACAAAGAAAAAGGTCAGGCACATTTTCCCATATTTTTCACAAAGAGGAGACATTATTTATCTTTGTATGGGTTTTCTTGTAAAAGATTAGATATGGAAGGAATCTTTTTTCATTTTGTGTCTTCTTGGTGTCTATAAAGATCCAAAGCTAACATTGTATATCTCATCAGAAAATCTGAAAAATGTTGGAAGGAAAAGCAATGGTTGAAGATTCAGACATGCCAGTGAAGATGCAGATGCAAGCTATGTCTTTTGCTTCTCAAGCTCTTGATCTATTTGATGTCTTTGATTGTAAATCCATTGCTGGTCACATCAAGAAGGTTAGTATCATTTTTCTTTAATTCTATTTATAAGTCATAAATACATCATTATCATCTTTATGTAATTACTTGGTTATTTGTTTGTTTTATAATGAATTCAGGAGTTTGATGAGAGATATGGAAGTGGATGGCAATGTGTGGTGGGATCAAATTTTGGGTGTTTCTTCACACATTCTAAAGGGACTTTTATCTATTTCCAATTGGAGACACTTAAGTTTCTCATCTTTAAAGGCGCTTCTACTCCTTAATTACACAACCCCTAATCATGGGGATGCTTTTTTTTTTTTTTGAGAAATAAATTGTGAGACTATCAAGATCTTTAGCTTTGTTTAAATCTAAGTCTGTAAATAGACCCAAGAGAGGAAGTTGATTTCAATGATGTGAGATTTTTCATTTTTACAAATTACAAGTGTTTGCTTTTGTGATCAATAAAAGTGAAATGCCAAAGACTTTTTTTATATGTATATTCTTATTATTGTAATGCAAACAATTAGAATAGTCCAGCCACAATAGAGAAATTCATAAACTAATCCATCATTAGCATAATTTAAATGTATTTTAAACTTTTACTTTGATAGAGAGAGATCAGAGAGGGGTCAAAATTGAGGAAAACATTATAATCCATAATCCCTAATTTAGTTAATAAATTGAGATTTTTAATACAAGACATAAACAAAAATGATTATAGATAATGTCTGTAACATGTCCTCCCTAAATCTCAATGTTAATTTTATTTAAAGAAGAATTGAGATTTTTTTTTTGTGTGTGTGTGGGGAAACTCAACTTTCTAATAACGTGCAGCCCACATTCAACCAAGTATCAATTTATAAATAGTAAAACATTTCAAGAAAATTAAAAATATCCTCTTCTTTTTTTCCCAAGAGAATCTGACCAAATTCACTTGTTTATGGTTATGGACAACGAATCATAATAGTTACTAAAATAATCAGGTTAAACTAAAACCATTAACAGAAGTCAAATAATGGTGTTCTGTATTTGCTAAGTCTGAAAATCAAATACCGTTTTTTGGTTAATTAAGTTTGTTTTTCTTCATAATCTCCTAAAACTCCTCTTTATTACACGAAGAAGAAAACAATGAGAGATTAAAAAGAATTTTCAAATCGGAGAAATCTTTTTCATTTTTAATTGTTTTGATTTAACTAGTAATGGTAAAAGCAATGGAGCAAGAACAAGAGAGTTACAAATCAAGATTGTTTCATTTCAAGAACATGAACGAGAACTCAGCTTCAAGACATGTTAAAAGCTGGAGCTCAGATTGTGCAATGAGAATGGATGGTTCAGACAATTTGGATGATGATGATAATGACATGATGATGTTTAGGAGTCAACCGGGAAAATTTGGCAGCGTTGACCGACCTTCTTTGCCTCTAGGCGGAGTAACGCCTAACCGCAATGACAAGCTTCCCAGAGTCGCTTCATCGGAATCCATGGAGGCACTAATAGTATTACAAGCAGGTAAAAAATCTAATGAATTGATTCATATCTTCTACGTTTCTTGGATTGCAAGTTAGAGACATTAAAGTATTCTTGGATTGTAAGTTAGGGCAGAAATTGAAGTTTATGTTGTTGTTTATTACAGCAATGGAGCAAATGAAAGAGAAATTTTCGAAATTGCTTCTTGGAGAAGATATGTCAGGAGGAGGAAAAGGTGTTTCATCGGCTTTGGCTTTATCTAACGCCATTACCAATCTCGCAGGTAAGACCTTTCTCCAAATCTTTCAGCTTCATGGAATTTAATTTGATGTAAAGTTCTGTAATTTTTTTGATGTTGTTGCAGCTTCTGCATTTGGAGAACAACGGCGTTTAGAGCCAATGGCGGCGGATAGAAAAACGCGTTGGAGGAGAGAAATTGGATGGCTTATCTCTGTGGCTGATCATATAGTTGAATTCGCTCCAACACAACAAACAAACAAAGATGGTACTTCAATGGAAGTCATGTCAACAAGACAAAGAACAGATCTTCTCTGTAACATCCCTGCACTTAAGAAACTCGATGCTATGCTTCTCGTAAGAACAACAACAACTACAGCACAAATAAACTAATCAAAGGATTTAAAATAATCTCACATCTATAATCATTCTCTTGCAGGATTGTCTTGATAAATTCAAGGATCAGGATGAGTTTTATTATGTCAAAAAAGATTCTCCTGATTCTTCCGAGACAAGAAACGATGAGAAATGGTGGTTACCGGCGGTAAAAGTCCCACCTAATGGCCTCTCTGAGATATCGAGAAGGTTTCTACAGAGCCAGAAGGAATGTGTGAATCAAGTCCTTAAAGCTGCAATGGCGATAAACGCTCAAGTTCTCTCTGAAATGGAGATTCCTGAAAGTTACCTTGAATCACTTCCTAAGGTTTTAATAAACACATAAAAACATTCATGAAGAATCTGTTATGATCTAGTCCTTATCGATGTTTTCGTGTGTTGTTGAGAACAGAATGGGAGAGCTAGCTTGGGAGATGTGATATACAGAATGATAACAGTAGAGATGTTTGATGCAGATCAGTTCCTTATTGAAATGGATTTATCATCTGAGCACAAGATTCTTGATCTAAAGAACAGAATCGAAGCATCGATTGTGATATGGAAGCGGAAAATGGTGCAGAAGGACACAAAGTCTCCTTGGGGATCAACAGTGAGTATTGAGAAAAGAGAACAGTTTGAAGAGAGAGCTGAAACAATATTGCTACTATTAAAACAAGGGTTTCCCGGAATCTCACAGTCCTCGCTCGATATCAGCAAGATTCAATTCAACAGAGTAAGTAAAAACTCTAACTTCCAAATAGATTTTGGTTCTGTTTTCTTTTTGGTCATGAGAAAATCTAATTATTGGATTTTCGTTGTTTCAGGATGTAGGACTTGCCATCTTGGAGAGTTACTCAAGAGTGCTTGAGAGTTTAGCGCACACCGTGATGTCGAGAATAGAAGACGTGCTTTACGCTGATCAGCTAACTCAAGAACCTACAAATAATGCACCTTCTAAGAACAGATATAGCTTGAAGGAGAATGAGAAACTAAGGGAGGAGAGACTAAGTTTCACAGAGGATATGGCTTCAGGAACACTTTCTGATGTAATGCAATGGGGTAACAAAAACAACGAATTGAAGAAAGAAAGCTTTTTCGGAGATAGAGAGAAACCGTTGTTGTCGAAAGTCACGGGTATAATGACAAACAACAAGAAGAGTTCTTATCTTGAAAATCTTGGAGCTATGAGGAGTCCAACCGCGAGATACTCCTGAAAGAAACCGGTTTCTTTTTTCTTTTCTTCTTGTAAAATTAGGTTTTCTTGCTGCATTTCCAATCTGCTTAAAGATTCCAAAACGAATAATGCACCATTGTGTTGTAGCAGACTTGAAATGCTTTTTCATTGATTCATCACTAGCTTACAAAGCAATTAACACAACACAACAATATACATAAATCATTAAAAAGGGTTCACAGAATTGGGAAGAAAGTTTCAGACTTTTTCAAAGCTTTAGAAAGCTAATTTAAAGCTTGCCGCGAGGACCGAGCTTAGGCGGCTCTTGAGGACCTCTCTTAATGGGAAGAACATCGCCGGTTGAGTTCGCGCTGACATAAGTAAGCAAAGAACCTCCTCCAAGAATCAAAAACTTGAGAAGCAAACCTCTCTTTGTGAAAGGAGCAGCAAATGTCTCAAAGAACTTGCTCTGCAAGCAACATAGTTACAAAGTCTTAGAATTTTAAGAAGCATATAGATTTAGGGATTAAGAGTTAACAAAAACCTGAAGTGGGTTATATGGAGAAGGAGCATCAGATCCATAAACATCCCATTGTCCTGTTGTGTTACCCAAATCTTCTAAATCAAAGTATACACTTTTGTCTCCATACTTAGCCACCACAGCACCAGCTCTACACAAACAACAAAAAGTAACATCCTTTCTTTAATACCAACCCTCATCAATCTCAATCCAAGATTCCAAATTTCAAAGCTTTAAACTTTACCTGGTGGATTTGGTTTTGAAGCTTTGGCGAGAAGGCTTGATGAAGAGCTTAGCTCCGGCGAGAGAACTACCTCCAAGTCCTTTCACGGCGGCGGAAGGTTGTACGGCGGCGATGGTTGCAAAAGACGCCATGTTTCTCTCTTTGTTGTTTGTTGCCAAAGTAAGTGAGTGGATTGATGTAATTTGTATAGTGGAGAATCTTCTTCACTCATTTGATGGATTTTGTTGTGACACGTGGCGAATTGGGTTTTCATCTCTGAGATTTTGTTTGCCACTTAGGAAATGCCACGTGGATTATAAAAAGATAAGGCTATCTCTAATCCATAACCAAAAATTTCTTCGTCTGTGTCTCAAAATCGAATCAAAAAATCTCTAAAGTTTCAATTTTTTTGCTCTGTTTTTTCTGGAAAAAATGGCTTCGATTTCTGCAACTTTGCCTTCGCCATTGTTACTTACACAGAGAAAATCTAATCTCACATCGATTCAAAAACTCCCATTTTCTCTAACTCGAGGTACGAATGATCTTTCACCATTTTCTCTAATTAGAAACCCTAGTAGCATTACTCTTATGGTGAAAGCTAGTGGAGAAAGCTCAGAATCATCGACTGATCTCAACGTTGTTAGTTCGATTCAGAATGTTGTGAGTCCCCAAAACCCTAAATTATACTCTGTTTAGTGTTTACATATATGCCTTAATTAGTTTTGATTTGGACATTTTTGGAATGTGTAAATTATTGCAGTGGGATAAGTCTGAAGATCGGTTAGGTCTTATTGGTTTGAGTTTTGCTGCTATTGTAGCTCTTTGGGCATCACTGAATCTCATCACGGTATAGACTTAAAACTTTATCTCTTGTGCTTTAAAGTTGTGAGATTTTTCCATAAAGACTTGGTTCTTTTTCTTCATTAGGCAATCGACAAATTGCCCGTTATCTCGACCGGATTCGAACTAGTTGGTATCTTGTTCTCCACGGTAAGTAATAAGGCTTGGTATAATCAATAACTATAAATGGATTATATATGATCTTATTGATTTTCTAGCATTTGATATTTTCTAATTCCGCAGTGGTTCACGTATCGATATCTCTTGTTCAAACCGGACAGGTAAATTTTGTTTTCTTTAAATGAGATTATGAAAAACCGAATGCAAGTGTTTTTTTTTTCTTTTAACCTAAGTCTTTGTTTCTTTTTACAGAGAGGAGCTTTCCAAAATTGTCAAGAAATCAGTAGCAGATATACTTGGCCAGTGAACGTTGTGTGATACTTCTTCATCTTTGGAAGATGATTTGTTTGCAAGTTTGTAAAATTACATGACAGGGTTGTTGTTTCTAGTCTAATAATTTCATGTATTTGAAACCTGTAAATACTGTTTTGTGGGTTTTGGTTGTGAGCAAAATCAGTCATTTCATAGAGAAGATATCAAGATCAGACACTAAACATGTTTTAGCATGAATAAAAATTGAAAGAATAATATTTTATTAGTGGGCTTTGGTTTTCACGTATACTTTAGCAATTTGTTAACTATAACATGGGCTTTAGTTTCACTCAAAGCCCAACACAATTAAACGAGACCACTTAAAGCCCTTTCGATTTCATAACGGTCACTAAATATCATCCTATATTACAGGTCTACGCTTTTGTCACTGCTCTCTGTAAAATTCCAATTTTTTCTTCGGAGCGATACCAAATTTTTCCGAAGGCGATCATCATCATCATCATCGCAAGGTATTGTTTTGTTTATTTTTTTTTTTGTTTTTTTTTTTTGATAAAGTTGTTTATTTTGTTTCTTTGAATTATTTAGAGTTTCTCTCTGTTGAATTTGTGTTTATTACATACCAAAAATCTCCTTTTCTAGATTCAAAAAACTCCGATTTGTTTTTTTTGTTGTAAAGCAAATCCAAAAGCTTCCTTCTTTTTGAATTGCGTTTCTCTTTTATGATTATACGTTTTAAATCAGGGTTTAAATTTTATTTTGTTTATGCAAATCAAAAGCCCTAATTTTTCAATTGCGTTTTTACGATCTTAGGGTTGTTAATTTCAGAGATCCGTTTCTCTTTTATGGTTTCTACGTTTTAAATCAGGGTTTCAATTTTATTGTTTCTACAAATCAAAACCCTAATTTTTCAAGAGCATAGTTTCGACAAATTTGTATTTTCGCAAACCCAAAAGCCTTTCTTTAAATTTCACGATTTTGTTTTGAAAGATTCTGGCTTTTGTTTGGGTTCATGTTTCTAAAGATTTGTTTTCAGTTTTCTGGAACAGAAACCCTAAAATCAATGATTTTCTTTTTAAAAGCAACGAATTTGTTTAAAGTTTTAAGCTTTCTTCGAACCCAAAAGAAAGGGACGACACATTACATGATTGTGTTTTGTCCGGTTTCTAAATTGGGGAAATTGTCCCGATGATGTTGCCTAAGGAAAGACTTGTCAAATTGTTCCTAAGTAAAGACTTGCTGGCTGGGCAGCATGATATATCAACTTCAATAATCTGCATAGACCTGTCTTTTATGTCTTTTATAAGGCTTGTCTAGTAATGATGTCCCAAGATTGATAAATTCAAATCAATGATCTGCTTAAGCTCTATATCTTCTTGAGCTGGGATATCTTAATCAATGGTCTGCTTAAGCTCTATATCTTCTTGAGCTGTTTATATAAGATTCAATGATCTGCTTATTGATGGAGGGATAAGGAGATAAATGTTCTTTGATAAGGATTGTCTAATAATGGCAAATTCAATGATCTGCTTAAGCTCTATATCTTCTTGAGCTGGGATATCTTTATATAAGATTCAATAATCTGCATATTGATGAGGGATAAGGAGATAAATGTTCTTTAATAAGGATTGTCTAGTGATGGCAAATTCAATGATCTGCATAAGCTCTATATCTTTGTTGAGCTGGGATATCTTAAATAATGATCTGCATAAGCTCTATATCTTTGTTGAGCTGGGATATCTTAATCAATGATCTGCTTAAGCTCTATATCTTTGTTGAGCTGCGATATCGTTGTCAATGATCTGCTTATAGACGAGGGATAAGGAGATTAATGTTCTTTAACAAGGCTTGTTTAAGGATGTACGATTGCAAAATTCAACTGTCTGCGTAAACTATGGTTCTTGCTGGACTGGAACAGCATGATAAATATTCCTTTTAAATGGTATCCCATGATTGGAAAATTCAAGTTCATACTGGGCTGGGACAGTGTGGTTAAGTACAGATATCTCTCAAATTTCTGCATAGATCTGCCTTGACAGGAGGTAAGTGTTCTTTATTGAGGCTAGTTTAATAACGATGGCCTGAGATTGAAAACTTCAATTCTCTGCTTCAAATACTCAAGAATCTGCATATCCATAGGAGGTAATGTTCTTTATTGAGGCTAGTTTAATAACGATGGTCTGAGATTGAAAACTTCAATTCTCTGCTTCAAATACTCAAGAATCTGCATATCCATAGGAGGTAATGTTCTTTATTGAGGCTAGTTTAATAACGATGGCCTGAGATTGAAAACTTCAAATACTCAAGAATCTGCATATTTATAGGAGGTAATGTTCTTTATTGAGGCTTGTCTAATAACGATGGCCTGAGATTGAAAACTTCAATACTTTGCTTCAAATACTCAAAAATCTGCATATTTGATAGGAGGTAAGTGTTCTTTATTGAGGCTAGTCTAATAACGATGGCCTGAGATTAAAAAATTCAATACTCTGCTTCAAATACTCAAGAATCTGCATATTTGATAGGAGGTAAGTGTTCTTTATTGAGGCCAGTTTAATAACAATGGCCTGAGATTGAAAACTTCAGTTCTCTGCTTCAAATACTCAAGAATCTGCATATTCATAGGAGGTAATGTTCTTTATTGAGGCTTGTCTAATAACGATGGCCTGAGATTGAAAACTTCAATACTTTGCTTCAAATACTCAAGAATCTGCATATTCATAGGAGGTAATGTTCTTTATTGAGGCTTGTCTAATAACGATGGCCTGAGATTGATAAATTCAATACTCTGCTTTAAATACTCAAGAATCTGCATATTAACAGGAGGTAATGTTCTTTATTTAGGCTTGTCTAATAACGATGGCCTGAGATTCAAAACTTCAATACTCTGCTTCAAATACTCTAGAATCTGCATATTTGATAGGAGATAATGTTCTTTATTGAGGCTTGTCTAATAACGATGGCCTGAGATTGATAAATTCAATTCTCTGCTTCATATACCCAAGAATCTGCATATTGATAGGAGGTAAGTGTTCCTTATTAAGGCTTGTCTAATGAAGTCTGATTGGGAAATTCAATATTCTGCTTAGATCTGCCATTCAAAAGGCTTGTTGAAATATGTCTCGAATTTCAAGAAATTCAAGTTGGGACTTCATAAATAACGTTTTTTTTTCTCCTTTGTGCCTAGCTCTTGTAGCTCATCTGTTCAGCGAAGGCACATCATTGTGCAACGCTTGATGGATTCGAGGCTCGAGCAAATCACTTAAGAGAGAGAGAAGAACGTAGAGAATGTTCAGATATCTGCTTAGTACAAGAATATGACGTCTTGGTAAAAAGGTATGTATTTCATTTCCAACTAGATTGTAATTGTCTGCATTTTTACTTATGTTACATTAAACCAGCGAAATGTTGGATTTTGGCATTGGTCTAAGAGCAATGGTAAGTGGTGTTTTTTTCTTTCTTATGTGCATTTCTTACAAATGTTAGATCATTTAAGAATAAACCAATCTCTACTTACCTTAATTTGTTCTAACCACGTCTTTTGGTGCTTGTTCTTAACAGGAATATTGCAAAAAATCCAATTTGTAGATTATATCTTTGCCGCTTCTCATCAGGTGACGTCTCTTTCCTCTTTTAAACCTAGTTATGATCTTCACAAAAGTTTATGATTTCTTAATTGACTCAATCTTTTGGTTTCCATTATAGTGTTATTTGTTGTGTCTGAATTGTTGTAGTAGTAGGAGTTTTGGGAAACTGTATGATTCTTTTAATAGGAAATTTCTGTCATATTGGTGACTTCTGGTTGTATAAAGATTTCTTCTCTTTGTCCCCCTTACAGCAATTTTTGTCTTTTGAAAAGAAAGCTCTGGTTTCTCAGGTATGTCCTCTTTCTATTGCTTCTCAAATTTCAATTATATTAGTTCTTGGCTTTGTTTAATTTTTGTTGTAGCAAGCATGAATTCGTTTAAGGTCTGAGTCAGAGACCAAATGATTGTTCTTTCATTGTAATGATTTGCTTGATTTTTTTAAAGAAAGCCATGTGATTCATAGATTGTTCACGAAGTTCAGATACTGAGCGGTGAGTGTTCAACATCATATAGCTTCTTTTTGGGCTGATATCAATCTTATTGTGCTTATACTCATTGGTGTTAATATCAAACTTATAAGACTCACAAAGCACCGGTAAGGTATTCCTCTGAAACTATCTTCACCCATGTAATTGGTAATTGGAAATTTTGTATGTTTTACTTTAACTCCATAATACGTAGGGAGGATGCTTGACTTTGGTGTATATGAATTCTGAATCTTATTTCTTCTCTTGCAGGTTTTATTCATGTGAAGACTAGTATAAAAATTGATCATAAAACCTGATATGTTTCTCAAATCAGGACATCTTTGGTACATGTTCCTTTTCTCTGTTTTCAATATCTTACTGTTAGTGCTTGCGTTTTAACTTTTGTAGAATTAGTCCAATTCTTAAACCAAAATTCTCTCCCCCTCTTGAGCTTCTTCCACGGCCTCTCTAATGGTGGAACAAAATCCCCCCTTTGATCTTCTCTACTTCCACACCTTTCTCTCTCAAAAACTCTGAGAATGAAGACTTTTTCAAGCTTCTTTCTCTCTGTAACAACCCTCTTCTTCTTCTTCTTCTTCTTCTTCTTCTTCTCTCTTTCATTTCAAGCTTCACTATCACAGTCTTTGTACAGCGAAATCCATCAGCTTATAAGCTTCAAAAACGTTCTTCCTGACATGAAACTTCTCCCAGACTGGTCTTCCAACAAAAACCCGTGTACTTTCAATGGCGTTACTTGCAGAGACGACAAGGTTACTTCGATTGATCTCAGTTCCAAGCCTCTCAACGTCGGATTCAGTGCCGTGGCTTCATCTCTCATGACTATCACCGGATTAGAGTCTCTGTTTCTCTCAAACTCACACATCAATGGCTCCATTTCTGGCTTCAAGTGCTCTGCTTCTCTCACCAGCTTGGCTCTATCAAGAAACTCTCTTTCCGGTCCTGTAACGACTCTAACAGGCCTTGATGTTTCTCGTTGCGTGACTCTCAAGTTTCTCCATGTTTCTTCCAACAATTTCTCCATTGGGATTCCATTTCTCGAAGATTGCTCGGCTTTGCAACATCTTGACATCTCCGGGAACAAACTACCCGGCGATTTCCACGGTACGGTTCCTCCTTTCTTCAGCTCTTGCTCACTTCTGGAATCACTCGTGTTGTCGAGTAGGTCTCAAAGTACTCGATCTGTCTTTCAATGAGTTTTCCGGCGAATTACCGGAATCTCTGATGAATCTGTCCTCTTCGTTGCTAACGCTAGATTTCAGCTCCAACAATTTCTCCGGTGTATTTTCCCAAATCTCTGTCGGAATCCTAAAAATACTCTCCAGGAGTTTAACCTTCATAACAATGGCTTCTCAAATCTCGTTTCGCTTCACTTGAGCTTCAATTACCTCTCTGGGACAATTCCTTCGAGCTTAGGGTCCTTATCGAAGCTTCAAGATCTGAAACTATGGCTGAATATGTTAGAAGGAGAGATCCCTCACGAGAATATGTTAGAGACTCTGATTCTCGACTTCAACGACTTAACCGGTGAAATCCCTTCCGGTTAAATTTTTAAAGAGGAGCACAATAATAAGATGATATTTTTACATAATTAAAATTTTAAAACTGAAAATAAAAAAAAAGAAACACAAAGATGAGAGAAATGAATTGCAATATATAGAAAAAAAAACTTGCACACTTTTTTAAGATGTGCACAATGATAAGATAAATTTTTATATGAAGAAATGAATTGCAATTCTTATATTATATTATATAAAGAAATGAATCACAATGATAAGATAAATTTTTATATAAAAAAATTAGATAATCTTATATTATATTATCATGTTAGTTTTTGAAATTAATTTCTCAATAACTATTTTTAACAAAGCTTTTCATTTATTATTTACATATTTTTACTAGTTTTAAAATAAAATATAGAAAATAACTCAATTTGCTAACCAATTTATTATTTATATAGTATTAATTAAAATAATTTTAGTATTTATCTATTAGTATAAGAGTTAATTAGTCTAGATAGTTTTATCTATTTTCTTTAGATATTATTCAGTTATTCTTTTAATATTCATAATTATTTGATGATAGTTTTTAATAAATGTCTTAATTATTTTTATAGATTCTAACAAAAAAATTTTTAAAAAAAAAAATCAGCTAGATTAAGCTGTTACCATTTACAAATATAAAAATTCATTCAAATTCATTGAAAATGCACTAAAACTTCAGCTAGATTTAACAATTCAGCTAGATTTCTCGGTTTCCATTTAGACTATATATATATTTTAAAACAATATCAAGAGCTAAATTTTAGAAGAGATTATGTTGTCTTCTTCGATTTGGTGGTCGGACGTAAATGATTCGCCGATTTGTGAGGATCAGATCTTCTATGTCCTTGCTATTCTCTATGGAATCGTTTCCATCTACTCTTTGGTACTACTACGTGCTTTCTTTAGATTCTATTTCTCGTTCTTGAACTTGGAAACATTTTTGAAACTATGAACTACAGAATCGTTTATATCTACTATGTGGTACTAATGTTTTTTTTTTTTTTGATAAAGGACTTTCAGTTAAATACAGAGTAACTAATGATTTGTTTTGTTAGGTTCAATTTGTCAGATTACAATTGAGAGTTCTAGATTATGTCTGGAAGACACAACATTCCTTTTACTTTCTCCATTTCGTGCTGCATGGAGGTTGGTGCTAGCTAAGAATTGTGATTTTGCAGTGTTTCATAGATCTTATTGTTTTGGGTTGATTTTGCTCATCTCGCAGTTAGGGCTGTGGTGTTTGCCTTCAGGCGGAATGTGCTGAACATGCATTCACAGGTCAAGTCATCATCATCTTAGTTTAAGGCTGTCTTATATGTTTGTAGTTTTTGATTTGATTTTTAATTTTAGTTTAGTTTTCTTATTTAGTCAAGATTTTACAAAAAGTCAATTAATTACCCATTTGAGTGAAAAACTAAAAACTGTATAAGCTGTTTATAGTTCTTAAAATACTTTTTGGATTTTGGATTTGTTCCTCTTTTTTTTTAAATACTTAATTTGATTGGTATTTAAAAAAAATTCTTTTTAATTGTAATAAAAAAAATCAATTTATAAGGTAGTTTTTGTTTTGTGTAATTGTTAAAAATACCCCTTTTGGTGTGCGCCTTTTCAAAAATGCCCCTTTTAGATGTTCATTTTCAAAAATGCCCCTTTTTAAATCTGAAATTTTTATAAAGTTTTATTAGGTTTATAAGGTACTTATGGATTGTAACTACTACTTGAAGACTCGATCCAAGTATTTATAAGGTTTTATAAGGTGTTTTTAAAGGTTTTACAAGTTATTTTAAAGGATTTTTAAGGTTTTTCAAAGGTTTTACAAGATATTTTAAAGGTTTTTAAAGGTATTTAAAATGCATTTATAAGGTATTTATAAAGTATTTATAAGATTTTAGATACATAGAAATGTAGTTTGTGTATGTTTTAATAATATTACATACATATTTGGGTAAATCTTATATTTTTAAGAGCATTTTTTATAAGGTTTTAAAAAAGGGGTATTTTTGAAAAGTGGCATTGAAAAAGTGGCATTTTTGCAAAAGCTTAATGAAATGAATACCTAAATTGTATCAATATAAATATATATTCTAAATATAAATTTTTATAACTAATACAAAATTTTGATATATAATAATAAAAATATAATATGGATGAAAAATATTATTTTAAAATAATATTACACAGAAATTTGCATTCATTTCGTATATAATTAGTTAAACATTAATGGATAATAACAGAAATCTTTTATTTTTAATTACAAATAAAAAAATTGGTTTTAATTAGGAGAACCCATGTTGGAGGGTTTCTACTTTTTGATTGAAAATTGGTATAAACATTAAAAACAAATAAAACTAATTTAAACACTACAAACATTTTTATGTCAACCTTTCTAAATTTACAAAACTTTGATGGTTATCTTGTATAGATTATGCAACATATCTTTCTTGATATTCCAAGTCTTGGTTTCTTCACAACCTATGCTTTGCTGGTTCTCGCATGGGCAAGCATTTACTGTCAGGTATTTAAATTCTGAGTAATCTTGTTATTCTTTTTCCTTCTTTGGTTCTGATATTTACTCCACACTCTATGACTGGATAGGCGCGTTCGATATCCACCGATGGACTAAACTTTAGCTTCTTCACAATTACTGGAATTGTATATGTAGTCCAGGTATATTAATATACATAGTTTTGTGTAATCGAAAAGAATATTGTGAAAATTCAAAATGTAATTTTGTTTTGTGCATATGGTTATAATTAACTTTAACTTTCAGATATCTCTTTGGTTGCTTTGGATGTGGAAGCCTGTTGGAGTTATGCTAATCCTATCTAAGATGTTCTTAGCAGGTAATTTACCCAAGCATGATTACACTATATTAGGCTTGTTATATAATATATGGTACGTTACTTGTCTCAACTCTCTTGCCAATATAATTGTAGGTGTTTCATTGTTCGTCGCCCTTGGATTTTTACTTCACGGTGCAAGGTAAATCTGTCGTACTACATTTGACATTTGAAATTGTGTTGCCAAGACTCACCATTGGGGAACGAGTCATCATGCTTGCATTCTTGTGCATTCTTGTTCTCCTCTGATAGCATAACTAGATTCTCTTGGTGCTAAAGCCGAGTAAATGCATGTTCTTACCAATTTAATATGATCATGCATTGGAGCTTGATTTAGTGTCCTTGTATGCCTATCTTCTGGCAGGCTTTTCCTAATGATTCATCGGTTTCCAGTAGAATCTAAAGGGCGTCGCAAGAAGTTGCAAGAGGTGAAACATTAAATTGTACAAGATCACAGTGTAACCAATCAAGTATATATATGACGCTGCTTGACTCTTTACACTCTCTTTCTCTCTTATGTATGCTAGATTGGTTATATCACAATAATATGCTTTACGGGTTTCCTCATCCGATGTATCATGGTAAAGACACACACACACACATACACATGTTTATGTCGATATCTACCGATCCTTACCTTCTTGGTTAGACTTTAGAATGGACAACTAACCAAAGGTTTTGTCATTTAATATGGTTAAGATGTGCTTTGCTGCTTTCTATGAGGGAGCAAACCTTGATGTGATGGATCATCCAATCCTTAATCTCATATATTACTTGGTAAGCTATCTCTTAAACTAATCATAAAATCTGTTCATAAATCTTAGTCTGATACATAATCATACCATTGTTTCTGCTTGAAACCTAATCTTGTTCCTTAATTAATTACAGTTGGTAGAGATAATACCATTTTCTCTGGTCATGTTCATCTTGAGAAAGCTCCCACCAAAACGAGACATCACACCAGAAGATCTACATGAAAGTTAATAATCAGACTATTTTTAATCCCAAAATTCTCTGAAGAATCTCAAGCTTTCTACTTCAATGTTTGTTTCAATATATCTAAGATTTTAATCTTGATGGCCCTTCTCCATTTACTTTTGAATAATAAATATGTTTGACACAAGTTTCAAAATGCGTTTAATGGGGGATGGGGTTCGGATTAAACTTTTAAATCATGTCTTTTTAAACCAAATATGATACTAATTTTAAAATATTGCTACCCCAAATAATCCCTTGTTTGTGTTAAGGGTCGGGTCTAGGATCCAAGACAACTAGAACAATAAAACCCTATATAAATTTTATTGTTTTATTGAATCGTTGAGTCATGTATTGTAGGTTATGTATGATATCATAGAGCAGCTTGATTGGGCGTCTCTCTCCTAGAGACCCCTCATTATGACTCTAAATGGTAACACACCAAAACAATTCGGCCGAATTCAACTAGATTCAGCAATTCCGCAAACATTATTTGCATAAAATTAATTCAGCTAAATTCAGTCAGATTCAGTAATATTTTCAACATCAATTCACATATAGGTTTATGTTCATTTCAGGTAAAAACTCCAATAATAATAAATACACAACTCGACTTAAAATAATATAGATATCAAAAATTACACCTCAAACTTATATTTTAAAATAAATCAGATAATATGGATATGATTTATGAATAATTCTAAAATCACTAACATTATGGACAAGAGTCGAATTCATGTTCAGATATTTCAGATGACTATGAATAATTTTGGATAGTTTTAATTTCTTTAAGATAATTTAAAATAAAGTTTTAAAATTTTGCAAGAATAACTTATAGCTATGCTAAAAATATTATTTAAAATATCAAAATTTTAATTATTCATGCTCATCATATTATTGATTAAATTACTAAAAAGCAATTAGATAATCTTATGTTAGTTTCTGAAATTAATCTCTCAATAATGCTTTGCCAAAGCTTTACATTAATTATTTACATATTTTTAATCGTCCAAAAATAAAATATAGAGGAATAACTCAATTTTGATAATCAATGTATTATTTATATCAATATTAATTTAAATAAGTTTAGTAGTTATTTATTAGTATAATAATTAATTAGTCCATTAATTTTTCTCTAATTTATTTAGATATCTTTCAGTTATTTTATTAATATTCATAATTATTTGATGATAATTTCAGTTAAAGTCTTAATTATTTTTCTAGATTCTAACAAAATCAGAAAAAAAAATCTCCTAGATTCAGCAATTCATCCAGATTCTTCGGTTACTATTTAGACACTCTATATATTCAAAAAAAATATCAAGAGCTAAATCCAGAAGAAAACTGAATCATTTTTCTCCATTGATGACGTAGAGATTATGTTGTCGTCTTTGATTTTGTGGACGGACGTAAATGGTTCGCCAATTTGGGAGGAACAAACCTTCAATGTCCTCGCTATTCTCTATGGAATACTTTCCATCTACTATGTGGTACTACTACATGCATATTTTAGCTTTTATTTCTCGTTCTTAAACTTGGAAACATCTTTGAGAAACTCTGAACTAATATTTTGTTTCGTTAGATTCATATTGTGAGACTACAATTGACACTACAAAAAAGAAGGGATTTAAAGTCATTTTTCAAGTTTCCTAAAGTCAGTTTTTAAATGACCCTAACAATATAAAGTCATTTTTGAAAATGATACAACAAATGATGACTCTAAGTTTTTTAGAAACACTTCAAAAAGTGACTTCAAACTTAAAGTCAGAAATCAATATGGGCCATAATTTTTTAATGGGCTTTATATTTTGTCTGAATCCATTTACTTGTCTGAAATCTAGTTATGTTTTTGTCTGAATTTCAGTTTCATTTGTGTCTTTAAATTTTGTCTGAATTAAACCTGTAAAAAAAATGAGGAACAATAACCAAATACATTATATATTTTCATGTTCCAAAGTCAAATAGAAAACAATATTTGATCACAGTCTGATACAAGAATATCTGATTCAACTATAAAAAAAAAAAACATATGATATGCTATATCTGATCATATTTCTATGCACTTCTTCTTCTAGTACCCTTGTTCTCATCCAATTTCTATGCACTTCTTCTTCTAGTACCCTTGTGAACTGAAACAAAAACATATAATGTAGTCTCAGTTTGGTTATAGACGGCAACAACACTATCTATAATGTATCTCTGAAATCTACAACTTAGCTTTATACACTACCTATAACACTACTCAAATCAACACTACCTATAACACTACTCAAATCAACACTACCTATAACACTACTCAAATCAAATTCCAACACAAGAGAGAGAGAGAGAGACAAGAGACAAGAGAGTTAGTACCTTACTTCAGTATCTTCCTTCAGTTTTCGATTTAACAAGAACAAAAAGAGCATCTGTCACGATTTCTAGCTTATCTTCAAGTCCTTTCAAACGGGTCTTTAGCTCCAAAATCTCAGCATTAGACGACATCACAGATTCTTGCTTCGTTGCTCAATAAACTTCCATCTGATCTAGTCCTTGATGCAATAAAAAGTTCAGCTCGATTTGGTTCTTTGCCTGTCTCCTCTTCCTAAATGTACAATTGCACCAAGTTAAAGAGGATTGACAGAATCATAGTACTAATTAATGCAGAATAAAGATTGACTAAACGTACCATCTCATTAGCTTTTCTTGCTAAACTCTTTTTTCCAAGTGTATGTGGCATTTTATGATTGTTTCGACTATTAATATTACGCTCTCTCACTCTCTATATTGTAACAAAGCAGTACATAGTTATTTGTATGTGATATATATAAACTATAAAGTAGTTGTGGAATAGATTTTACCTTAGCCTTATCAGTGAACTGCATTTCCACAAATTCTTTCCATTGATCTTCAGGAATTAGTCCTGGTCTTGCTTCAAATGCTTCCTCTATAGTATTTCTTCTGTACTTCATCCAAATGCGTTGTTTCAAGTCTCTGCATCTGACTCCTAATGCAGATAAAACATATTTCTTCCTCCTCCTTGGATTATCAAACCAGAACTTTTTCTATGTTAATGTAAAAATGAACAGAAAAGATGGTGAGAGCTTATCCAAAGTAAAGTCTAATAGTTAATAGGTAATGAAAATACCTGAATCACTTTCCAAGCCATTTCTTTTCTGTAATTGGGAACTTTCCTCCAATCGGTGTAGTTAATAGGTAATATATTAAGATCATTACTCAGTGAACCTAACCACGAACCAAACAAACCTCCAGAATCTTTGACATGAAAAGAGATACAGTTTGATCACAAGACTAGTATACTACTAAATGCTACAATGGATATTCATATAAACCAAGAATATGTTCAATTGAAAAGAAGTTAAAACATGAAAAAGGTAAAGAAGAAACTAACCTATGACACGAACTCTCCATTTTCCACTAGCTAATTCTGGTCCAAGAGGAGGGGGAGCTTGAGAATCAGTCTCAGACATACTACACATATAAAGATAGAAAATAATTGTTAGAATACTTTTAAAATCATAATCATCAAGCAAAATTCAAGCAAATATAATCACCTCCATATTATCATATAAATCAGATGGAATCTGAGAACTTTCAAGATCTTCTATTTGCCTCACTAATCTAATATCAGAAACATTATCAGATATAATCATTGAACTTTGAATAGGAGGATCTTCAATGACGACTTGAGGAGGAATTTCATCTGAACTAGTAGGATCTTCCATATCATACAAGTCTCTTGGTTGGACGTGAACAACAACACTCCAATCTTTTTCTTGTGGATCTTCCACATAATACACTAATCTTGCCTGAGAAGCCAACACATAAGGCTCATCTTCCTCACCACTTCCAGTGTGTATCAAACGAGAGAAATTTACCATAGAGTGACCAAACTGATCCTTCTTAAATCCTCGAGCATCACGAGTATCAACCCATTTACATTTGAACAACACAACTCTAAATGAATCATAGTAGTTCAGTTCTAGAATTTCAGTTAATTTTCCATAGTAAGAAACATTTCCAGATCTAGGATTAATATCACGAGAACTTGCATAACTAATGGTTTCAGCTGACACAAAAATTCCACTATTCTGAGTTTTCAAGTCTTGATCCCTTTCTATAATTCTGAACTTGAAGCCATTGATATTATACTTGGAAAAACTATTACTCATACTTGGAAAAACATCTCCAAGCAGATTCATAGTCGGGTTTTCAACATGATCATCATCAGATTCATGTTCTAGTCTCACTTCTTGCTCTTGAAAATCCAGTTCTTCACCATGGAGATACCAATTTGTATACGTAGGCAGAAAACCGTGACAGACTAAATCACCCTCAATCTCAGTCCTATTCTTGTATTTAACAAGAAAACAACGCTGACAAGGACATTTGATCATATCTGTCTTACTATAACCAAAAGCAAAATCCAAAAACTCTTTGACTCCATTTATGTAGTCTTGAGATATACGATGTTTTGTAATCCAAGACTTGTCCATTCTCAATTCTGAAACTATACAAGTTCAATCAATAAACAAACACACTCTAACTTCCATAGAAATGGAAATTGGAAACCACAAACATAGTATCGATAACTCATGGAGTCATAAAAATATCAGTTAAACATATATTCTTATTGAGACAAAATCCAGAAGCAACAAACGTGTTATTATAATCAATCAAACAAACGTGTTATAATCAATCATATCTGTCTTACTATAACCAAAAGCAAAATCAAACGTGTTAAACAAAATTCAATGCTTATCAGTAAAATACAAATCCAGAATCAAAACATGTATAATTATATATCTCACAACACTCACAGCACATCACAGAGATATATTATAATCAATCAAACGTGTTAAACAAAATTCAATGAATTGTGTGTAAAATACAAATCGAGAATCAATTTCACTCATTTTCAACAAAAATTTAAAACAAAATTCACAAATCCAGAATCAATTTCACTCACGCAAGAAGCAAACAAGGAAAACATGATGAATTGTGTGTGTTGTTCAGATTCTTTGATGAAGCAACTAAGAGCTTCAGTATCTCTTTCAAGGATATGTTAATGTCTCTTAGTTTTTTTTTCCTTTCGAGAACCATAGCATAATCAAAACTTCAATAAAACAAACACAAATCTCAAATAGGCTAATAGTCGACAATCAATCTAGAGGGAGCAAGTGAATGGTACCTTGAATTTTGGAGTCGGCGAGAAAAAATCAAATCGCGATTGATGAGATCGATGAACGATTCGGGATCTATTGAGATTGACGAACGCTTGAAATCTACTTAGAAATTCATAGAAACGAAAAACCCCATGATTTGTTCGATGACACTGAAGTTCTTCGAAGAAGAAGATGCTCGTATTTTCTGGGTTTGAGAAGCTTCGGAGAAGAAGATGCTCGTATGTTCTCCGAAGAAGAATGCTCGTGTTTTCACTAAGTCTTTAGTGGTTGGGCTTTAATTCGAATAATAGCCCACCAAATTAAATCTGTCAAAAAAATAGCCCACCAATTTGAATCATATTTGCGTTGGTTTTTGCAGTCGGTTACTAAACCGACTCTAGATCCCTTCTTTTTAAACAACTTTACGTCATTTTCTAAAGTAACGTTAATTAAGTGACTTTACATTATAGATTTCTTGTAGTGTGAGAGTTCCAGATTATGTCTGGACAATACCAAAGGTCTTTGCCTTTCTCAATTTCGTGATGCATGGAGGTTAGTGCTAGCTATGAATTGTGATTTTATTGTTATGTGTTGATTTTGATCATCGTGTTTTATCTCGCAGTTAGGGCTGTGGTTTTTGTCTTCAGGCGGAATGTGCTGAATATGCATTCACAGGTCAAGGATCTTCATCATTGTAGTTTTTAAATTGATTTTTGATTTTAGCCTTTGAATATTTAAGTATGTTTTATTCAGTCAAGATTTTACAAAACTGTTTTCCCAAAAATATTCTTTTATATAAAAAATTCAATTTGATTGAAAAACTAAATAGTAAAACTCTACAAGCATGAATTTTTATAGTTTTTAAATACTTTTTGGATTTTGGATTTTGGATTTAGAATTTTGGTTTTGGTTATGTTTTTTTTTCTTATTTTTTACTAAATTTTATTGGTAAGTTTTTTAAGTTCTGGTTTAAGTTATAATTGTTTTAAAAAAATGATTCGTAAGATTTTTTTTAATATGTGTTTAAATTACTAAAATGAATACCTAAATCGTATCAATAAAAAATTATTTCAAAAGAATAACTAACAGAATTTTTACAAATAATACAAAATTTTGATATGTGATACGAAAGATATATTAGGGATAAAAATATTACTTTAAAATTTAATTTCTCAGAACTTTGCTCTCATATAGCAAAACAAATTGAAATTTAGTTAAAGATAAATGGCTAATAACAATAGCAATTCTTTTTTAAAAAAAGAATTCTAAATGAAAAAAAAAAAAAGTGGGGTGAAAAAGACTGATTTTTAACACTACAAACATTTTTCTAAATTTCCAAAACTTTGATGGTTATATTGTAGATTATGCAACATATCTTGCTTGATATTCCAAGTCTTGGTTTCTTCACAACCTATGCTGTTCTGATTCTCTTCTGGGCAGGAATTCACTGTCAGGTAATTTCTGATTTTTTTTTTTCCTTCTTTGGTTCTGATATATTTACTCCACACTATTTGACTGGATAGGCGCGTGCGATATCCACCGATGGACTAAAGCCAAGCTTCTTCACAATTAATGCTATTGTATATGTAGTTCAGGTATATTAATATACTAGAAGAAGACCCACGCGATGCGTGGGAATAATTAAAATTTATTTTGTTTTAAAAAAATGAAATGGTTTCTCAAAGTAAACTATTGTAACATGTTTTTTTTTTTTTAGAATATACCAAGATATAAGAGACTATAGTAGTCTTTGTCCAAAAAAAAAAAAAGACTATAGTAGTAAGCATTTAGATAATTGAAAACTCTTTTTTTTTTTGTCATTTTTCTAGAAGTTAGACTTTACTACTCTCTCCGTTTGAAATTACTTGTCGTTTAAGGATTTTGCACATAAATTAAGAAAATAATTAAATTTTCAGTTTTGCCTTTTAGAAATATATTTTTAATTTTTTCATTAGTCAAAACATTAAAACATAAGGATAAAACTGGAATATTTATCAAATATATGCATTGAAAATCGAAAACGACAACTATTATAAAACAAATTTTAAGTTCTAAAATGATAACTAAACTAAAACAGAGGGAGTATGTACATATTTCTATTTATATCACCTACTTAGATAAATATCTCAAATTAATGCATGAATTCACTAAAACAAAACTCCAGCACTAAGGCATGAAAATTCTGATCTTGTTCAATATTGTTTTACATCATATAACCAAAAAAAAAACTCATTGGGTATTGCCAACATTCAGTTCACCTTTTCGGAGATGGAGTTTGCCTGAATGAAACTTCTTGCAAATCAAAATATATAAATGGTCCCATACAATCCTAAGCTTTTATAGGTGGGAGTGCGATGGCAATTCGAAAACATACATCATGGCAAAATTTTAATGTGTTTTTTTTTCCACAAACCGAAAATCTTCCTATGTTATTGAAACTAATATTTGGAGAGGTTTTAGAGAATGAGAAAAACTTGGAAGCTTGATTAATAAATGTTTTGGCAATACAGAAAGAATATATGTGAACCATTAATATGTTGTCTTTTTTTATTTCTTAATAAAAACATTTCTATTCACACATTGAAAATTTAACTAAATCAAAATTAAAAAATAATAACACCTGAATGATTCCACACAGTAACATTTGCGAAACATGAATCTCTTTCTTATCTTTTAAGTCTCCTTTAAATAAATATAGGAGACTTAAATAAATGTTCAACAACTCAAAATTAATAATTATTAGTATGGGGGTTACAAATTTAAAAATAAAATCAAAATAAATGTTCAACAACTCAAAATTAATAATTATTAGTATGAGGGTTACAAATCTGAAAATACATAAATAATTTTGCTATAAATTATTATAAGAAATTCATTTTCCACAATATTGGTGTCAAATAAGATTATTGGTTTATTGTGGTAAATTAATATGAATAAATAAACACTTTGATAATAATTAAGATTAGAAATAAATATTGGTGTCTTATATGAATTTTATTCTCTACATTATATTGGTATTAAAAAGTATGGTGGAAAATAATCAAAACTTAAAATATTAAAAAGTAAAGTAATGGAGAGATATTTATTGATTTAAATAAAAGAGAAATTAGTTATGGTATATTAATGTGGATAATTAAGAGATGAAAAATATGACATATGTCAAGCATTTGAAGTGCCAAATGTCAAAAAATTAGAGTAAGTTAGAAGAAACCTTGTCATTCAAAAACTCAATTGTTTTGTTTTTGTTTTCCACCGATGATCGGGGCCTCTCACAGCTTTTTCATTCAATTAAAACTTGTTTGTTGATTTTGGTTTCATAGGGTTTGTTCCACATTCGACCAATTTTAAATCTAGCCATGCATCAAGATTTTGATTTGCTGGCTTTATTTATCGGATTTGGAAACAAAGATGTTCTGGCTCTTGTACTTCTGGCATAATCTATGTGCATTCGTTTGTTGTGTTTAGTTGACAAGATATTTCTCTTATACTTATCAAAAAAATTTTGTCCCAAACTCGCTGGAGGTGTTTTGACCTTTGCACGATTCGTCCCACCACCATCAACACTCAGGCAAGTTTTTGGTGTTTCGGTTGGGCGAGTTTTTTAGTCTCATCCACTCAATTCAAAATCCAAATATGGATAAAATCTATTTTGTTATATGCTACTTCTAACCGTATCTTTGCGATTCTAATTCGACTTCAACTTCTAGACAGAGTCGACAGTTACAGCAGCCTCATCTAAGGTCCCGTCTTGCCAACTATAGGAAGCATTGATTTTAATTTCTGAAGTCTTCAAAATCAAATAATGAGAAGTTGTCAAGAAGTCTCCGCTCGATGTTGATCATTCTCGGCGATGATTAACCAGTTCTTTTTCTCGAAAATGTTTTTTGGTGATGGCAAGAAAAATAAATTTTGAGTACTTTTGCAATCTTTATATTTTCTATGTTTGAATACTTTGTTTGTATTTTCATTATGATAATTTTTCCGGTGTTTGTTCTCCGAAAAGTTTTCACGTTTGTTTCCCATTAACCTTTCGGGCAAAGTTTATGATGTTTCCGGTTAATCTGGCTCATCCAATTTGTAAGTTCCATGTTTTAATAATGTAATCCCTTAGAGAAAATAGTAGAACAATTTTTGAGTTCACCTCTACGTTTTCAAGTTTATATATGCTATCGTAGAACCAAAAGTACGTGCCACAACAAAATGTTTCCGCGGTCATTCTACCATAGTGTTTACCTTTTCGGAAACGCTATGTAAATTTTCTCGAAACTCAACTATAGCAGAAACATTAACAATGCTATAACGTATTGCTATTAATATCCTTATTTCGTGTAGTGCAATCATAATTTGCCACCTATCACTCTTTTATAAAACCGAAACAATCATTTAACTACATTAAATTATAAAATCTAATCTCTAATCACTTCTTATAAACCCAAACTAACATATATATCTCGTGTAACTGTAAAATATAAACATAATCCTCCTTTATAAATTCAAAACGACATATAACCTCGTTTAATTATAAAATATACACCCTAAATGTCCTTTATTAACCCAAACTGACATATAACCTTGTTTAATTGTAAAATCTACCACTGAACTCTTCTTTATAAACCAAAACCGACATTTAACCTCGTTTTATTGTGAAACCTAAATCCTAACCCTCCCTTATAAATCCAAACTTATATAAAACTTTATTTATATTTGTAACATTTAATTCTAACACTCTCTTATAAACTCAAACTGACATATAGACTCTAACACAAATGCTAAATTGTTGTATGTTATATTTTAATGATTTACGTTAACCTTTTTTATATGAATAATATTAACTATTTATCTTAGATGGCAGATTATGATTGGTTAGAAAAAAAAGAAATGTATAAAAAGGTTCATCATTAGGAACTCAAAAAATTTCAAAAAGTATCATTTGGGAAACGTAACTTCCAAAATGATTTATAAAAAAATAGGACAAAATATAAAAAGTCAATTCAACCATATGACTAACTTCAATGTAGTTTTCTACATTTCTCAAAATAATTGAAAAAATATAACGTACAGCTTGACATGGAAGGTAAATTGTTAGATGAGCAAAAAAATCTCTCATCTCATTCATTCTATAGCTTTTTTGGTTGGCCAATCCTCAAATTATTTATTCTTTTATTAATTGTCATATAATATTTCTCATTAATCAATCATTTTAATGTACATACTATTTGGATGAAGGACTGAGAACTATCTACTTTGGGGAAAATCATTGTAAATGAAACTTAAGTTGAGGGTTTGGTATTCCAAATTTATGATACTCCTTCTGTTTCAAATTATACGATGTTTTAGATATTATTTTTTGTTTCAAAATATAGGATGTTTTACAATTTTCAATGCAAATATTAAATGTATTTGATAAATTTGTGACTATTTATAATCTGTAATCTTTTTAAAAAATCAAATATTAAATGATAGTTTTAAAGAGAATAATAACTTTTTTAAATTATATGCTTTTAACTAAAACATCCAATATATTGAAACAGATGGAGTACTTTTCTAGAGTTAGATAACATTAACTTAACATTAAATGAGATTAAAATAAATTTAATTCAAAATTAGATAGGAAATGTGGAAATTCGAATTGCGAAACGTAATCTCAATCAAATGTGAGACTTCAATACTAAGATATATTGTAAGAGACTGTAATATAGAGATTGTTTTGGAAATTTATGTGGAAAATGTTAGTAGTTAACAAAAAAATGTTGGGAACTTGGAATATGTTCCTTAATATCTTGCACTCATGGAAATGGAACCAAGTATTTCCCTAGGTGCCTGGATCCTAGAACCAGTGTGGACCCGCAAAGCCGTTGTAGGACTTAAGTCACTTAACCTCCAAGTCGACCAAACCATCTTGTAAAATCATGATGAAATTATAAAGTAGTTGATAATTTTGTATGTATCTGGGTTACTCATGCTTGATGCAAATAAGGGTTTTTGTTTTGGAGACAAGCCTCTTTCTCTTTTTGTTTTGGAAAGTTGTGTGGAAAATGTTAATTAGCAAAAAATAAAATAGTAGGAAATTCAAAAATATTATGTGTAAAAATTTAGAAATTGTCTAATTAATTTTATAACAAATTAAAACCTAATAAGCAGAATCGATCTTCTCTATTTTATAAATATAATCTCACAATAAAACCTATCATTTGTGGAAAATGGAATTGAATGACAATAAGAACATTAAAAGCAGGATTTATTTATTGATTCCATTAACTGAAATAAAATCAAATTCAATATCAATTCAAGTTAAATTTGCGAAAGACTGGAAAACAAAAACTATTCACTCTAGACATGTGTAACGTCTTTGGTAATTGTAAATAAATGTAAGAATTAATGTCTAATTTATGAACAATAAAAGAGGGAAAAATCAAACGTCTGATGACCGTGACATCATACGAATGTAGAGCAAGTCCACGACTATTTTGTTTTTTGGAAGAAGTAGTACTTAAAGTCATCTGTTCCGTAAAAAGAAAAAAATTTCAATGTTAGAGAAGCAAAGTCTAAAATGAGCTTAAAAAGAAAAGTATGTTTTTTATAGATATGAAGATGAAGTAAAACTGCATAAATTTTTTCATATTATGACACTCTTTTTTTGTGACACTTTCCTATATCAGTTACTAATTACAAAAATAAAATAAAAAGAGATGGAGAGAGACATTGGTAAAATGTTCGAACTTAAAAATCAAATAGTTAAGAAAGATGATGGATACCTCTTAACTTTGAGGAGAGGTTTTAGTCAATCGGCTTTCTGGTGTTTCGGTTGATCATAAGCACAGAAAAAATCTACATCTTTACTTTCTCTCAATACCGTAGCTCGGAGTGGAATGGGAATGATATATATAGTCTTGTAGTGCGTAAAAACCCTAATAAAAATGTGAGACACGTGTCAGTCATATGTAGTGCCAAATGGCGAAATAATAGAGTATTTTCAGAAAAAACCTTCTCATATTTCTGATGACCGTGACATCATACGAATGTAGAGCAAGTCCACGACTATTTTGTTTTTTGGAAGAAGTAGTACTTAAAGTCATCTGTTCCGTAAAAAGAAAAAAATTTCAATGTTAGAGAAGCAAAGTCTAAAATGAGCTTAAAAAGAAAAGTATGTTTTTTATAGATATGAAGATGAAGTAAAACTGCATAAATTTTTTCATATTATGACACTCTTTTTTTGTGACACTTTCCTATATCAGTTACTAATTACAAAAATAAAATAAAAAGAGATGGAGAGAGACATTGGTAAAATGTTCGAACTTAAAAATCAAATAGTTAAGAAAGATGATGGATACCTCTTAACTTTGAGGAGAGGTTTTAGTCAATCGGCTTTCTGGTGTTTCGGTTGATCATAAGCACAGAAAAAATCTACATCTTTACTTTCTCTCAATACCGTAGCTCGGAGTGGAATGGGAATGATATATATGGTCTTGTAGTGCGTAAAAACCCTAATAAAAATGTGAGACACGTGTCAGTCATATGTAGTGCCAAATGGCGAAATAATAGAGTATTTTCAGAAAAAACCTTCTCATATTATATAAGATATATATAATTTTGTTTGTGAAATCTAAAAGACGTTTGTGAAAATTCAAAATGTAATTTTGTTTTTGTGAATGGGTGTATAACTTTCAGATATCTCTTTGGTTGGTTTTGTGGTGGAAGGTAAATCTGTCGACACTTGACGATGTACTACATTTGACATTTGACATTTGACATATGAAATTGTGTTGCCTAGAGTCACCATTGAGGAACGAGTCATCTTGCTTACATTTTCGTACCATTTAATATATTCATGCATTGGAGCTTCATTTGTTGTCCTTGTATGTCTATTTTCTGGCAGGCTTTTGCTAATGTTGCATCGCTTTCCAGTAGAATCTAAAGGGCGTAGAAAAAAGATGAAAGAGGTGAAACATCAAATTGTACAACGATATCAATCAAGTTTTACTATATGACGCATCATGACTCTTTCCACTCTTTCTCTCTTATGTATGGTAGGTTGGTTGTGTGACAACAATATGCTTTACGAGTTTCCTCATCCGATGTATCATGGTAAAGTCAAAGACACACACACACATATACACATGTTTATGTTGATATCGATCACTCCTCAAATACCTTCTTAGTTAGTTATTAGAATGAATAACTAACTAAAGGTTTTGTCAATTAATATGGTTTAGATGAGCTTTGCTGCTTTCTACGAGGGCGCAAACCTTGATGTGATGGATCATCCCATCCTTAATCTCATATATTACCTGGTAAGCTCTCTCTTAAACTAATCTTAGAGTCCTAATCAAACCATTGTTTCTGCTTGAAACCTAATCTTGTTTCTTAATTACAGTTGGTAGAGATATTGCCGTTTTCTCTCGTTCTGTTCATCTTGAGAACCCTACCACCAAAACGACATGTACACGAAAGTTAATGATCATCAGACTAATTTTAATCCCAAAATTTCTCTGAAGAATTTCAAGCTTTCTATCTCATTTGGATGTTAGTTTTAAATTTTTAATAATCTAAGCTTTTGATCTTGATGGTCTTCTCCATTTACGTGCTTTTGAATATATCTGTTTGACACAATTTCTTCAAGTCTAATGCGGTTAATTAATTGATTTACCCACTCTGTTTTAATATAATTCTTTCATGTTTTTAAGGATTTTTAACTAATTTAAAAATATTTGCTAACCCAATGTCCGTGTTTAGGATCCAAGACAACTAAATTAATAAAACCCTGATATACAATTTTGATGTATCTTCTCCTCATACTTATTGATTAAAACACTTAGCTGAAATTACAAGGAAAGAAGTTTACAAGAGAAGGGAATGGTCAATCCCTATTTATCAGTAATTTATTAAATTAAATTCTTCTTCATATTTACTTCATATCTGGAACATACTAATTCGTTTCCGATGATAATTTTCCGATTAAATTTTGGGCGTTCCACGACCAAAAAAATTGGGTGTTGACAAAAGATAACAGTGATCTATAAAAATAAAATTTGGTATCAATCACTGTACCATAATATTAATGAGTAAACTAATGAATCTTATAGTATTTTGGTTTTGCTTGCAACTTGCTTTAGAAAATTAATATCAAAGAGATAGGTTCGAGACGTTGACTTTGATTGAGACCTTTTACTCAGTATTATCCATTGACTTTTAACATATCGACCGTTGAAAAGTCAAAACTTAAATGTGAACTACGTCATTCAAATTTTCTTCTTTCTTTTCAGCATAGAAGTTTCTTCGTTTAATCATAAGAAAACCTCAATTTTTCCATTGAATATTATTTAATTAATCTCATGGCTAGGAGAAATAGAAACCTTCTCTTTCTCAAATTTTCCTATAAATCAACCCTTACCTCAAAACTAGCTTGCTACACTTAACATATCAATCAAATATGGGTCGTGTCACTACTCCACCAGAGGACGATCCAAACAACGGTATACCGGTTCCGCAAACGGGTACACCCAACCAGCGAACCGGAGTTCCCGTGAGTCAATTCGCGCCGCCAAATTATCATCAAGCTAATGTTAACCTATCTGTTGGGAGGCCATTTAGCACTGGTTTGTTTGATTGTCAAGCAGACCAAACCAATGGTGTTGTATCCCATATACACTCTTATACGAGTTTATAGATATTTATATTTCTTGTTAAAGATTCAAAATTAATGGACTAACTAATCTTTAAAACATTGTTGTGCAGCCGTTATGACAGCAATCTTACCTTGTGTGACATTTGGACAAATAGCGGAAGTACTGGATGAAGGAGAGACGAGTATGTTTTGGTTTACACAAAACCGAAATCAGATTCTTCACTAATACCACTTTTTATAGCTCATATTAATTTTTTTTTTTTTTTTTGCAGCTTGTCCTCTTGGAAGTTTCATATACTTGTTGATGATGCCGGCTTTATGCTCACAATGGGTGATGGGATCAAAGTATAGGGAAAAAATAAGGAGAAAATTTAATCTTGTGGAAGCTCCATATTCAGATTGTGCGAGTCATGTCTTATGCCCTTGTTGCTCTCTTTGTCAAGAATACAGAGAGCTCAAGGCTAGGAATCTTGATCCTTCTCTAGGTACTAACTCAAAAACTCAGATTCAAGTCAAATATGTATAGTCCAATAATTTTATTTGATATAAGAGTTCAAGTGTGGTTAGTTTAATCGATTAGATGAAAACTATTTGGTCATAACCGGATTTTCAATTTGTGGATCCATCACAATTACATGATATATTCTGTTTTCGGATGTAGGGATAGTATGAACCAAACACAATAATTTCTTAATTATCAAAAATAATATATGTATATATAGATTTTGAATATTGTGTCAAAAAATGTTTATAATTGCAGGTTGGAATGGGATACTTGCTCAAGGACAATATGAGAGTGAAGCACCAAACTTTGCTCCTACAAATCAATATATGTCTAAGTAAACATTTGATTATAGTTGACTTCCATATTTGTTACACATTATTTGTGGACCATTGTACAATGCAAGTGTGCTATATTAAAATTTCAATGCAAGTGTGAGATTGATTATATTTTCTGTTTTGTGGTAGCTATCATATAAAATAATTACATCTGTATTTTTTGAATAGCAATAAAGAGTTATATATATTTGTGTTAGAAAAAATGAATTTCGATAATTACATAGTGTAAATAATTACATCGGTAAATCTAAACATTCTGTCTTTACTTTTGCTGTTGTAGCTCAATTGTACATCGTTAAATTTGGGGTAGCCGAAGTAAACTATTTGAATTATTTATACAGAAATTTTTATTAAATGTGTATCTAATGTGGTATAAAAAGAATCGGAGCTCCAAAATATATTTAAATGGTTTAAAATAAAAATAATTAATTGAAGTTTGCTTCAATGTGTACTCGCACATCTTACAAAAGTGTTTGCCAAATGATACAATGATTATTGAGTTTAACTAATTATAAATGACTTTGGAGATACGAAGGATACAATAATAATTGAGTTGAACTAATTTTGTATTTGCCAAAAGATATAATAGGCATGTCAATCGGACTAGTCTAGTCCGGTCTAGTTCGAAACCCCATAAAATCTGTATATATATTTAGGGGGTGTTATTGGTTTATTAATTTGTAAATCCATATAGAATTTGAAAATTTCTATTAATTATGAAATCAAGATATATGGATTTTGAAATAACATGTGTTTACCCATGGATTTGAATTCTTCTGTTTTTCTCTTTCAATTCCATTCAAATCCATTCAAATCAGCATCACTTGTTTTAGTCTTCCTCATTGTAGCTGGAATCATTACTTTCCTTATCCTCAAGACGAAGAAGAGTGCCAAACTTGGTCTACATTCGAGGTCTCACCACGGTTTTGAACCTCCCGTCATAGCGAAAAACCGGAAATTGACTTACGTTGATGTTGTTAAGATCACAAACAACTTTGAGAGGGTTCTTGGTAGGGGAGGTTTTGGTGTGGTTTATTACGGCGTATTAGATAACGAACCAGTCGCTGTTAAGATGCTCACTGAGTCTACTGCACTTGGTTACAAACAGTTTAAAGCCGAGGTATTAACAGATTGAATAGCAACCAAATCATTTTCTAACTATTATATTAAAAAAAAAAACAAATGGTGTTTTGATTGCGTCATGGATCTGTTTGCTTGTTAGGTTGAGTTGCTTCTTAGAGTTCATCATAAAGATATCACATGTCTTGTTGGATATTGTGAAGAAGGCGATAAGTTGTCTTTAATCTATGAGTTCATGGCGACTTGAAAGAGCACTTATCAGGTCTGGCTTTTAACGAAATGTAGAAACGTTTTGTTTTAAGATTCTGATGTTTTGTTTCAAAATTTGATGTCAGGGAAGCGCGGACAGTCGATACTAACTTGGGAAAGGAGGCTTTGTATAGCAGCAGAATCAGCGCAAGGATTGGAATATTTGCACAATGGATGCAAACCGCAAATAGTTCACCGCGACATTAAGACTACTAACATCCTAGTAAACGAGAAATTCCAAGCTAAGCTTGCGGATTTCGGGCTTTCACGGTCTTTCCCACTTGGAACTGAAAGTCACGTCTCAACCGTAGTCGCTGGAACTCCCGGATATCTTGATCCCGAGTAAACCTTGATCACTTCTTTTTACAACATCTATTGGTTATTATTTTTTCATGTTAACTCTAAACAGTGGCTTTTCCTTTTTCTCTTTTTTTTTTTTTCAGATACTACAGAACTAATTGGTTGACCGAGAAAAGCGATGTGTTCAGCTTCGGTGTTGTTCTACTAGAGCTAGTAACAAACCAACCCGTGATAGACATGAAAAGAGAAAGACCATATATATCTGAATGGGTAGGTTTGATGCTAATAGCGGACCCAGGATTTTTTTTCACCCAGGTCAAAGATAACTAAAATAAAAAATTTGATGGGCTAAATATATTTTTTTCTCATAACTATAGCTAAAATTTTGAAAAATGGGGAGGTCAGCTGCCACCCCTTTCATGAACGTAGGTCCGCCACATGCTATCAAGAGGAGACATTAACAGCATTGTGGATCCTAAGCTTCAAGGATAATATGATCCAAACACGATATGGAAAGTTGTTGAGACCGCAATGACATGCCTGAATCCGTCTTCTTCACGGAGACCGACAATGAATCAAGTCGTACTGGATTTGAAAGAATGTCTGAACATGGAGATGGCAAGAAACATGGGAAGTCGTATGACAGATTCAACTAACGATACTTCAATCGAGGTGTCCATCAATTTCACAACAGAACTTAATCCAGTAGCTAGATGAACCAAATATGTTTGAAGCTCGAAGTCTTTATGTACACTTTTCTTTTGTTCTGTTTGTTATAAATAGAGTCAGTCTAAAAAAAAAAGTACTCCGTTCCGCTTCTTTGTTCCAAAAGAAAAAACTTTTTTATCAGACTCAATTAGATGGTCGTTGGCTCGGTAAAAGTTATATTATTATGTTAAAAAGATGGGCCATAGAAATTAGAGGAAACAACACGAAAATAATTTTCAAGACTAAACAATGTAGTCTTAGAGGCAAGCGAGCCAAGCAACCTGGCCTATAAATGCATCAACCATCTTGTTTGAGATTCGAAGAGCATCCTCGGTTTTCCCGGCTTTTAGATATGCATCAATCATTGATGTGTATGTAGAAACATCAGGAGGCACCAATCTGTCTGAACACATTTCTTCAAACAAGTGCTCTGCCTCAAACAATATGCCTTGTTTGTTAAGCCTTGTGATGATGTTTCTGTAACATGTAACATCTGGCTTCTTCAGCTTTGATGCTTTCACCTTGTAGAAAATTTGGATTGCCCAGTCAAACCGACCTATCTTGAAACACTCATTCACCATAATATTTAGGGTATTTTCATCAAAATTGTTCATTTCCTCGCTATGCGAAACCTCGTTGAATAAGGACCAAGCTTCAGTTTTCTTGCCATACTTGAGAAAAAGGACCAAAAGTGCGTTGACAGCAGTGGCTTCCCTAAGTTTTCCCAACTGCAAAAGACTGTAACAATCCATAGCTTTCTCCTCCTTACCTTGCTCGAACCAATACTTCATGTATGTGTAACTAAAAATCGCAACACGGTCATATCTATCATCATACACATGAGAGCTCCCCAATACATCGCCCAATACCTCATTGACCTTTTCAACATCCCCTTGACGCAATAACCCCTCCAACAGGGGCTTGCACACATCCGAGGACAAATAGGAAAACTTGCACATATTCGAGGACAAATCGGAAAACCCTATTGGCTTTAACCGATCCATGGCTTCGTCTAGCCTCCCAGCGTCGACCAAACCTTTTGAGATGAGGGCTTCCGTAACGTCATTGGCCAGTGAGGAGTCATAGACGTTAAGAGCGTCGTCCAAACGTCCTTGGTCCAAGTGGAGTTTGATGATATGATTCAAGTAACCAAAATAAGGTGTAATATTGGTCTCACGGTAGAAATAATGGAACAAGTCCAAGGCATCTTTGTACCTCTTGGCTTCGCACATGGCGCCGATGATTGCTTGGCACGTCTGGTTGATGCATATTATGTTATCAGTACATTGGACCGAGAGGCGCGCGTGCTTAGCCGCCGTGTCCAGGTCTCCCAAGCGGATCAGGAAATCAACTCTCGCTTGTAAAGCCAATGGTCGGCAATCCAACTTGGACAAGGAAGGATCTTTCTTGACGACGGATGAGAAGCTACGAACGGAATTGTTGAAGCCACGGCCAGTGAGGACGAGCCGACGACAGAAAAACATGGCGGCGGATAGCAAGACAATGAAATCCGAGAAAAAAAACTTCTGATATATTTTCTAGGTTTAAAATATAGATAATTAATAAATAAATATAACTTATAAGATAACACTGAATCTAAGATATAAAACTTTACGATTTATACGTCTTTCTTGAAGTTCATGATTAAATCGTCCTAAATTTGAAAGTTCATGTTTTTTTTGACATTTTCCCAATAAAAATTACAATAAACTTAAAATATACAAATGCATATTAGTGTATTAAGGCAAAAATTGAAAATATAATAATTCTTTTTTAAATCTAAAAAATTTTCTTTTTAGATTCTAAAGATACATTTTACATACTTAAAAAGATTTTGAATATTATATTTTTGTTAAATTTAATTTTATTTAAAAAAATTTAAACCCACACACTGGCCGGGTTCTTGATGAAACAGATAATGACAATACAAAGTTCATAGAATGCAGAACACACGTCTTTCTTTGTAATGTCAGATGATCAAACGAACATGTCCTGAAAGAGAAGTATGAGCATTATATTTTTCTTCTAGAAAAATATATCACACAAAAACAGTTCAAAACCTTACCAAACCACTAACAGAATTTTCTTTTCTGTTATTAGAAAACTTAATAAATCACCAAAATATATTCACATAAATCCGACCAAATCTAAACACCAAACTAGCTAAAGAATTTCCTAGTCCAATACAACCAGTCATAGCTTAATCCATAAAGCTTCAAATGGACAGCCTCTTCCGGTGCCTCCTTGTCAGCATCCGCAACACATCCGGTCTCTCTCACCACATAGCTCTAATCGGCCTGGCGAACGACAACCTTGAGTAGACTTGCATCCACCATCTTTTTCAACATTTGTTGAGCATCATCCACTCTCCCAACCTTAACATATCCATTGATCATTGATCTAAATGTTGAAACTTCAAGGGACAAGACCAAGTCTTTGTGTGACCACATTTCCTCAAACACACCATCTGCTTCGGACATCATTCCACGCTCGCAAAACCTGTCGATAATATTACTATAACACTCAGAAAAAGAAGCTCCCAACTTGAAAGTATCCATTGCCTCCTTAAACTTACCAATCTTGAAACACTCATTCACCATCATATTAATAGTCTCTGAATCAAAACTATCTCGACCAAACTCATCATTGTACTTAGCTTCTCGTGTCGTAGCATTGTTTATCATCTCCTCGAACAAAGCCCACGCCTCGGATATCTTACCGTGCTTTAAAAAGATTCTCAAAAAGTTATTTCCACTCGTTGCACACATGAATTTTCTATCCTTGGTGGAGATGATTGAGCTATAAAACTTCATGGCTTCCTCATCATTGCCTTGTCTAAACCAGTAGTCCACAAATTCTGCATCCACTATCGCTATTTCGTTGAAATCATAAGGATAACTAGGTTTATTTTGGACAAATCCATGGGATAATTCATCAGCTTTGTGGAAGTTTCCAAGATCCAAGAATCCACGAATCAGATAGCTGTATGCAACTGAATCCCACAGACCTACGGCCTTAATCATACCCAAGGCTTCATAGATCCTCCCTGCGTCGACAAGACCTTTGGTCAGAATCCTGTAAGTGTCTTCGTTGTCTAGATCAGAATCTTGGTTTTCTAGAATTAAATATTTAGCGTGACGGTATACTTGGAGGGCTTTGTCTACACGATTCATATAACAATGGACTTTGATGATGTGGTTGAAAGAGACGATGCTAGGAATAAGTTTACACTCGTTGAAGTAATAGTGGAACAGAGCGATGGCGTCCTCGTAACGTTTGGCGCCGACCATGGCGTCGATCATTTCGTTGCACATGACGAGTGTTGTCTCGGGGCCATCGCGATGTTCTTCCGAACCAGCGTAACGAGACATCTCCGCAGCCTTGTCCAACTGAGAAAGATTGATCATTGATTTGACTCTGTAGTATAGAGAAACCGGACGGTCATCGATGAAACAAGGGATAGGGTTTTGAGGAAGCTTCTCGGTGAGAGCCAACGGGAGTGACGACGGATCTCTTCCGATTGAGTATCGCACGGCGGCGGCGGAGGTAGAAGAAAAGCTACGATTCCGGTAAGCCAAATCCTTGGAGAGATTGAGGCCAAAGAGGATTCTGCGAAGGCTCATGGCCGCAGAGGAGAGACACAGCTAGGCATGACCACGGTTACGGTTATTGCGGTTACGGTTTATTAACCACCGGTTACGGTTATAAATTTTCTCTAACCGTAACCTTAACCACTATATATACGGTTAAAACGGTTACGGTTAAATACGGTTACGGTTACAACGGTTACGGTTAAATACGGTTACGGTTATTTGATGATTACGATACGATTAATATTAAAGACAAAAGTTTTTTTTTAACCTTTAGAATAAAAAAATTAATGATGATATATCAAATAAGATTTATTTTATAATATCTAACGTATGTGATTATGTGTTTCAAATATATGTAGTTAAGTAGCTATTTTGTTCAGTTAAGTAAACCAACGAATAACTAAATCAATGGTCTATATTTTTTTATCCCGCAGTATATTTACGTGTATTAGGGTATCCATTAGGTTTAGATTAGGTATTTTAGATGTTGGTTATATGACTTTAGAATCCATTCGGTATTTTAAAATTTTAGTTAGGATTTGTTCGCTACTTTATTGTAGTCAATTTAAATTATAAGTAGATACCTCTCTAGTTCAATTTACACAAACAAACTCAATTACAAAAATTAATTTTTACAAATGTAGAGATTTATTAATGTTAAGTAAATCTACTGTAGCCACTTTTCTCTCACCGTAAAATTTGATTCTCCAATAATGATTTCTTCTCATATGTATAGTATGAAACTATCAACCGATTATATGGTACATATGTTTATGTATATTTGCATGCAAGAGTTTTTTCTAAACGATTGATATTTGAAAATTTTATATCTTATATTTGTGTTATATTTTTATTCTCACAACTATACTTGATCGTGTATATATTTATAGTTGTCAAAGACGATGAAAAACTATTTATATAATTTGGTATCCCGAAGTTAGTATATACTATTTCAAATAAAAACTATTTATATAATTTTGTATCCCGAAGTTAGTATTCACTCATCGATCACACCCTTATTCGGCGGCGACTTCATTTATAAAATAAATTAGTAGACATAAGCATATGAAGTTTGGCATACAATTTGGTATCTCAAATTTTGTGTCATTCTAAAAATCAGATTCCACCAAAAGCAATTAAAAGATTAAAATTTATAAAAGAAAAAAATAAATATACAACGATTAATGTAATCATTTACCAAAACGTGATGCGTTACGGTCATTTTACACCGTACGATACCTCTTCCAACATTGATGACATGAAGGCCTTCGAGGATGAAACTTGGAAAGTGGGAATGACTTTTATCTTTGGCTAGCTCTTCCAAATACTCTCTCATTTTGGGAATGTCCGTATCTTCCATATCTTCTATTCTTGATATTGTGAAGCGTAGCTATTTTCATCTTCATATATAGGCTTTGACTATTTATTGCCAAGTCTACGTTAAAATTTGTGGACATCATGCAAATTCACTACAGGAAATGAGAGTATTAATAGCAATACAATATAGCGTTTTTATCGTTTCTGCTATAGTTGAGTTTTAGACAGCGTTTTCGAAAAACCAAACGCTATGATAGAATGAGCGCGAAAATATTTCATAGTGGCGCTTAGTTTTTGGTTCAATGATAGCATATATGATATTAAAAACGTTATCGTAGGGGTAACCGTGAAACAAAAAAATTCAGTGGATCCAAAAAATTTCTAAGTAAGAAAAAAAAGAGGAAAAAAGCCAAAAATGATATGAAAATATATTTCTATATTTTTTTCTACCCTACTTCTGTTAGTATTTTGTTTTTCTGTTTTCTTTTCTTTTGGTGTTTATTTTTTCTTCTTTTGGTGGAATCTGATTTTTAGAATGCATGCTAAACGCTGTTTTCTTTTTTTTTTTTTTCTTTTTTTCTAATGTTCATTATGTGTCTAGGGAGAACAACATCTGAGGACGTTTTAGCAATCTGTTCTCTTATCAGTGTATTACATGATACTATGTGTTTTTTTTAATATATCTATGTAATGAAGGATCTTTGATAACAAAACATTGCTTTTGGTTATAGTTTTGACGAGTGCCATATTGTATTACACGTACGGTTGAATTCAGAAAGAAGATGGGACTTTTCACACTGCGGCGATTGGGGTGTTAATGGAGTTGATAGGAGCCACCACGGTGTATTCAGCTGGAGGATCCCATGTTTCAGTTGATCTCAACTATTCGTTATACTCGACGGTCAAGATTCAAGTTCGACTTCTCTTAATTTTACTAATATTTGATTAGATAGTTTAATAATTATATATACTAACATTTTTAATGTGATGAAAAATCTAGGAAGAAGTAAAGATAGAAGCAAGATTAGTAGGGAAGAAGAGAGAAGATCTAAACGCAGCAATAATTGAGATTCGAAGAGAATACAATGAACTCATAGCCACTGGTAGACTATGGATGAGACTGTTGATGACACCATTTAACCTATATGTCAAACCCAATGGTGTTGATCAAGTTAGCAAGCTTTAATGGCTCCAATCAAATCCAAAATTTTCCCATGAAGCATGTCCTATTCATGCAAGTGGTATGTAAGATAATGTCTTTTGGACATCGATGATCAGTCTTATTTACGACTCTTACCATAAATATGGCTTCATGTACCAAACCAAATTTCACTATCAATGATTCGATGGATATACGTTACGTCGTTACAAATTCTTGATATGTGGTGGAGCATTGTGGTATCTATAACTACGATACAAAGTGATATGAATTATCATGAATTTTAGCTAGTAATCAGTTTTATTGTAAGGTTACTTTGAGTCCTAAAATAACCAAGTCCAAAATTAATATTTACTGAATATTTTGTTAATTAATCTATAAGATGTAAATCATGAATATTATTGATTGTAAATTTACATATTTATATATACGAAGAAGACAAACCAACAATATACACAGAAGACTCCATGAATTGCAATAACACAAAAGATACAACAAACACTTGGCTTGTACACAACCAAAAAAGCCATTGAACTTTTTATCAAAAACCCTAATTAAAACCCAAATACATAATTCAATCTAATTACAAATCTTTATAGACTTTAATTAACACTTAATAACACCACACACCAATGCAATAAAATATCATTTCCTATAGTTTTTCGCTCCCTTTATAGACAAAATAAAAGCTTGCAAGACCTATAATTCCTTAATTGGTTTTAATAACTGGACTTAGATCTTCCTTCTCGAAGCCTTTCCCAACAATGTCAAGCAGCTCCTCTTCCTCTCTCACACCATTAACCCTACCATTCCTTACCTGGTCGACCAAAGGACCATACGACCAGCTACATATCACGTAGTAGATCACATTGATGAAGCTCATTATCGCGAGTACCCAATAGTAATAGTTGTAATGACCCTTGTTAATGTTGTCCGAAACCCAACTCTCTTTACCATTTCTTGAGGTTAGCTCATTGACCGCATTGAGGACCACACTTGCCAATAGACTAGCCACAGCCATTCCTAGACCGAAGAGAGAAGCTGCGATGCTAGACATGCTTTTAGGAAACTCGGTGTAGAAAAACTCAGTCTGTCCTATTGCGGTAAGAGCCTCTGCTAATCCATGTAGCACATATTGTGGCACAAGCCACATCGCTGAGATGCCTACCACAGCATTGGCATTGTTTTCATACCCTTGGCTTATAGCTTTTTTCCTTCTAAAGCTTTCAACCATTGCGGAAATCGCCATTGCCAAAAATGACATGAATAACCCTAATCCCATTCTTAGCTTAACGCTGAGTCTAAAAGGTCTACCTCGAATCTTCGAAGCTAGTGGGATAACCGCACGGTCATATAGAACGACCCACAGGGCTAGAGCTATGATTGTGAACATACCGAATGATCCAGCTGGAACTTGAAAGCTTGAACCATGGCGGCTCAGACGCCTGTCCATAGAAGTCGCTTGCAGCAACTGAAACGAGCTTTGGCTAGTGTTTATGGACATCATTATACCTGTGGACCATATCGGTATGACTTTGATCAATGCCTTAAGCTCCTCTACTTTGTCTGTTGTGCATAGCCTCCATGGATTCAAAGCAAACCCATCTGACCCAATCTCCTCCTCACGGTTACTTATTAGACAAGCTTTATTCAAAAACCTAACCAAGAGAAAATCAAAATATCCTCATCATTTTTCTTGTATAACAAAGCTTTGTTTAAAAATTTAATCAAGAGAGCATCAAAGTAAAAACAGTGCACCATGTTTCAAATATCACATGGTTTGTTAAGAAACCTAATCAAGATAGTAGTATCCAAGTAAAGAGATAGTATTATGTTTCTTTTATAACAAGATTTGTTCAAAACCTAATGAAGAGATAGTAAGTATAAAAAGTGAGAAAAGTGCATTGATCATCATGTTTCTTGTATAACAAGCTTTTTTTGAAAACCTAATCAAGAGAGTGTCAAAAGTAAGGAGATTGGACATCATGTTTCTCGTATAACAAGCTTTCTTTAAGAACCTAATCAAGATAGTATGGTCGTTATTTCTTGTTAAGTAATCAAAAACTCAGGAGACTTAAGAAATATATGTATATATAGTAATTTTACCTCAACTTTTGACTTGGTGCTTTGATTTCAGAATCTTTCATGTGATAATAACAATCAAAGGAGTCTTGATGATCTGCTAGACTAAGCTTCCTCTTCTTGTAAGCTGCAACAACCGCTTGAGCTAAACCGGTGAAGAGACTCTTGGTCACACTACGTGTAACATAGAGAGGAGACGCGAGAATGAATAGCAAAGCAGCGATCAACATGAGGACCGCAGGTATTCCAAATCCGATTTTCCATCCGAGATGCTCCTGAATGTATACAATACCCGTAAACGCGATGAGTACCGCCACAGCTGAAGAAGCGTAGTACCAACCAAAGAAACTCTCGAGAATTCTTTCGTTCTTTGGGTTCTCCTTGTTGTCTAATTGATCAGCTCCAAAGGCTAAGGAACACGGTCTTATCCCGCCAGACCCGATCGATATAAGAGCAAATGCGGAATACAAAAGAGCCAGCTGAGACGCTGTCGAAGACCCACAGTGACTTCCAGCTGCTGTGGGATCGCAAGGCGATGGCTTCACTTGTGGTAACATTGCAGTTAGCCATAAAAGCACCATTCCCTGTGGTATAATTCAACAATGATCACTAATTAATTTAATTTGGTCTCCCTATTTAATTTGAGCTGAAAGCTAACAAAACATTACAATGTCGACTGTCGTTATACACTAACAAACATTACATGCTACGTTTCTATATCCTTAATTATAGAAAACTTCCAAGAAGAAAAATCCAATATTCATATTGGCAACAAAATCTGGCCATGAGCACACGTTGGTAGGTCGAATGTAAAGTCATATGTCAGTAACCCTACCAAAATTATACAATTTTTTTTGATTAGGATGAATAATTATATTGTACCAACATGTCAAATCAATCCATGTAACGAAATTTAAACATATGATTTTTAAGTGGGTGAATAAAATCAACTTAAGATTAGAGTGTGTCGACTTTGCCCAAGAATCGAACAAGCTGTACAAAGTATGGATACGGCTCAAATAATTGCTTAAGCCTATCTCTCTATGTCGTCTATATGCTATAGCCTATAACCACAATCAAGCTTGGCCCCATAACAAAAATAATTCAAATTCGTCATGCATTTGTGAATTGTGTCTAATCCGGTTTAATCGAGCAAAAATCGCAACAAAAATTTGGGTTGAAATAAAAACTGTATTGGTTTTGTTTATTATATTGAAACAATTTGTTGACAGAATATAAGTGAACCGAAATTAAAATAAACATAGTAAGAAATTAATGTTATAATCATTCAAGTTAAATTCATTTTGTGGAAACAAAAAAGAATTTATTAAAACTGAATTGCATGCTTATACACACACATATTGCATATCTTATAAGTTTTTTTTTTTGGTAAAAACATATCTTATAAGTTTAAAATAAATAAAACTATGTACATATAGTATTTGAAGTTACTATGTTTTCTTTATTTATGAAGCAAAGCAATCACACTTTTTTTAGATCTTCAGTATACTTCTAAATGGAATATTGTCACATCTCAAATTATGGTTTCGATTTGTGGTCACTCACACCACTTGCCAAGGACATTTTAAATTAGTAATTTTTTTTCGTTTTAAATAGAAAATTCAGAACACATGGAACTGGCACGCTATGAAATTAATTTGAAAATGACTTTTAGTGTAACACAAACATAAGAAAACAATAATGCAGCAATGTTTTCCATAGGATGAGTCCTAAATGTTTCACAAGTCACATGCAAAGTGTGAAATTGCTAAAACTGTATAATATATTATTACTGTATAGTGTATACTAGATATTTTTAATTGAAAATTATACTATAATATAAATAATGAAACACCTATTCAATGGTAACGATGAATATGTCTGAAATTAATAAAGAACTATAATGGTAACGATGAATATTTCCAATATTACTTTTAAGTTCAAATATTCAGTATTTTCATTAGAAAAATATAGCCTGAAAAAAAAAAAAAAAAAACCTCGTACCACCATCCTTCAATTAATTCATTTTCTAGATGTTGTAAAAATATTAAATTCAAAACTTATAAGATAATATACCTTTATTCTTATCGGCAATAAAAATATCATATAACGGAAAAAGTATATGGTAAGAACTTTAAAAAAAAGAGTTGTCAGTTTTTCGAAATCAGTTACGGATTCTTATCAGTCTAATGACAAGTAGTGGAATTTCACACTAATGAACCAGTTTAGAAGTAGTTCACACACCAAACCGGATAAATTAACTAAAATTTTCAATTCCAAACCAAAAGTAACAATAAAGAAGTGTCAAAAACCGAGTGGTTAAGTTAAACCAAGAAGATTATTTACCAAGAAACTGGAGAGAGAAGCAATGGAGATGGTGAGGAAACGACCAAGATAGGAATCAGAGAGAAAAGCACCCAAGAGAGGAGTGAAATTTGATGCGGCAGACCACATGAAGAGCACATTTGTTCCTTTTGCTACTCCAAATCTGTAATCTCTGATTAAGTACATAATCATGTTTGGTAATAATCCATAACTCGCCACTTTCTCGAACGCCTCGTTTGCTTCACCATAAAAAAAAAAAAAAAAACTTATTAGCTAAAGAAGTTTTACAAGAATTAGAGATTTTATTATGAAATGTAGTTATACCTATGATAAAAGGCATAGTGATGATTCCACCCTTTGTTTTTTTGCCTTCATTGGGTTGGATTTGCTTAGCCTCGGTTTCATTAGGAGGGTTCTCCATTGTTGAATGTGATTGATAAACACTAAATCTAGTGATCTTTATATAGGAGAGTGAGACAGAGAAAGGTTAATAAAAAAGGGAAGAAGAAGAAGAGGAAGTGGAAGATCTTTGTCTTTGCAAGTGATTTGAGAGAGAGAGAGAGCGAGGAATGTGTGTGTTACATTTCCGCGACGAGTGGACAATTAATACTAGTAACTAACGTCTATAGGGGACAAGGGAAAAAAACATTAAGTGAAATAATAATAATTAGAAAATGAGTTTTTGATTTAGATTGTGTTAACATTAATGACATCAACTTCAATAATTAGGAATTTATTATATATTCTTTTTGCTATTCGGATAGAATTTTCTGTTGATATAGTTGCTAAAATAGTACTCTCTCTGTTTTAAGATATAAATTTTTTTAGGGAAAATCACTCACTTTAAAAAATTTAGTTTTCATTTAAAATTTTTTATTTAATATTTAATATAAAATTTTTCAACAAATAATATAAAAGACTGTAGAATATAAATGGTCATAAAATATTAAATGTATTTTAAAGTTGTATAAGAATTCGTAAAATATCTTATATTTTAAAACAAAAAAAAATCTCTAAAACATATCCTATATTATGAAAAAAGAAAGTAACATTATATGCTTAGTTACATCAAAGGGAAAAATATCATTGATTAGACATAATATGTTGTTGCACTAGCAGCGGTAATAATATGGTGGTATGTTAGTATATATTATCGTTACGTTAATACACAAGTATGAACCCATAGTCCCATATAGTGTATCTTGTAAACCAAAAATATAATAAAATTCACATTTATAGTAGGGTATCTATAATCTGTGACCACAGAAGAATGAATAATTAGTTCTCTCTCTTCGTTACTATTTGGCATTTACTGTGCATATGTAAAATACAATACCACCCTTAATTTATTTATTCAATGTTTTATCTCTCTTCTTCTATTTCTTTCTTCTTCAAACACCAGAACACAACTTTAGTAATGAAATTTAAATCAGACTTTTTTCTGCAGAGAACCGAAAAGCAAAACCAATAATTTGTGTGGTTCACCTATGACAATAGTGCTTTTGATTTGGCGATGATGAAGATAAGGGAAGTTTTTGTTTTGTGTTTTTGCGAAGGTTGGTTAAGTTTCTGCGGTAACAAATAATGGTAATTGATGGTGGTTCTGATTTGACGATGACGAGATTTACTGGTGATGATGCTAACAATGACATTGTTGGTGGCGGTAAGTATAGAAAAAAGAAGATGAAGGAAGAACTGAGAAGGTGTGATGGCTAAAAGTTGTATTGTGGTGATGATGATAATATATGTTGCGGTAATTACGGGGGAGAAATGGATGGTATCGTGAAGTTAGAACAAACAGAGTGGTGGACTGAGACAGATATGAAAACTGAATTTGTCAATTGTAGTTTAGATTAGGTTAATCGATGAAAAGAAAGGAATCGTCGTCGTCATTGGCACATTTTTCTGGGTTTGATTTTACTATATTTATCGATAACTAGAGTAACACCTGTTATTTTTATTGTTATCACGTTAATATCGTTATACACGTTAATATAAATATTATCTATATATCTACTATCTTACCATAAATATTTTCTATGATAATATAAACTTTATCATATCAATTATAAACTTACCGCGATAGAATATGTTTTAACACGATATATTTATAACCTTATTGATATATATTTTGTTATCGTGCTAAACCAATAGATAATCATTTAACTTATCAGATATTCTTACTCAGATATTTGATGGACAATCTATTTAGAATCAAATAAAAAACGTTGATAACTATTTTATTATATTGTTAACTAATTTGTTATATGCGGAGGGGTATTTTTGTCCAACTTACAGAAGTTGAGGAGAGAGAACTAATAATATAAAAACTATGGGTATATTTTTTATTTTTTGGTCAATTGTGGTTTAATATTTTGTTGACCCTTTATAGTATTATAGTTTAATCTGGTTAAATTGGTGAAATTTTGTTGAAAAAAAACCGAAAAGAACAAACCGATAGAACAAATTAAGTTTGTGAAATAATTCTCAAATAAATTATTATTTTAGGTAAAACTTTCAGTATTTTCAAAATAGCTCACAGATGAATAGTTTAATTTTATGAGTCAAAACATTATTCTCTTAATAATTTTTATTAATATAGTTCTAGTTAAATCATCAGATAATTATTTATTTGTTGCCGTCAAAAAAAAAATTATTTATTTGTTCTTTTAGATATATTTTTAGTTATCTTATTCACGAATATTTGAACAAGACAAATCGCACTTCAATTATTAAATAATTTTGGAGTTATTTCTTTAATTAACTAATTTCTTTAGGTTCGGTCATCTTTGTTATCATTTAATTCTTTTAACTAATTTGTCAAATCACCATTAATTTTTATCATCAACATCATATTTCAGCTAAATTCTTCCATTGCCAATTACACTAGTGGTTAATAAACCTATACACACTTATTTTTAAACAGAAGTTTTGTGTATGCCATAGTTTTTTAAAAGTGATCACGGATGTTCACCGCTTCCATGCCGCATTAAACGCTGCTCCAAATATGGATAGTCAAAGAACTGTTTAATTACATTTCATATTTAGATTGTAAAACATCTTCAGAAATTCTTCATCACTTTATACAATAAACGAAGTAGATAGCTTTCACATCCGATTAATGAAAAGGAATGGAACAAAATCATATCAAAAGTATCGAAATAATTGAGCAAAGCCAAAACATCCCATGAGGTTACCAGCTTTTCTTTTCTTCGCTGTCTCTCACTTCTTTTTCTCTCTTTTTTTTTTTGTTAAGGACTTTTTTTCTTAATTATTTATTCTTTATCTTTTATAGAAATAAAGGACACGTTAAAGTTAGTGCAATCATATTTTAAAAAGCTTTTGTTCCGCTTTCGACCCATCAGTCATTTACTCATAAGTCAATCTTATTAAACAGTCTGACAGAAAAAACTCATAAATTGTTGAATAGATTCATTCTCAATAATTTATCCTTACACATTGTCGATTAACTGTATGTGTTTGTTATATTATAACATAAGTACATAACCTAGTAAACTAATGTGTGGAAGTATTCAAGTAATATACAATAATGCAATTCACTGAAAAAAATTGTGAATAAAAAAAAAGTGATAATGATGCGAATGAATGTGAGAGTCTTAAAGAGAAAAATATTTATTATGACTTTATTCATTCCCCTTGCACGTGGGTGTCGGATACTCTGAAAGCTCTTTTTCTTTTGGATATACTATAGCTTATTCAATTATTTTAAATTTTGATAGGAATTTATATTATGTTATTTTTCCTAAGTAACTATTCTCTAGTAGTAGTTCGAGTCATTTAATTTAACTACTCCAACGTTGGAAAAGACTTATTTATGACAACTTACGTCTAGTTGATTTAGCACTGAATGAGACATTTTTACTAAGAAGAATTTTGAAATATCACAAGAAAACTCATAGCTCGTAGCAATCTAATTCGATTATGTAATTTTAAGTTTCTATTTTAGAAAACACCATCATATAATGTGAAATGAAGATAGAGAGTCACTTAAAAAAGGATGGTCAAAAACAATTACGCAATTACGAGAAACTCATAGCTCACATTAGTTACACCAATCTAATTAAGTTGGATTATGCAATTTTTAGTTTATATATTAGAAAATATCTAAATCTAAATTGAAAGAAGCTAAACATAAACTGATTTTTAGAAAATATTTCATATTACCCAAAACGATATAAAATTGAAAACTTGATTATTTGGAAACTTTTTTATTGGGGGAACACAAGTCCATATGTGTGGGTGTCTATATACTATATTATATATTGTAATGTTTGTGGATAGTTCGTGGAGAAGACTGTAGAATATGAATAGTTGAATACATTATCACTGAGAGATTGCTTGAATTGCACGTCAACCCAATTTATTTCATTGCTTGTTTCAACAACCAAATAATAAACAAAAGTTGTGTCAGAGTTCATCAGACTCATATTTTCCTCCATTGTTTTACTCAAAAAATAGATTTTTGTCTGTCTCATTTCTTCTAAGTTCTGACTCAAATTTTCACCCACTCTTCTGCAAACATTTTTTCAAAAGAATTACTCTTTTTATTTTATTTTTATTATATTTTATTTTTATGTTCAATCACTTGACACTTTCTCCTTCTACTCACAATAATGAGCTTATGTCTTCTTCCTCTTTTGTGCTCATGCGTCTTTGTGTGGTGGTGGTGATACATTCTAACATTATGACCAATTGGTTATATTCAAAATAGCATAACGACGTAATTGTATAGTCTTTTCTAATTAAATCCATAATTCAGAATTATGGTTGATCGATACTAGATATTCAAATATTTTAATATCAAAACAACATAATATGTTTATAAAAATGAACAACTTTCTGTTTATAGCGTTTCTCGTTCTATTATGCAGAAATACTTGTTTATTTTTCACGATTCCAACAATTTAGATAATAGCAGTAAGTACATGTCTTATTTGTTCACATTTATACATCAATGGAACCTAATGTTGCACGGAGCATTTATTAAAACATTGCATAGTTACATGGTTTAAGGGTAAAATCTCCTCTCTTTTCTTTTATCATTAAGTTCTTAGATTTCGATTTGAGATTAGAATTATTAAATAAAATGCTTTTGTAATCCGGAATCCGATGGCAATGAACATTCGTAGTAAAAATTGATTAGCTAAAAAGAATAGAAAACAAAAAAAATACTACTCAATCTATTTTAGAGTAGATGTAGTTTTAATACTTTCACATTAATTAAATAAAACATAGTATATTTTCTAATATACTTTTTAGTTTTTAAACCAAACTGACTCTTGGTTTTATTTTCAAGAATTACATTCAAATAAGATATATATTAAGAATATGAAACTTAATAAAATAATTTTGTATTGGTGAAAAACAAGTTTGAGAGAAAAAAAAGTGTAAATTTATTTTAAATAGTTAGTGGA